AAAACTTGTATCTTTGCAGGGAAAGGCTTAAAAGAACGAGAAATATATTTAAATTTGTTTTTTCTAGTGGGATTAAGGGGCTGTTTTTAAAATGAATTCGACAACGACCAAAACCTGTTGTTACTGCCAAAAGAGTTCATGTAGTGGCATGAAATAACCAGTTTCAAGCCACTAAATTGCCAGGGAGAGGATTTAGCAAGAAAGGTAATCAGACCACTTCTCAGCCTGTAGTATTTGTAAATAACCGGTTATGGACAAAAAAGACCCTTTGAAGGACAAAGAACACACGATAATAATAATCATTATTAATTTTCCTGATACCAGCAGTTCAGAAAGTCAATCCAGAGCTCAAAAATTTCTGGATAATATATAGTTGCAACACGCGCAAATGCTGTTTAACTCAGAATGCTCATCAATGACGATTAATAAGTTACTTTTACATGAATCACTAAAACAGACTAAAGTCTAAATCTATTTCATGACAACTGAAAAGTGGAAGTGGATGGTAAATTTGATGAATTGTTGTGTTAAGGTGGCTTGATACAGTTTTTCAGCGTCAACACCTCCCAAGTTTGAGCATAAACTACCTCACCATAAACAAAGATTTGGAAATATTGCCACCACAGTTGTATTAGATGAAGATGAAAATTTGTTATGATCAGGGTTGCAATGACATCGGAGTTGTCATAGCAACAAAATGATGCCATTACCTATTTTACTTGCAGCAGTATTTCTTGGCACTAGGAACTGTTCTTCCAAAATTGTTTACCGAAGCTTTTTCCTCCAATAGCTGCCTCGATGTTCATGAAGTTTAAGCAAAATCCGTGAGAGCATTATCAAGATATTTCGGGATGAAGTTTTAATGGTTAGAAATACAGTAAAAAAGGGACAATCTTGATGTTTGGCCGTTTTCTGTAGAAAACGAAGCACTTTTGACATGCAATTTTGCCTCATAGTAGTTTAGATCTTTTTAAAAACACATGCAGTGAAAGATCTTGAAGACAGGTCCAGCCGATTGCTAGAATGAAGGATTTGATCAGTATGTATCGAGGTGCTGTTGTTAACGGTTTTGTAAACATTTTGGTCTACTTAAACAAACTAGCAAATAATTTTTAAACCACTTGATAGATTTTTTTAAAAATTTGAGATTCTTGAGATTATCCATCCTTTTATATGACCTTTAAGTTTCAGGATTATTGATGTATTGTAAGGCAGTAAAATAATAAGGGCTACAACTCGCTAATATTTTGCAGAAATTTTTTGTTTACAAGTGAAAGAATCTCAATATTTTTGGGTATTGTCTCCAAGTTTCATATTTTCGTGCACAACAATAGCTAGCAGATTTGCATATTTCAAATGCATTGTTAGTTACTGCTGTTCACGTGAAAATGAAACTTGGAAACAATACCTTGAATAATGAGAGGCTTTCACTTCTAAACACGAAACTTCCGATAAAAAATTACGAAATCGTAGTCCTTATTTTACTGCTCTACAATATATCAATAATCTTGAGACTCAAAGGTCTCCTAAAATGACGTTTATTCTCAAGAATCTCAATTTTTTTTAAAAAAATCTATCAAGCAGTTTAAAAATTTTTCACTAATTTGTTAAAGTAGACCAAATGTTTACAAAACTGCTAACAAGAGCACCTGCATACTAATCAAATCCTTCTTTCTAGCCATTGGCTGGAGCTATCTCCATAATCATTCACACACATTCTTTAAAAGATTTAAACTACTATGAGGTGAAGTTGCATGTCAAAAATACTTCGTTTTCTACAGATAACGGCCAAACATCAAGATTGTCCATTTTTTACTGTATTTCTAACCATCAATAATGCTCTTACAGATTTCGCTTAAACTTCACGAACATCGAGGCGGCTGATGGAGGAAAAAGCTCCCGTAAACGATTTTGGAAGAACAGTTCCCAATGCCGAGAAATACTGCTGCAAGTAAAATGGGTAATGGCGTCATTTTGTTGCTATGAAAACTCCGATGTCATTACAACCCTGATCATAACAAATTTTCATCTTTATCTAATACAACTGTGGTGGCAATTTTTCCAAATCTTTGTTCATGGCAACGTAGTTTATGCTCAAACTTGGGAGGTGTTAACCCTGACAAACTGTAACGAGCCACCTTACTGCTTTAATACCACTACTGGCAAGTTTGAGTTTATGGTTGTGTTCATTTTGAAATATGAGCCCATGGTTTCTGTCGACTTCCCTGTTCTATCTCTTCTTAATTATCCAATCACATAGTATTTTCTTGTAGCCGTAACGAGGAAAAAGCAATTCAAATAGTGTGGTCAATCCATAATCCGACACTAGTATAAACCAAAATGGTAAATTGAAAGAAGTAGTCGGACGTGTGTTATATATAAGGCACGTACGATTTAATACGGATGTGTATGCCAATAAAATCTATGAATGTCCGTATTTCGTTGCAAATAGAATCTCCATAAATTACACAACAGCCGTAGGTGTTACCCACCTCATAATATGTTGTTTGTCCCGCGGTAATTATTGTCAAGAACAGGCACCATATTCGATATTTGTTCTGTTCGTCTGGGAAGACTGGAGCGAAAAAATAAGTGTTGTGTACATGACGCGCTTCTTGTTGACGTCCAATAACCGCTGATCGTGGTTAAGTGTATAGTTTCTTTCAGAGCCACGCTTTCCTCGGATTACAAGACACGCGTACAATCCAGATTGTTTCGATTTTCGTGCAACCGGAACAAAACTCTGAAAAATTATTGATCCATACAGGATACAGTAGCTGTCTGTTACATAGTTAGCCTGCCGCGCAGGCTAGTTGCATAGTTTGCTACACAGCCGTTTTTAGGGAAAGTTGCGTGACGAAACTAAAAACGGCTGTGTTGCAGACTACTGTAGCTGTTGCACTGATTTTCCTCGCAATTTGCCCATACATCAGTACATACATACATACACACTGACTTTATTCAAGATGTAAACAAGCTTATCTTGATTAAAAGACATCTTGAAAAGGGAGTTGAGAGTTTAGCCCCCCGGGGGTGGGGGATACGCCCTTATAAGGGTTTAATGAGAACGTGCGGCCAGCCAGGGTAAGTTTTTCGGGATTTTTGTCTTAAACAGGGTATCGATTTGATCATTTTTTTCAGTGCAAAACAGCACTACAGCATTGTTGCGACATTGTTTCGAATGGTTACAACATTGTTCCAACATTGCAAGGCTGTGTTGCGCTGAAAATCGTCGTTGCGAATCGTCCCGAGTAACATCACCTTAAAACGCGAAATTAGACATTTTCACGTCGTAGTCGTGCAAAAACGGGAAAGACATGTACAAAAAAGTGTGATGCATGTGCGAAGTTATTGTTTTGCTTATTAAACCTATTGTTGTTGCAGTCGGCGTCGTAGGATCTTAAGGTGATGTTGCACGGGACGATTCGCGACGACGATTTTTGGGGCAACACAGCGTTGCAATGCTGGAACAATGTTGTAACCAATCGAAACAATGTCGCAGCAATGTTGCAACGCTGTGTTGCGCTTAAAATCGTCGTTGCAATCGTCTCGTGTAACATCTCCTTTAAAAGTCCCTACTTTTGAGATATACGGCTGAGTTTGCAGTGAAACCACTCGCCTGCGGTTCGTGGTTCCTCTAGAGTTTTGACCATTTTGACGTCATTTCTATTGTCGATAAGAGTACAGACCATGGAAAATTGCTGTCGAATAGTTAATTTTACAATAACGTAACAGTGAAAGTTTTGACGTCTCTAGAGATTGGCATCTCTGCACCTTTATTAAATCGGAGTCTCCTACGAGGGGGGAACTGTGGTGCTGGCTCGGTGGAGAGGAAAATAATTGACGGTCAGACATATCGCCATGATTTTGCTGTTTATACTGTTTCCTTAATTTCAGTTAAAACACGGGTAGCGCCACCTGTTTTGGTGTCAGACCAAAGGGAATTAACGAGGTCAACGCTCGCAATGACGTCACATCTGCTGTCTTCCTCGTGCTGAAAAGTTTCGCTTTCATTGATGCTCGCAAGGAAGTCATACATGTACCGGCGGAAAGCCCATTCTGCCGATCAAGCCAGCGCGACCCCCTGCAAGGTCGGCCAGGGTTTGAGGAGAAAACGATCCAAATGCAAAACCACACCGACAAACCAATGAAGAGTTCCGGATATTGTCTTAGACGTGATATAGTTCAGTGAAAATCTTGAAAATTTAGGCATTTGAGAAATCAGTTATTTTTATCTAATGGGTATAAGGAACTTTCGTTTAATAAATGCGTCTTCGAGTGTACGGTATACTACATTTCTGCCAGTGTTGGGTATTGAGAGAATATGATGCATTTTGGCTCATTTTTAGCAGGTAAGTCCCTTTTCCCCGCCAATTCCATCGTGGATGCCACTTATATTCGGTCAAGTGGTAGCCACTTACGTACTTTTTGTTCGACACGCATTGGAGGCCCGTCGAGCGGGGAGTGAATTAGATTAGATGAAGGAGGTGCAACTTGTTAGGCCAAAAAAATCGTTTATTTGATGGATAAGTTGAATGATTTGTTGACGAAAGCAGATTGATAATAAAATTTAAAATCCTTTCCGCCAAAAAAAGATACCGTGGAATAAATATTTTTGCTTCAATACTGCCGGAACTTATACAGAGCAAATATTTAAAGATAGGCATTGTTCTATAAATATATATGTATGTCGGCCTTATTTTCACTTGATTGGTTTGCTAGCAACTGATCGTGTCAGAAGAGTATTCAATAAATGAAATCTTTTAAACTCGTTAAAATTAGTTTAAACATACCGCCAATAGTAGCACAAACAATGGCCTGTTGGAAGATCACTTGCAGTGTGCAAAATCTTTTCTGACGTCACTGACACGTATATTTTGGGTCTTGGCAAACAACTTTACGTATAGAAAGCATCATGTGTAAAAACAATGCGTTGTTGCTTCCTGCTTTCTTTAGCCGTTCTTTTTTTGCTGAGTGCCAAAAGTGCAAACACAGTGAGTCAGCCTACATTCTTAGTAAAGTTTGATGTTCTTCAAAAGCATTTCAAGTGGTATGTTGCGCTCAAAGTTTCAGACTTACATAATTATGTATTTGTAATTAATATACCATTATGCAATCATGCACTGCCTCGTTAAGTGTACATTGATCTGATATATTTGCTGATTTAAATGTTTCATTTCTTCATTAGATTCAAAAGGAAGACTGAAACGATTGACAACACGCACGCGCAGTTGACGAGGCCAGATTAAGCAAAAGCGAGTCACATAACGCCTCACGACTTAGAGACTTTACTAAGAAAACAGATTTAAAATCCCGCTTACCTCCTTTCTCCAGTCCATAGTCCTAAATGTTCACTGACAGTCTTTTAGTACAACCCGATACCCAAACTACTCTTAGAAAATTGTCGGCTTCCATGTCGTAATCGTTGCGTTTTTTCAGGTATTCTGATACAGGTGATGCTATGTAGTAACAGTATGGCGGCAGGGCGAGAACAGCATCACCAGCTCTTCCTAGATGTCCTTTCGCCTAAAATCTTAAGAGTGTAACAACTTTGTTCATTGCGATTATTAAGCCGTCGAAGCCATACTTTAAGACGCAGTGAGTCACATTTCTCAGGACTTAATATCCATTGCGTTTTTACGTCTTGTTTCTCTGAAATTTTCATGTTTTCTGGTTGATGAAATATGATATTCCTTGCAAACCTCGCAGTGAAATCCACCAGCAAAGTAGTACACTTCTTTCCTATTTCCTCGATCGGCCATGTTGATTTTCATTTGTTTTCTCCCTGGGTAGCCTGGCTTTCTAGCTTCCAGTCTCTTTTCAAATCTATTTACCCCCAAAAATAAATGGGGGAGCTGAGACCGGGCTTTTCGAAGGCGCGAAACCGCGGCGCGAAAATCAAAACAAAGGGTCAGAACTGAACACAGTCAACCGGAAATTTATCTGTATTGGCCGTTTGGTAAACACTCAAAGAATTTTATATTAGAAATGCCCGACAAAACTTTATTACTGGAGGAGGTGAATGTGCTCATAAATGGAACAGTTTCTTCACCACATATTGACTACTACAAACATCTCGACTATGTCGTTAAACAAGCAATTGCTGGAGATCAAGTTGTCTATAGGATGGCTATCCGAAACAATATACTGTGGCAGTGGGAAAGTTTAAAGGACCCCGAGAAAAACTACATTGACTTGCTTAACGATATTATACCAGGAACTGTTGTAAGAATTAAAAGAGATTCGAAACGAGTAAAAGAACGCTTACGCGTTACCATCAGTCGTGTAACAGGAAGCATAAGGAAAAAAAACAGATCCGGCTCAGAAAAGCAGAGAAATGAAATTTTAAACGGCTGGACAAACCTCAGCATTTTGGCTGGTGACATAATGAATCCTGGTGAGATGGAAGAAGAAATAAAGAGACTTGAAGCAAAAGCCGCAGATTTAATGGAAAGGTTGCAGACGTGTAATGTTGCAGTTGAGGAATGGAGAAAGAAGTATGAAAATCTTGAAGGCGAAAAGAAAAAGGTTTTCGAGGAACTGACAGCGGAAATCCTCAACAGCCAGGACAAGAAGAAAATTTCTAATCTAGAAGCCGAAAACGAAGAAATAAAAAAATATATAAGAAAATTAGAGAAAGAGCAAAGGGATGACGTCAATGAAATACAAAAGTTCACTAAGGAAATGACAACACTCTCTAAACGACAGGCAACTCGGAGGGTAGAATCTCTCTCAAGCAGAGCTCAGAAAGCATTATGGTTTAGCAAACAGTATGGTTTGGAACTTGATGCTTTGTGCTTCAAAGACACAGAGGGAAACCAATATCCATTAAAGATTCCATCTTCCAATAGCACATCACCTGCCCCTCCCAATTCACCACAACAAACTCCTGGTTCTACCCCTTCTACCTCATCACAAACTCCTCCCTCTACCCCTTCTACCTCATCACAAACCCCTGGTCCTGCTCCATCCACACCACCGCAAGCCCCTGGTTCTCCCGCATCTACTCGTTCACAAGCCCCTGGTCTTATGACACCTACCCTGCAACAAGTCCCTGGTTCTACCCACTCCACCCCAACCGGAACCCCTGGTGCTGCCCCACCTACACCACCACAAACCCCAATTGGTGTGCCACCTGCCAATGGGTCATCTTGCCAAGCCACAGTGACTCCATTAAATGGGACACCACCATTGGGCAATCAGACCACAACACAATGCAAACGGGTGCAATACGATAGTTTGTCAGACAGTGAAAAGGAGAGAGTGGAAGCAGTACTGTTCCTTATGGATAAGTTTGCTGTAGGTGATCCATTTGTACATGAGTTGAGCATGCTGATAAATGGGATGCCAAGGTCATACCTTATTAAGCAGTGCCGAGACAACCTTAATAGCAGTTGCATTGTAAAGCCAACCAGTGGACCAGAGCCAGGTGCTCAAATTTCTTTCAAAGAATCCCTTATCAGCAAGCTGAACTCTCTTGTAAGTACATATCATTTGCTTCAAAAGAATGCTATTCATTTCTGTTTTTTTTCCTTGAAACAAGCATAAAATAATACAAAAATAAATTGCAAACATTCCCTTAATTGACAGGCAGAAAAGGGGAAACTGTCTACTGACAAACCAGTCAGAGTAAAAATCAGTGGTGATGGAGCCCGCATGACAAGATTGACCAACTTTGTCATACTCAGTTACAGTCTGCTTGATGATGATGATAATCTGTTTACTGCTAGAGGTAAGAAACCTTGTTTTAGCTGGTTTTTGCCATGCAAACAGCACCTTTTTACTGTTTTTTTTTTGTGTCATATCCACACCACACTTCTTTTCTGTTATGTTATTATCTTCTATGATAAAAACTATTATAATAATACTTTATACTCCATCATTTAGGTACCAACACTATTGCCATAATGAGTGGGTCTGAATGCTACGCATCCATCAAGGCAAATTTCAAAGATTCTTGGGATGAAATAAATAAAATGATAGCTGGTGGTAAAGTCTCAATAAACCATGGACAAGAAGTACCTGTTGAAATCTATCTTGGTGGGGACTACAAGGTTAGATGTGAAGCTGTTAGATGGAAGAAGAACTAAATACAGATTGCAGTTTTTAGCTACCCCTTTATCATAATATTTGATACTTATATTGCCCTTATTTTGAATAATCAAAAAAACATTACAGTTAGCATATTAAAAACTACCGACTAGCCTTAAACGTTAAAACCTAAAATCATAACATAATTTTAAAAAGTAAAAAGTTTAAGCATTAAATCTAACAGAAGGCCTCAGAAAATAAAAAAGTCGTGACTGGACACTTAAAAGTGTTACCATTCTCTTTTCAGGCAAATTACCAGAATAGCCATGCCTTGGTACCCATAGAAGGAGGTCACTCATTACTTCATTCTTAATTTGTTTTATTTCTTTAGTTTCTGTTGTTAGCTAGTGGCCGGTCAGCAGCAACCTCCAACTATGCTTGTTTATGGTGCAAGATCCACAAAGATCAAAGGTAAAGTTACAGTAATTTTTGAATTAATTATCAAAACAAGTAATCATAAAGGTCAATACAAAGCAGAATTCTATTCCAAGTATAAAATACAACCCTGTTCATGCAAAGAAAAGAGGAGGAACTACCATTTCTTTTTCAGATGGGACATGTCCAAGCCAGGAGACTTTTACAGCAAACCCCCCATGGCATTCACCTTGGCAGATGTAAAAAAACATGCTACTTCATCTGAGTTCTGCTGCATTAACCAGCCTCTCTTAAACATACCTCTCCATCACATTGTCCTTGATGAGCTTCATCTCCTTCTTCGAATCACTGATGTTCTGCTAGCCAATCTAATTGAAGATGCCATGGAGTGGGATGACCGAGAAGATTTTTTAAAGAGGAGAGGGGAGACCAAAGGCGTTCACTTAAGAAATCTGACACAAGTGATAAACAGCTGTGGCGTAACATTTTCAGTGTGGGAGAAGAAGGATGGTGATGGAAAGGGGACAGGTAAAATGGACTGGACCTCGCTGATGGGAGATGAAAGAAAAAAACTACTCAAAAATCTTCCTGCAAAATTAGAGGCCTCACAGGATTCCATCAATCATGATACTGCTGAGACGGTTATTAAAATATGGAAGGTACTTTTCTAAACCCTATGTGGATATCTTAATATACCGGTGTACAAACATATGGTAGTCGAGATTTTATTGAAAACTTGCAATTTTCTTAAACTGTTCAATCCTCAGCTCATTCAAGTTCTAACATTTTATCCACTTTCCTCCAAGGACTTTTCAGATATTTATTTCAACACAGTATCATCACTATTGCCAGAGCGAAGAGAACAATGTGGAGCAAAGGTAGAGTAGGTCCTATATGCAACATTTAAGGCAATGTTTGACTTATTATTTGACAGGGTTTTCGAAACAGATTGTTTCCTAAATGCTATATTCCCAAGAAAAGCATAACCTTTCCTTATTCTACAGATACGAGAATGGGTCAGACTTTTTCTGTCTATTGCAAATTCCCGTAAGGGATATGCAAACAAGAATGTGACACCTTACATGCATGCTGCTGCATACCACTTGCAAGATACCATTGACAGATTTGGTAGTGTAAAGTACTTCAGTGGCCAAGGTACTGTCAGAGTTACTGGTTACTTTCACTTATAACAAACTAAATGTATGCCCAAAGTTGTCCTGTGTATTGCTACCATGCACACCAATGACAACATATTCAGACAAATCAGCAATAGCAAATAAAATTAAAATATACTTTTTAATAAAAAAATTAATTATTACATTTCTGAAATAACAAAACCAATCTAAAATCATTTTATGAAACAAATCTCTGTAAGGGCTTCTCACGAAAGCAATTCAAATACTGTAATACCAATAAACTAAACTCAACTGATTTGCCTTTACACAGGAGTAGAAAAAAATAATGATGTGGCAAGAGCAATTGTCCTTCACAAATCAAGAAACTGGGATAGCCCAGCAGATGTCATCAGAGCAGAGCACCGCCTTACACAGTTGAGCAACAGAGAGAGGAGAAAAAGAAAGTACAACAAACAAAATGAGGAGTTCTGGAACAGTGGAAAAAAAGAATTGATGTCTAAAACAAAAAGACAGTGTGTCAGTTCCCAACAACTGCAAGAAAATGAAAGCACTCCACTCAATAGCAATGACAGCTGCAGTGAAATTACCTCAACAGTTAATTCACAAAATTCTAACGGGAATTTGAACAACAGTAAGAGAAAGCATACAACCACAAAAAGGAAACCTAGTGCTCCTTCTAAAAAGGTTAAAAAGAACAAAAAACAGAAAAAGAATTAGGACTTGAAATCATATACTCAGTTATAACCAACGGATATTTTTAAGAATGGCTATTTGCCTGTATACAATTTAACAAAATACAGTACTTATTAACTTCAATATACAAAAACATCTCTTCAGTTAAATATTTTTGGAGACCATTTTTTAGATCTGGAATTTTTCCATTCTAAATTTATTTGCTTCTAAATATACTGTACATTTCTCTATGCAGCAACTTTAATAAAATCCACTGTTAACTTTTCTAGAAAAGCTCTAGTTGATTTAGTAACTATACCTTCTCTTAAATGATAGTTCTGGGTTGACCATGAAAGAAAGTGTCTAATCTTTATGGGGAATAAAACTTTTGTTCCTTGCCCATGAAGGTCAAGCAAACAATGCCAGTTAGGAGGAAAAAATGATGGAGAAAATTCTTCTTGTGCCAAGACTTTCCACCTTCCATTTTGCACCCCCTTCTTTCCAAACAAATGTTTAAATACATCTTCTCTAAACTCCACAGTCACTTGCTTTCTTTGTGTAGATGCTTTCAGAGAAGTACCAATGGCCACCCTTAGTCTGGAAACTTCATTTAATATGACATTCCTCTCTGGTTTGGGATGCTCATAGTATCTGTTTAAAATAAATAACAATAAACAGAATTAGAATGACTTATTATGCATGAAAAACAGACAAGAACCAATTTCAATGCCATACTCCGGTACATTGTTTTCAGTAAACAAGAAAGCTTACTTCAGACAAAGTTGGTTCAAATGCTGTTTTGGCTCCCACGAAGCATCAAAAGAACTAAAATTCTTCCATTTCACAAGATATTCTCTCTCCTTTAAACGAGAAAGAAAAATATTTAAGTTTTGTATTTAATACCCGCGAAATTAAGCTTAGTTTGTAGCTTTACAGAATTGAAGCGAAAGATACATTCAAATTCTCCTAACACGCTAACTGCAAATGAAAGCATTCCTCTTTTGAGAATATCTAAACTGATAACTGGCGAAAGTTAACTTTTTAGAGCTTTTAGTTGAACCAACTTAATGTTTGTACATGTCTTAAAACAAAATATGACCTCTTAGAATTATTTCACTAATAGCATAATCTATTTACAACGAAATGGAGACTTTTTTGCCCACATTCCGTGTGAGTTCGCCTACCAAAAAAACCAAACTTACTTGCTGTCCTTCGCGGCTTGAAATTATCCTTTCTACCTCAAAGAAACGTCCGCTATCAACCGTTCGTCTCCTTGGCTTCGATTCCGGACAAAAATCTGCTACAGAAATACTATTTAAGTCGGCGAAAAACCCGATCGATCTCTTCCCACGAGTGCGCATTTTTCGAGTTGACGCCATATTGCTTAGATGTCACGCTTTAGTCCGTGTTTCTTCCCAGCCAATGGCCTGCAAGAATTTCACTTCTATGAGTGGCAGGTCAATTCATATTCCAATCTTAGCACCTCCCACTGATGTCCGAGATTTCTAGCCATGACAACCTTTTTGAGCCTTAGGTTTGGGTTGAAGCCAATGCTGACACACAGTTTCATTTTCAGGTCTCTCTAACCTGCTGATCACTGACTCAAGTCGTCGTGTGACTACAACTGAGCTTGGCCCAGTTGAACTAAGCCAAGAAGAGAAATGTGGTGGTTTATGGTTCTTGGTTGGTTTTTTACTCTTACTTGTATCTTAGGAAACTTGTTTGTCGCGTATTTGATCTCAACAAGACCAAAACTACACGTCAAAGCCAACTGGTTTGTCCTGTCTCTTGCGCTGGCCGATTTATGCGTTGGATTGAGTTATTTGCCGTTACTCTTTGCCTCAAGTTTTTTTCAAGATTTCACCTCCGATCACAAGGGAATATGGTTCAAGGTCAGCCACACTTTTATTTACTCTTCGACCACCAACTTATGTGTCTTAACGGCAGACAGATTTACAGCAATTACAATGCCTCTACGATACACCCTGTATATGACTCAGCGACGATTGTTTTATTTGGTTGCCTTTGCTTGGGTCTTGCCTATAATTTTCTTCACACTTCCTTCATTTTGTATTTATTCAAAAGAGCGGGATTCCCTCACCTTTGCCTTCGAAACAATCAGGGTTGTAATATTTCAGCTTATCCCAAGCGTACTGTTTATATTTGTTGCTGGACGTTTGTGTTACATTGCAAAAGGCATTTCACGAAAGGAGGAGTTTACTTTGACCCAGATCAGATTTAACCTCCCTCCTCTACAGAAAAACGCAAGAAGAAACAGCCGTGACGAAAGGAAACCGTCTTCAATAAAAATGTTGATACTGATTATTTTCATTTTCGTTCTGTGCCACGTTGGAGGAAACTACAGATGCTTCTGTTCTGTCTTCAATCTATGCGCCGTTCCTGACTATGTAAGGAAGGTTATTGAACTACTTTTTGTCTTTAATTCAGCGGTTAATCCCCTGGTGTACGCTTTCTTGAAAAGAGACATAAAACGAGAAATGAAGCTGATAGGCCGGGGTTTCAAAATAGGAACAGTATTGATAACCTAACTAATGGTACGTTCAATATTTTCTTTAATATTGTTATATCGTATTCTGGAAAAAGAACACTCAGAAATATTCCATCCGTCGGCATTTTGAAGCCACCGGGATACTTTTTGTTTTCGTGTTGGTCCGTATTGTATTTCAGATAGTTGAAACGGAAGGGGCACAGTGCTGCCATTGTGCCTGAAACAGTATGATTTCAAGAGTTAAATTAAAACAATTATTCGAAGCAACCTAGACTAACGTCTGCGCACCTGATTTGATGAGACGGTATGTAGATGTATGCGCCTGAAGTTAGCTATAACCACCTTATCCCAGGAAGTTCAAGTAGATTGTTTTTAATGTTCTTTTGTGAAAAAAAAAAGACTTGTAAAAGATTCAATGGCCGCATGCATATACATGGCTCACTCACCAGGGACGGAAAACTAATCATAACTCTGGAATTTCGTGAAGGACCAAGTGAAAACATTATTTACTGAGGTTTTAATAATCCCACTTGTCACTAAACCGAAGGACTCAGCTTACTTTGCCAAATTCCTGTTAACCGGCAAGTTGCAAGAATACTCACCCAATTTGTATTGGACAAAGAGGTGAAAAATAGTTTTTAGAAACATAAAGTCTGTGCTTATCTCATAATAATAATAATAATAATTTAATACTAATTTAATATTTATATTGCCCAAAATACATGTAAATATGATCAAATGCGCATATCTCATCAAGGTATTGCCTTATATGGAGCGTTCTGTAGGCCAAGTCAAACAAATTATATATGGTGAAAAAGCTAGAAAAATGTCACTAAGGCAAAAGCGTATGTACATTTAAATATGACGCCTATGTGGGATGTCCTTAAGGATCCTTGTTTTGGACAAATAAAACTTATTCTTACAAGTAGCTCGTGCGCGTCTGTGTTTCGGTTCTTTCCCCTTCTTTACTAACTCCACTTAGCCTGTTCAAGGCTGCCGGATAGTAGGAACAACGCCGTAAAACAAAAGTTAACAAACTAAGGCACCCGAGAATAAGTCGAACGTATCTTGGAATCCCCTCCCCACCCCAAACGGTTTTCGCGCTAGTGTTCTTAATCTACTCTTCCAACTATCCGACGCCTGGAACAGGCTAACTTCTATTTAATAATGTGTACTGAAAGAGAAAAATAATATTTGGGGTTTCGTTTTGCAGTAATAACTGTCAACCGAACTACATAAGTGTCCTAGAATGACTTTAAGGAACACTGACGATTTACAACGATCTTTTTTAAAAAAATGAAAAAGTTTAAATAAGGCCCGGTTCAGACGCCGACCTTTTCATGAGCCGAACCTAATACATTGAATTAAGTACATGAAAAGTTCGGCGTCTGAATCAGTTAGGAATGCCTGTTTCAATTTGGAACGGCTCAGTCGTTCTTTTCGCCTGGCCCGGCCGGGAATTTCGCCTTTGGAGCGACTTTGGAAGGGCTTTAATTCAGACGCCGAACTTTTCATGTACCGAACCCAATGCATAAATTATTACAACGTATTTTGTAAGTAGTTTGACCGAAATGAGCATTTTTCTCCTTTTGAATTTAGTTCGGCTGGAATTAAGATCGGCGTCTGAATCAATTCAGCCGGTCTAAATAATTTGGGTCGGCCTTAATTCGAATTAGGTTCGGCTCATGAAAAGTTCGACGTCTGAACCGGGTCTAAGATTCGCGGTTTTTGTCTAAAATTTTCTGAGATTTTAGGTAAAGGCTTTACGCTAGGGCACGCAAATTTTGGGCATTTTTTTGCGAGGAATCTTCGGTTCTGCTAAAGACTCATCCAAGCTGCAGCGAATGTTTGGCAAAACATGAAAGTTTACCATAGAATAATATGCTATTTGCAAAATATTTCATCCAGAGCTTTCTTCCATAAGGTGCTTTAGTAAAGGAAAGATGTCTGTGCAGCTATATATTTGTAGAAACTTTTCTCAATTATTGAAAAATGAAACATCCAATGACTGCTTTCAAACATTTAATTTTGAAAATCATTACAAAATAAAAAGCGATTTCTCGAAGTGACTTATATACAAAACAAACCCTTATTTATTCAGAGAAATAAAACCGTCGATGCGTCGAAGTCTCTAAGAAACTATTTACAATTACAGTGGACTTCAGCAATTTTGTGAGTAATCAGTGTTTAACACTTCCATCTTGTTCAGTGAGGTTTTACTTCGTGAGTTTCTCGATCGCACCTCTGGGTAAGAGGGAGAGGAAAACTGCAACGTTTTCGAAGACTCCAATACTTCAAATTTTCTTGGAGATTGTTTTAAACTACGAGCACTTCCAGAACGTTCATGTCTCTTTTGTGGTGGAGACAGTACCCTCCCCTTTAGTGAATCCTGTGATAATGAATTTCGAGGGTTACTCAAGCGCTCCTCAGACTTGACAATAGAAGCATCACTCTCCATGCTAATTGATCTTCCGCTTTTCGGACGTTTTTCCAAATCTTCTTTTATGGGCAGACTGCTTGTGGATGGGCTATTCTGACTGTGGCGTCCGTCCATCGTTCCTTTATCGTTTGATCGTTCATAACAGGGAGATTTTGCCTTGACCACACCTTTCTGTTCATTCGGTGTTTGGTGTATCTTGTCATTAGACTTAGACTTCTCCAGTTCTTTCTTCACAACGGAAGGTTTAGGAGATATTATTTCAGATTTGGATGAGTTTCGGCTCAATGACCGCTTTGACAAGGTGGCTGAGGAGCCTCTTCCGCTCATTTCTTGAGAGCCGCCTATTTTACAGCCTTTTTCATCTTTGAACTCACCCCTTAGACTCGTCGGTGTCAGTCGTTCTTTTTTCGCTGCACTTTGCACCCTGGATGAAGATAAACTTCGTTCGGTGCTTTTAACTAGCACCTGACCATGAGACGATTTTCTGCTTGGTGTTAGTGACTTTGTTGCATCAGACACCCTTGGATCAGAAAATGACCTCGCGCTTGAATGTGGATTGTTCTGACTCGACTTTGATTTTTCTGGCACTTTTGCAGCAGACAAGGGCCTCTGACCTGATTTCCGATGGTTTAAGTTCATTGAGGTATCTGTAGTGGAACGACTACTGCAAGGCCTACTGGTTGAGCAAGTAGCTTCGACAGAATCCCCGGCTGACAAGTTGCTAATATTTGCTCTCGACTTTGAAGCTGTCGGGGTACGAGATGATTTTCTTCCTTCGATGGACGTCTTGCTACTCTTACGCTCGACCGCCAAATTAATCTTTTCTTGAGATTTCGTTGCACCTGGAGACGATCTCATGCAGCCAGGGCTCTTTCTTTCATCAGCCCAGTCAAAAATCATGGGGGCGGTTGAGTCCGTTCGAGATGGACCATCTTGGACGGGCTTGGGCACTCCCATGAGCTCCACAGAATCAATATGAGGATTTTCCTTTGGAAAGATGGTCAAAACGTCACCTGTAGTGAGCGATGTACTGCCGGTCTCTTCGGCTTTCTCGTTATCCTCTATGCTGGTCGGAGTCGAAGGAGATTGAATGATTTTGGAGTCGCCGGCCGTTATCTCCGCTTCACCGACATTAGAAACTTCTGTGGAGCTGTTGGTTCCCTCTTGACAGCCGCTACCATCATTCTCAATGGTAGCATCTTTCGGAGTGCCCACGAATGACGCGCCTTGCTTAGGAGCTGCAAGGGAAGATTTGTTTCACAAATAAGAACCAAACCAAGACAATACCAACAAGGTTGGACTGGAAAGTCATTCTTCCTCTAAAAAGGCAAAAGGCAAACTTTTTTTAAAGTTTTAGTACAAATGGTCCCTCGCGTCACGCAATCGCACGCGTGAGGTTTTAGTGATCAGATTTCATTTTTTTGATTGACAGTTACTCTGATTTTGTAATTCACACGCGGTCGGGTGTTTGTTGTTGTCATGAGTTGTTATCAGAACATGTAAGTTTTAGGAGCCGTAAAATTAAAACCGTGAGTTTATTTAACCGACGAGATATCGTTTGTTGTCTTCGCAACACATAATAAGCTTACATAGTGGAGGCCTTTCCTGGTTTTGAACGGGAATGAATAGAAAAGTCTGATGGCCGTAGAAATGTTTATGTAGTTACCTGGCCCTGTAGGTGAGCTCATGGCAGAAGGCTGTGAGTTTAAAGCTTTAGGACTCTTCTCTGGAGATGGATCGTTTTGAACGAGGTTCAACTGCGACTGGAGAATCTCAGCGACGAAATAGTCTAGCTCCGCCTCCGAGGCGGCGGACTCCTGTTAAAAGAAAAAAGCGCATTATTTGTCAGTTCGCTTACAATAATCACAATCCGCAAGTTTTTTGCATCGTAAAGGAAATATGTTTCGTTTTTTGTTACATTATTTGGTTGTTGTGTGATACGAAAATCTAAGGGAAGATATTGCAACTTGTATAGACCTGTTTGTACTGATATTCTACGCCTGGAGAGCATAGCGCGAAAAAAAAAAATAAATAAATAAATAAATAACACTCTTGATTGTGGCTGCTGGTCGGGTGTTTTAACATTGGTTTAATTAATTTGTAAAGACATGCACGCAAAACCTTCCCCCCCGCAAGAGATCTTTGCCTCTAGAGCTTCACAATTCGTAACTGAATCAACTAGAAAATGTTAGATATGTTTTCGTGTTTGCAGTTATCATAAAAGCAAGTGTAGAGTATTCAATTACCTGAGATGTCGACTGAAAATTATCCCCAACATCTTCCCTGTTGGGTGTGTCTCCGTCCTCAATAACCTGCTCGGTAGGGTCGGCCTTTGCTTCCTGAGCTGTTTGCTGTCCAGTTACACAGGTCTCAATAGTTCTGACTGGATTACCCTTTGCAGAAGCAGGACGTGACACAGGGCTTTTAAGAGACGGACAACTCTTTCGTCTTACGTTGCTGGTTGTCTTAGGCATATCGCCCTTTGATAAACGATTTGATATGGGTCGTTTGATCACCTCATTGGTGGCCTCAGCTGGATTTCTTTTAAAAGCTGGACTTGATCGTGGTCGGCTTTTAGGCTGAAAACGCGTTTGATTTGTCTTTGAGGTGTTTTTATTGTCGTTAGCTTGGCTCGACTTGGGCCGTACGGTACCCTGGGTACCTCTTTGTGTTGCCTTCACTTTGTTCTTTAAAACAGGCAGATTTTCTTTCATGGAAGAACTTGAACTGGTTCGTTCAGGCTGACAGCTTTTAGTCTGCTGTTGCTTGTGCCCTTTTGTAGGACTTGATGTTGGCCTCTTTGAACGCTCGCTCGTCATTGGTTTTGCTCCATCCTTGGTATCAGATGAACCCTTTTTCAAAGTGGGACTTGAATGAGGTCTCTTTGTAGACTGGTAGATTTGTTGTCTTGCCTCATTTGCGGTGTTAAAAGCATTGTCCTCTGATGACTTGGATATTCCACTTGATTTCAGACTTTTCACCGACTGGGAACTTGCTGGTCTTACCTCAGTAATGGTTTTTGCCTCACTTTTGGTGTTAACAGCATTTTCCTTTGATGATTTGGATATTCCACTTGATTTCAGACTTTTCACCGACTGGGAACTTGCTGGTCTTACCTCAGTAATGGTTTTTGTCTTACTTGTGGTGTTAACAGTGTTTTCCTTTGATGGCTTAGATATTCCATTTGATTTCAGACTTTTCACAGACTGGGAACTCGCTGGTCTTGCCTCATTTGTGCTTTTGGATGTATTCCCCTGGGCTTTAGAACTTGACTGGGGGACGTTTGGGCCAAGATGGCGGTTCTGTGGTTTACTAGTAGTTTTGGCGTTGTTTGGTCGGTTGTCCTTTGGCCGAGGGGATCTCGGACTGGATGTTATTTTCTTTAAAGCCTGAGTTTCAGATGCACTGTGCCTTAGTGAGGCACTTGAATTGAGCCCGTTAGAGTTCTCTGAAAAAAAAACGAAAACACAAACATAAATCATACATAAAAATTACATTTAATAGTGAAAAGTGTAAACTATTTGAACTAAACTAAACTAAATTTATTCTAATGAACTCAAATAAACTAAACTAAACTAAGCGTTTGCTAACATTACTCGGTGATTAAATAAAGCTATATAAGATTAGTTGACTTTGTGACGTTCCAGTATGCAGTACCTTAGAGATATTTTACGACCCTTGTGTATAGTATTTTGAGTACGAATTGCACTGGTATTTCAGGATAGGGTATTGAGTATATTGTTATCCCACTCCACCCCTGACCGGGCCTGAAGTTCAGCTTATAACTAGTCACCAGCACAAGAAAGCTGTTGCGTTGATAACACGTAAGGTTTCTTTTATTTGTACCAAATTTTGACTTTATTGAAATCCAGATAGCATCTGAGCTGAAACCCGTGTAAATAGTTTTTTCCCTTTGGACTGAATAAACAATTTTTGTATTTAATGTTTCGTCTGAAATAATTCCCTTTTTTTCTCATGTTCAAATATTATATTATCTACGGGGCTGAATTATTCAGGCAGTGTTGCAGAATGACAGCAAAGAGCTTAAAACATTACGAAAATTAACCCAGAGATTTTCATCGTAAAAAATTCTGTTAATGTTTGGATATTAAAGGACAAATCTTGTGACTCAGAAAAGTTAATGCAAGAAAAATTATACAGATAATCTAACACGAAAATATATTCGATGCTCAAATGTGAAAATGTCGTGAAAAATTTTTCGTTTCTCTGAAAAATTACAAAAATTAAAATATTTCTTGCAAGGAATTATATGATCAACTGATTTTTAACTTACTAAGTTTGGCTTCATTGGCCTGTCTTCGTAACTCTGCCGCCTTGGTTGTTTTCGGCAAGGGCTTAGTTGTTTTACTGGTTTTCGTAGATGTGCTGTTCAACCTGACTGGACTCTTACCTGTAAAGCAAGAAAAAAGTTTGAAGCTGATACTTACAGAAAATCTAGAGAACGCAAATGTAATTTCGTTTTTTTTTTGTAATTACTAATCTTTACGCGGAAATTTATTGACTCGTTTGAATCTTCATTCCGTGGTAAAAGACGTCTCAGTTCATTTGTGTTCTTTCGGGCGAATTCTGAAGCTTTTCAGAATAAAATTTTTTGCGCTTTCGTCTTGAAATGTCCACTTTCAAATTAATCAAACTATTTTGATTATGTTAATTGTGAACTGAAAAATCTGAATTCTCCAAAGGGAGTTGTACTTGTACGAGGCAAGCCTACATCAAGAGGACCACGCGGCATACAAATTTATGTGAAAAATTTAACCTCAAGCAGTTTTTAGAAAAGGGATCACTTTAAGTGTTTTTTCCTGGCCTTACCGGTGCACGGAACTTGAACGAGAACACAAGGACCCGCTTTAGATGCTCCACAACCCATCCTGGGTTGCAGAAAAATGAAACTTTCCGAATAATCTCTGAACGATTTGCAAACTTCTATCCGCAGTAAAATACACGACTGGTCGCGATAAAGCGAGAGAAGAACTGAAAAAACATTGTGTTACTAAGGCAACCAGTATGTTCTTTTTCTCAGTACGTCATGTTTCCATAGAGCTTTTGAAATCGTAAAAGAGTTCATTTTTTCGCCTTGTTTCTGTTAGAATAGCAAGTTTAAAGACGTAAGCTCAAGTAATCGAGTTAAGCTGAAGTTAAAAAAAGTTGTTCCATAAACTGTAATCAAAGGAATAAATCTTAAGCCATCTTACCTGTTTTAAGATAGTATCTCCGTTGTATCAGTGACCTTAAAACTGCAAAATAAACCTCTTCCCATAATATTTTCTCGCTCAAAACGTATATAACAACAATAGTTTACGTTGTTTCTAATCGACGCGCCATTTGTAAAAAAGACATGTCGGCGCGTCTTAGCCGGTCAGAGACCTGTCAGTCCTTCCCCAGTCCTAATGTCAGTCCCTGTCAGACAGACACTGGACCCGAATCACCGCTGTCCTCCTTAAGTCCTCCCGTCTTCCTCCCGTCCACGTTCTCCGCGGAAGGGTAGGGTCGGGAAGAAGAGGTTTGTAAACGACGGCAGAAAAAAACGTTCCAAGCGGTTTCAAAGTTTTATTTCGTTAGGTACTAAATCACCATGAAGTGGAATCGGAAGCATTTGCAAAATAATGTGAAACAGGTACTTAAAATATTGTGTTCTTCGTTTTTCCATGGATAATAGAAAGACTGTCTTTCTATTATCCATGGTTTTTCCGTATGATAAACAACGGGCTTGTTCTTAAGAGGTACTCTTAGTTGGGGGTGGGGTGGGGGTGTACTTATGTCCCTAGCGTAAATTTCTAACCTGTCGCCTTATAAGACGAGAAAGCCATATCCTTGACGATATTTTACTATTGTATTTGCAACTTTCTCAATTTCTTGTCGCAGTTTCAACCCATCTTAATGTCATTTGTCAGCCTTTCCACTTGTTTTACATCACTGTTTTAAGGTCATATCGCTTGTTGGAATTTTACCCTAGCATGACCACTCTGTAATGTGTCCCGACCGTTTGTAGTAAGAGAATAAAACCTTCATTGGTCGTCACTATTAAGCGTACATATTTGTGTCTTTTTATTAGCTTACAGTGACACAGATCCACCCTGAATGGTATGTTCCTGAGTAAGTGGGGTCCCAACATTTTGATCAATAATTGTCTAGTAGATATCACTGCTTGCAGTCTGATCGTCTTGTGTCTATAAATTTACCTAAGTGAGCATGAGCAAAAGCAGGGTCTTATAGGGGGTTACAGGGTTCGAATAGTGTCTTGAATTCTTGAAAAAGTCTTGAAATTTGCCCAGCAACTTTCCAGACCTGGAAAAAGTCTGGAAAATGGGGATAAAGTCTGGAAAAAATGATAAAAAGTCTTGAGTTTTTTAAGCTATGACAAGTGCTTTTTTGGTTTCGGTCAAATCTTATTCAATCTCACCCATATGTCTGCAGAACACCATGAAAAAACCATTGTTCCTGCTTTTTTAAAGGTCTCTATTGATCACCTATTTGATAACCTTGAGTCTGGAAAAAAGGAATTATTGTTTTGGGAAAAAGTCTGGAAAAAGTCTTGGATTTTGGATCGAAACATCTGTACAAACCCTGGGATATTAGGATAAAGAAAATATGGTTTTCCTTTTTGGGTATGAGCCCCCGTCTCATTCTGTTCCTTCTTAAGCAAATTCAAATTTCTTGCTTGTGCTAGGCAAATAATATTATATTGAGTGACAAAGGATGATGACAATTTCAAAGATAACCCATATAAAAGGAGTTAGCTTGTGTAGCAAGTGTTTCCGATCAATGCAAGCAAGTTGTAAAAATGGAAGACTTTCAGGACTTTCTTAATGAACTCGTGTGGAAGCGCTTGCTACACAGGCTAGAAAGCAGTCTACATATTTTTCAAGACCAGATGAGACTAAGGGGATATCTCATTCTTCATGCCACAATATTATTGGTCAGCACCATGTCCAAGAACAAAGGCATAATTATTGGCAAAATAAGGAGCCCAACAATCTAACATCAGATGGGAAAGTTGAAAGTTGTTTGTATTTGGTCAAGAAAGCATGGCTTCCATGTCCAAATAGAACATTAATCTTTTCACAGTGATAGTGCTAATCCTCCATCAACCAATAAAACCTGAAAAAAAAAAGAGAGAGAAGTTAATAGAAGACTAAAAAGCGACTGCCACTCAGTGGGGAACAATCATTAAGAATTGAGGATGCAAAGAAAAAAGACAAAAAAGTTTGATGACATGCAATCATAGGCGTACGGGCAATTTTTTGCCAGGGGGGGGGGCAGTAAACCATTTGCCCATAAAATTCTTGTAAGTTGCCCAAATTTTTACAAAAACAGTTGAACAGAAACGATGCAACAACATAGGCCGTACTAGCATATGAAGGTGGCTCAATACAGTTTTTCAGGGTCAATACCTGTGAAGTTTTTTTGAGCATAGATTACGCCACCATAAACAAACATTTGGAAAAATTACCACCACAGTTGTATTAGATAAAGATGAACATTTGTTATGATCCGGGTTGCAATAACATCGGAGTTGTCATAGCAACAAAATGACGCCATTACCTATTATACCTGCAGCAACATTTCTCACTGGGAACTGCTCCAAAATCGTTCACGGGAGCATTTTCCTCCAATAATTGACTCGATGTTCGTGAAGTTAAAACGGAATCTGTAACAGCGTTGCGGAGATATTTTGGGATAAAGTTTTCATCGTTAGAAATACGGTAAAAAAAGGAAAATCTTGATGTTTGCCGTTATCTGTAGAAAATGAAGCACTTTTGACATGCAATTTCACCTCATACTGGTTTCAATCTTTTGAAAAACGTGGGTGAAAGATCATGGAGATAGCTCTGGCCAATTGCTACAAAAAAGGATTTGAGTAGTATGTATCATGGCACTCTTGTTAGCAGTTTTGTAAACATTTCGGTCTACTTTAACAAATTAGTGAATAATTTTTAAACCACTCAATAAATTTTTTAAAAAAAAATTAAGATTCTTCGCGTAATTCAAACTGAGAATTAGTCAGCCACTTCTTCACTTTCAGACCCATTGCTGATGCTATCTGCCATACACTGTTCTACGAGCGGAGATGATTCTAGAAAGTTAGGCGGAAGTTTATTCTAATCAATTCACCACTGGAAATGGCCCATTGCAGTACAGTGCCCAACAACAAAAAAAATCAGCACATGATACCCTTCCCTTATAACCAGAAACTCATTACGTGCTAGGCAATGAGTCTCCTGTGAATGTAACAGTAGTGGATTATTACGCCAACTTCAGGTTAAAATAGAAAATATTTATCTCTTCAAAATAATGATTTAAAATCACGGAAACGTCTTAAAAAACTGGCTTTGCCCAAATTTTCTCTCGCTGCCCAAAAAATCTGAGTTGCCCAAAATTTGGGGGGGGGAGGGGGGCTGCGGCCCCCCTTGCCCCCCCCCGGCCCGTACGCCTATGAATGCAATTGACGTGGAGACTTAATAGCAAGGATATAAGTGAGAAATTGATCCTGTTTAACTTTCACATTATCGTCGCACATGTTAAGAAGACACTTCAGAGACAGACACTCGGAACAAGTTCCACGGATCAAGCTGTGCAAGATACGTTAACCTGATAGATTGCAAATAAGTGACCTAAGGAGACTAATTTGTATGAATTCTAAAGCATGCTGGTTTTGACCACTGCCTTGGAACCCTAACTCGCTGAGGGTACAACAACAAATAAGTTTTAAGGGTGATCGTACCTGTCCTGTGACGTAAGGTGTCTCTGCTAAAAAGCAAACTGTTTCTGCAACCTCATGGACTGTTCCATATCTTCTGAGTGGAATCAAAGTCTCAATTCCTGAGTTCTGTTGTCTCAAGTTTGAAGTCATGTCTGTCTCTATGAATCCCGGTGCAACCATGTTCACTCTAACATTTCGTGAGGCAACCTCTTTGGCCAATGATTTAGTGAAGCCTATAAGGCCTAAATGAAATAATTTTGATTTATTATGACCACCAATGCAATACCAGGTGAGCTTTTGCACAAAAACAAGATATCTTGAATTTCACACGTGAAAATAATGTGTCAGATCCTCACATGGGAAAAGATCACCATTGTTATAGCTAAGTGAAAAAATCGTGCCTTTTGCTGCAGAAAAAATACTAGACGAACATGGTTTGGTATTTCATTGGTGTTTATACAGTAAATAGAACATTTACATGGCCGTTTGGAGGTAGCAAATTGCCTCTCGTGTGAAAAATATTTCACTTTCTTGTTCTCTGTGCTCACTCACAAAATGTTTTCAACACTTGAAGAGAAATTTCATACCTCTACTCGACCATGTAAATGTGTTCTCTATATAATACCATAATTTCCTACAGCAAATATAGGAAAATAATCTTGTTCCAGGTAATATGGTGAGTGAAAGTGTCAGTCTTGTATAAGACTTAAAGGATTACATTGTACCTAAAATTATACACATTCTATACTGACAGTTTTCAGTGACAAGAAATAATGTCATTGTTGCATTGGATATAATCAAATGCACATTATTGTTAGTGAGAAACACATACAAATACAAAAGTCAAGGATAAATAGCTTATTTTCTTGTCACTCTAACGTCACACTAGTGTATTGGCTCATACCCATATAGTCCAAATAAGAGAGTCCCCCTTGGATGTAATGCATGGTTCCCCCCCCCAACCCCCCGGCACACCCCTGGAGATTTGCAAATTTGTTCTTTCCTGGTGGTCTATTCCCCACCCCTGGGCACGCAAATAGAGACATTTCCCCACCCCCGAGTTCCTGATCGACCTCATAAAGGTATTTTTTGGGTACCTCTTTTTGGGATCAATATTGCTTTCTGTAAAATAGCAAAATGAGACATTTTGACATTTTCATAACTTTTATAAATGTTTTCTAGAGTTTATTTAGAGAAGGATAATAAGTGTATAATGCGGGAAAAACATGAACGATAAATTTGAAAATGGAAAAGCGCAAAGAAAAAAGTAAATCTCTGTTATCTATGTATACATATTAAAAGTCTAGTATCCTTCTTAGTACAGTCTATTTATGTTGTCTTCTTATTAAACAAGGCTGAAGAAATATTTCTTTGCTTCTTTTGCAAAAAAAAGAAAAAAAAGCCATTTGAGTACGCATCAAACCTACACTTGTTTGAAATTTTGAAACATACCCTCAAATACATACTTAACATTTGATAGGTTTTTCCTCTCCAACCACTCGTTGACAAATTCCTGTGTCATGCAAACAGCGCAAGGAATGACACATACTTTACAAAATCAAAGAGAAGTTATCTTTGATCCACCCCACCCTCTACCCCTGGCACAGCACCGCTTCACACAATTTCCCACCGCCGGGCCCGAAAAGCTGGACTTGTCCCGTAGGGGAGTGGTAACAGGTCAAATTGAACCATGCATAATCTTATAATAAATTAATAATAAAGTATATATTACCTGACTTTGAAGCAGCGTAAACACACTGCCCTGTATTTCCCTTCATTCCCACCACACTACCAATGTTAATAATAACACCGTCTCTTTCTCTCAACATGTGTTTTAGAACAGCTTGCGAAGTATACATTGTTCCAATAAGGTTCGTATTTATCATACTCTGCATTTGTTCTGGTTTTGTTCTGAGCAACAAGTTGTCGTAATTCACTCCTGCCGCGTTTACAAGAATGCTAACTTGCCCCAGAAGGTTTTGGATTTCTTGTACGGAATTTTGTACTGATTTATAACAGCCAATATCACAGTTCAAGCTGACATGTTTTTGAAGAGACGTGCTACCCGCTTGCAAACAACGCACACATTCAGCTGCACGATTTTTGTCTCTTGATAAGACAGCAACATTTCCTCCTCGACTGGCAAGAACTTTACTTACGGCTTTACCGATTCCTCGGGATCCTCCAAAAACTGCGCATACTTTTCCATGCAGTTTACAAACCATGGAAAACACACACACCCTTGCTAATAGATCGTACTCCTCGTTCAAGACAGAAATTCAACAGGCGTTACTCCGCCAGTATCAGTAATTCTTAACGGGGTACGGTGAGTTGTGCATTGTGGTAGGGTGGCCGGGGGTGTGGGAGCAAGCAAAACCAAGTCTATAAAGGATTGATCGCAAAAAGATATGAGTTGACGGAGGTGAATAGAGGTTATTGAAAAATAAATTTTGCAAGGCAGAAATTGCGCACATAAAATTAATTCTTCACAGCACAGATTGGACACGGTTGGAGGGAAGGCCTCAGCTTCGTCGACAAGAGTGAAATGAAGGCAATCCCTGCAGATTTAGAATTTTTAGCCTTCGTGCCAGCCGTGCAATGCATGAGTACAGCGTGCGACGCAAGGAGGGAGGCGGGAAATATGCGAGTCAGACCTTAAAGGGTATTTTTTCTTAGTCAGTCCTGTGGTCTAAAAGTAGCAGGGTGTAACAGGTCTCTCCCCTAGAGCTACCACTGATGTTACTCCTCTTTCTCAACTTTCCCTTCTAGTCCATTTCAGAAATTACTGATAAAGGAAGGTACATCCACTCAAAGCAATCATGTCATAGACAGGACACACAGTAATGTTGTCTTTCTGGTTGACATGCTGGATACTTTTCCTAAGCAGTTAGGCTCATAATTTTTAATGTCATCTACTGAAGACCAACATTATAAAGAGGTCACAACTTTCATAATCAAAAATATAAAGTGACTATTCTCAGACAATAAACAAAGCTTGTCATACTGACCCTGTTCCTTTTATTGCTGAGCAGTTTCGTACATCAAGATTACCTTATCTTAAAGCATTTTAATGCTCCGACCATAATAAACTCAAAATGAGCATGAAAACAATGATATCAGCACAATAATCAGAAATTTCAAAACCTACTACAGCCCCTACTTCTACCTAAGATCAAGATCACTGAACACTCAGTTCATGCCTCCCCATAAAACTGAAACTGCTCATTTGGGAAAAAGGGGGATTCAAAACAGTCTAGAAAAAATCTGATTAACAATTTATTGAACAGTAAATAAAATATTATATACTAACTACGTACTGTCTAATATTACATATTATTATATGGAGGAGAGTGTTTTACTGGGAACTAAACCACTCGTAGATTCCATACGCCACTTCATCCGGGACCCGAGTGGCGTATTTTCCGTATGTCACCTTTGTGAGTGTCGTATCGTTCAATGACGTCACAATTCCTGTCTTTTGCTTTTGTTGAATTGGTTTCTCCATATAATAAAAAGAACATTACACATTGGCTCGAAGATATGAATTTTATGTTCTCGTGGCAAGAACAATATCTCACTCGTTCGCTTCGCTCACTTGTGAGATATTGTTCTTGCCAGTCGAACATAAAATTCATATCTTCTCGCCACCGTGTAATATCCTCTATTTATGAGAAAGTTGAAAAACAATATCACTTTTCACCTTACTTTGTAAGATACACCTAACATATACTTAATTGTTAGTATTATAATGATGTTCTCTCTTTACTAATATTGCAAATTAATCAATACTGATTGACAGCTCCTGACCTGTAGTGATTATAATGAATTATCAGTATGAAGTGTATTTTAGTCCAAAACTATCTACATTACACAATTAATAGAGAAACATTATTGTACCCTTTTCAAAAAGCTCAATTTTGATACCAAGGGAGAGTTTTAAAAAGTCTTTAAAGATAACATAAAAATGGTTTTACAAGTTATATTGAGAAAGAAAACTACTTCTTCAGTGAAATATTTATTTGAACAGAACTGAAGACTTTCCAAAAAATGGATTGCACACGCCATAGCGTTGCGCAGGAGACAATACTCATGCCATTATTTTGATCTCAATATAGCCAATCAAAAAAATTGATTTTTCTTACTTAACCAGATCTCGCCTTTGGCTTTGTAAAAAAAAAAAGATCTGGGTATGAGATTATATGTAAACAGCAGGTCCAGGCTGCTTTACTGAAGTAAATGAATGTGAATAATGCAGTAATTTTAGGAGTCCTGAATGCGTAATTAAGGTAATTGAAGGTGTGCTTATGAAAAATATCATAACCAGTGCATGATGTTTTCCATTTACATTATAGAGTTGTTAATATTATAAATTAAATTAGAGGCTTCAGTTAAACTGAAAAAGCAAGGTACTGATATCACCATGTGATTAAACATTCAATCTGTCATCAGGGCGCAAATAAAACTTGAATTCCAGCTTGTCCTTTGGGCAAGCAGCTGCCATATTTTGCTTGCCCAGGGCCAGCTTTTATTCATCTTAGTTAATAATTTTGTTAGAGGATCACTTGCCTGGACCCTTGCCTATTGAGTATGCAAGCTTTAAGATTACTTGCCAAGCAAAATTTACAAGTCCTGGACTACTGGATGAGACTTCCATGAGCCCTGTATCCTGTGGTCTAAATAAATCATTTTATTATATAAACACCAATGAAATACCAGGTGAGATTTCGCGCGAAAACTTGATATCTTCACCTGTGAAAATAACATGTTATCTTCACGTGTGAAAATATCATCGTTGCTATGGCTACATAATAGATTGCGCCTTTCACACCAAAAAACTATTAAAGTGAAATGGTTTGGTAGTTCATTGGTGTTTATATAATAAATAGAACATTACATGGCCGCTTGGAGATACGAAATTTCTCTTCTCGTGTTGAAAAAATATTTCAGTCGTTCGCTGCGCTCACTCGTGAAATATTTTCAACAATCGAAGAGAAATTTCGTATCACCGTGCGGCCATGTAACATCCTCTATTTACAACTTGATAGGACATCACTGCTAAAAATACTCTGTTCCAAAGACAGAGAAGCAAAAAAGTGCACTCAGTGGCACATCAGCCATCACACCTATATACCCCCCCACCCCCTCTGACCACCATCGCCCTCAACACAGCTTAAAAAACTACATTTTTCAGTCACCATCACCATCACCTCCACCACCCCCACCACCTCCTGAGAGGGTTTCTGTTGGTGGTACATAACTATCTGCTGGACCACTAGCAAATGCACTGTCATACTTAGGGCGACTTCCTCCTCCTCCACCAGACTCAATAAGAGGACGCCTGAAGACACCCAGCTCCCTCTTACAATTTGGACACTGGTGTGACACATCCTTTGCACAGTCAGTGAGAAATGGAATGCAACAACAACTGAAAAGATACAAGAGAAATTTCATAATAAACATTTTTTTTATATATTTTGTTCAATAAACATGTAGCTCTGGCCAGTGAAACTCTAGCAAACAAAATTTTGTGCATGAAAATGTTTGATATCGATTTTAAAACAACGAAAAAGATGAAAAAAGCATTGAACTGAAAAACAACGTCATAATAATATATGTGACATTCTCACCCAAACATGGAAAGCATACAGCAGTAGATAAAGGTAGTGTTGCCAACACGATGATCTATCTTGGTGATGATAGTAGCACCACAATGAGGACAGCGCATGTTAACAGGCAGCTGTTTAAGAATGATTGGTTGTGGCAATACCATGGGCTGTTGTGTAATAACTGTTGACTGACCTGCAACATATCCAGGACCTGCATATCCTGGCTGAAAGGAATCAACAAGAATTTCATGAACTGTGCACAGCTTTCTTATATACAGACACCAATGAAAGAGGGGGACATTGGGGGGTACCCAATACCGCAATACTGTAAGAAAAAATGGCAAATACCGAAATACCGCGTCGAAAATCGTCTAAATACCGATACCGTAAATTTTAATCACATTTATAATCGGTTGCGCATACTTATGGTTGCTTCCATCTAGCGCGTTTAATTATCTCAGGCATTTATGCACCAGATGTCCATGTTTTTTTTTAATATTTTAGTAGTTCGCAATTTTCCGCAAATTTTCACTGAAAAGTAAACTACATTCGTTCAGCCTTTTGGTATTTCGACCCAACAGCTAATTAACTCCAATAAAAATAACTCTTGAAAGCGCGAAAAACAAACCAACCAAAACCCTTTCCACGCACGTCTAGTGCGAGTTTTGATATAAAGTGAGTCTAGTCTAGCACGTCAGTCTCTCAGGGGTCAGATCACACGCCGCGCTATCCTCGGAGACCCAGGGGCAGATAGTGGGGACGAGGGAAAGTCTAAACGGGCGGAAAAATATACAATAAATAATAATAATGTTTATTTCTTATTTTGCGCAGTCTAGCATGCGATAAAGATATGATCGAATGCGCATTACAACACTAAAATCCTAAAGTAATAAATGGCTAATCCAAATAATGATAATAATAATAATAATAATTTACAATTTTCGGAAAACAATAAAAAGTAAAATATGAGTTAATAAAAGAACTAATAAAAAGCTAATTTAAAAAGATGTGTCTTTAGTAAAACTTCAAAAATGTTCAATGATTGACATTGTCTAATTTATATATGGAACGAAGAAAAGTAAAGAACGGCGAGAAGAGCCCCTGGGGACAATGTCTTACCAGACCAGTTCCAAACGGTCGTCGCCGTTTTGGCTTCTGATTGGTGCCAGAAAAACACAAGTTTTCTGGCACCAATCAGAAGCCAGAACGGCAGCGACCGTTTGGAACTGGTCTGAAAGACATTGGGCGCGATCCATTCAACCAAAATCTTCGGAAATTTCGGTCCAAAACTCAATGGGTCGGTTCGGTCCAACCGGAAAAGTTTCGAAAAAACGGGTCCACCTTTTGAGGTGGTCCACTTTTCCCGGTCGGACCGGTTGGAATTTTGGTTGAATGGATCGCGCCCATTGTCCCAGGGGCTCTTCTCTCGCCGTTCTTTACTTTTCTTCTTTCCATATATATTTTTCCGCCCGTTTAGACTTTCCCTCGCCCCTTTATCTGCCCCTGGGTCTCCAAGGATGACGCCGCGCTGTTAAGAGGCAAACTTACCAAATTTTCGCTTTTAACTTTACAAGGCGTTTTTCAATTCTCGAAACCCAACATCTAAACTTATTCTTGTTGCAATAATGTTCGCCTCCTTCGCCCTCTTCATATAAAATTGCTACACATTCAATGATGACCACGCCGTCTTCAACCTCAGCGACCTCAGACATTGTGAGAAAACGTTTAAGACCTCGAATTACCGGCACAGGTAAACAGATCGACAAGCCTGGTAAGGTAACTTGAGACGACTCATTATCATTGGATGCAACAACAATCACATTGTATATTATCGACCATTAGGGACGGACCATTAGAAAAGTTATGGGGGAATTTTCGAACCGCAGGAATTTTTTTTCATCATCAAATTCCTTGTATGAATTTTTTTTAGACTATAGCATGAATATTTTTTAGGATTAATTGGCGTGCAAGAATTTTTTTCATTTAATTTTCGCTTGCGCGAATTTTTGTTTTTGTACTTCGCCCGCCCCCCCCCATAAGTTTTCTAATGGTCCGTCCCTTAACTGTCACAAAATGACCCACAAATGGTGTAATCATTTACCGTTATGTCTCAAGACTTCTAAATATTAACTTTTATTGACCTTTATGTCTTACTGTGTTTTGTTTTGCGTATTGTATCGAAAGGAAAGCGCAAATAAACGGTACCGTAATACCGTGAACAATCTTTTTTCACCGAATACCGTCAGCCAAAATGATGAAAAACCGCATACCGCAGAGCTAGATGATACTGCAATACCGCACGTTAAAATTAAAATTACCGAAATACCGCATGAAAAAAAGCCCAATACCGCAATACCGTAAACCCCCATGTCCCCCTCATGAAACTGGCACTTATAGCTGCATATCACTAATAAGAGGTATCTATGCTATAGAAGTGACTGTATGCGGAACCCAACTTGGTCCACAATTCAACTTGCATCTTGAACGGCTGTGTTTTTGGACTGGGAAAGTGTGAAGTTTGGTGAAAAGCAGTCTACATGTATGGTACCAATGACCAATAGTCAAAAGGACTTCAATTCCAAGATGTTAATTTTAAAATATGACTTAACCACGTATGCAACAAAATGAAAAAAATTAAGTCTCATGTCTTAAACAAGTTAGCAAACAATGAACAAGTCTTAAAGGCGGTCAGGGTATGAAGGCCTTGGGAACACACCTCTACACAAACTCCCTTCTGTCCCCCCCCCACCCCCCACTCAGATATCATGTCATATTTGCTGCGAAGTCTGCAGCAGACTAATTAAGGCAATCTGCATGACCAGCCTGGGTTGTCTGTGCCCAAAGCCAGCTTCATTTGAGAATTTTTTGATTTGTTTGTATGTATGTAGGTAGATCACCAAAATTGCCTCGATTTCATGGCCCTCGAATCAAGGCCCTTTTGGTCGCAGCCAATCAATTCAGAATTACTGGTACACTCCAAAGGGAAACCTCTAGAACAGTTGACTGTCGGTAAAACTAAAGGCGGAGAAATCCTGTTTTGTGTCACAAGCCACATTTTACGCAAGCAAGTTAAAAAATTCTCGTGAATTGTAGCGATACATTTCTCAGAATATTTGACGTAACTCCTGGAACTCTACGGTAAATAAATTCAGTGTTTTGGCCAGGCTTTGTTGTATTTATTTAAGCTTAGTTATTAAGAGCTTTTCTGGAATGTGTGACAAGGTTTGTTCTCCCCTTGGCAGTAAAACTAGCCTGCAAGAACATTCGTTTCTCCTCGCTCTTCACCGTTGGGGACGTTTCGCGCGGAGGAACGTCTGCGACTCAGCGACAGAAATTCCATACTGATGACGTAAAATCTGTCCGGAATCCGGTCAGAAGCGCTTATTGGTCAATGGAGTAGTTACATTGTTTTAGCTATTGTTTACGAATGACAGACAAAAGACAAGAGACCACAAAGGTTAAATCTAAATGCGAAGAATCTCAAACAAAACAGCCAATATTTGTGGAATATAGTCTTCTCTTAAAGAAGCATTTGAGTTTTGCTGGAGCTCGTGGCAGATGAACACAACACTCCACCAAAATCGACCAGAAGACACGTAAAATTGGTCAAATTTATATTTGGAACCCCATGACTACTGGATTTATAATGTAAACATTGATTTGCATCATCAGTATGGAGTTTCTGTCGCTGAGTCACAGAGGTTCCTCCAAGCAAAACGTCCCCAGCGGCGAAGAGCGAGGAGAAACGGATGTTTTCGCAGGCTACAGTAAAACGTTTTATACACGACAGAAGCAAAGACTGAAAATGCCTTGATATGCTCGCAAAGCATAATGAACCAGTTTAATATTGAACTTCATGATCACGGACACATATTTGCATGACCCTCCCCCTTTTAATGGCCCATTTTGCATGAACCCTCCCTTTCCTGCAGTCTCAAAAAGTTGTGACCCTCCCTCTGTTTCCACCCCCTTCCCTCCTGCTACTTTCTGACAAGTCCCTAAGACAATTGAATCCAGCTGCCTACCAGCTCTCACTGCCGGGATCTCACTGGGTCATCAGACAACGTTGATCACTTTACTATTGACTGATTTGCGCATCATTACAAACAACGACAACACAAATTTACCGTTCAGAAAAAACGGCAAAACAAACTATCCACAATTCTAACAAAGACTCTGAACGTAACTGGTTCGAGTAAGAGTTGGGAGAGAGACCATGAGAGTTCGAAGCCAAACGAGACCAAAACTTTGAATTCGAATGCTCCTGGCCTAGCCTGATCTTGCTTGGCCCGGACTTTCCTTTAAGAATTAGTCTGATCGAAAAAAGATAAAAAAATAAATCTTCGTTTCTCTACGAACTTAAAACGTTTAGTGAATAAGCTGTATTTAATATCCAAGAATTCTCTCCTTACCTGATAGTAGGCTTGAGTTGGAGCTTGAAGGTACTGCCCCGGAGGCGGTTGCTGATAATATCCAGGTTGTTGAGGAGGATAATAATTTGGAGGATACTGGCCTTGAGGTACATTATAGCTTTGACCTGGTGCTGCCATAACGGTATAAATATGTTGTAAATGGACTTGTTTACTTCGATATTCTCTCACGTTTTTTCAAACGATCATTACTTACTTAGGAAGAGGATCTAGTTGCGGTTGTGTAAATACTTATGCATTGTGGGATATAATGTCTAAGGTGCGTGACAACAAGCGTTACGCAATACTTATTGACGTCACGTTTTTCCTAAGTCACGTTTGAGTTAATCAAAGCAGCCAACTGATTCTTACAGCAAGACAAAAGCAAAAAACGAAAAAACAAAAACAAAAACAAACAAACAAACAAACATACAAAAAAGAGAGAGAAAACACTTTAACTTATCTTGTAGCATTTTACACGATTTTGTTTTCTTCGGGATACAATGGTGACGTAAAAATCTCCGCAAAAGAGGACGTGCATCCACTCTTCGTTTCCTGTCTCCCACGCGTTGGGGCAAATTACCCGTGACCATCGCTAACATCATGGATTCTTATGTCCACCTCCGCTGATGTAACCCTAATGGGACTTTTTCATGTTGTTTTTTTTGCTCTAGTTTTAATGTCTTCTTGCTTGTGGGGCAATACAACTACGTTTGTCTTGTCAACTTTCAGATTTGAACAGAGTTGAGGAAGTTTTAATGCTTAATTTTATTCTGAAAAATACTGAAATACGAGTAGTTCCTGAGGAGTGTGGTCACGCCAAAGTGATTTCCATCACAAAACGAAACTGGTACAACTACACAGTGGTTGGAGTCACAGCACGTTAGCCTGCGTAGAAGGTTGTCCCTCTCCTTTCTGGGCATGCCATGCAGGCCACAGCATAAGGAGAGTTCGCTCCTGACAGCGTGTGATGGTTAGGGAATAGGACAGGACTGTTTTAAGAAGGGATTCCCTGCGACTATCTTCTTTTTTGACGTAGAAAAGTATAAACAAAAGAAAAAAGAGACTCCTAGGTGGGTGCAACACGAGCTTCATAGTTTGACCAATTACCAATTTCCCAAAATACTCGGACGGCGTGGGTATATATAATCAGCTGTATTATTCTGGCCTAGACCAAAGTTTAAATCAAAAATTTCCTTTCAGGAGCCCATTGAATCTGGCCGAGGGTCCCGAGGCATTCACCGACATGTAGTATTGTCAAAATTTTCAAAGACACGTTTTTTCTAGATCGTCTTTCAGGCGAACATAGATTACCGTGAACAGAAAATGGAATTTACATATCATACAAATGATACATGGGAGCTTACATTTTAACACACGTCTAAAAATAACCGGTGGCCGAAAACGTCTGGACAGGCTTTGCTCATGAGTTGCACGTTCGGATAATGAAACGGCCAAAACGTGTATAAAACGTCGCTTAAAAAGTGAACTTATACTCAGGCCCGGGGGGTACTCCCATACATTACCTATACGGGTATGTGCCGCCCAACGGGGTCGTGATTTTGAAGCTCCTGATTTAGAACGGGGTATCCATTCCAGAGGCGTTTTCTAGAACGGGGTATAAAAAATTGTGGATCACGGCTTTATCTTCTGCTTAAAATTGTTGCTGATTATGAAGATTATGATGAAGCATTTATTTGATGTATAAGTCGAACAAATAAAGAAATATATTTTTTAAAAAAACAGGGCTATTTCACTACAAACTTTCTAGAACAAGGCGAATTCTAGAACGGAGTATAAAAAATTGGCCCCTTTCTAGAACGGAGTATCAGTTTTAAGGCGAATTCTAGAATGGGGTATAAAAAAGTGGCCCATTTCTAGAACGGGGTATCAGTTTTAGGGGAATTTTTTTTTAGAACGGGGTGCCAATTTGGAGTCCCGGGCGGCACATACCCACCCAAAAAATACCCAAGTGCCCCCCCCGGGACTCAGGCTAGTGAATTTGCGTTCTTTCAATCTCTATACCGATTACTCCAACTCATTTACTTTGTCAAACGCAAGCGAACTCTTTTTGAGCCGAATTCCTAAGAACCATATTCAATTTTAGCCGTCAATTGTTTACGTCCTCCATAAAACATGAAATTAGGCATTTCCTCCTCGTAGTCGTAGCCGTGCAGTGACGGCAAAGAAATGGACAAAAAAGCGTGATGCACGCGCAGAGTTTTTGTTTTGCCTATTCAGCCTCGTGCTTTCTTGACTTTCTTTTTGTCGTCGTCGTCGTGGTATCTTAAAGTCCCTATTAACAACACCAGAGAGGAAAAATTAGTGTAGGGGAGAACACTATCATACAGTGCGACTCCAAAATATCACTGATTAGGTTTTTTATTATCATTAAAACTCAATCGTTAGTCTTCCTGATTGAAGACATATTTCACCTTATGCTAAAAACTGGCTCAGAAATCTTGAGGAAATTTGATCCACATTTCATGATGAGTTGGGCAAATAGACAAGTAGTTCAGTAGGTAGATAGAGATTTGTGACCGGGAAAAGCATGGGGGGAAATACGACTGGAAAGTTTGTTCCTAATTGAGTGGTGAGCTTCTCAAATCAGCTCCACACAGCTGAGTGTAATTATCTTCCAACTGAAACAATTGTTGATGAAAATTCGCAGGTGAGATATTCAAATAGAGTTCAGTCATTCCCAAAAAAAGAACTTGAATCTGCCACAATGGAGTTCAGATCACGCTCCACTGTACTAAGCAGCATTGAACCGAGATCTGTTGCACTGTCATGACTCAGCGGTCTTCCAGATAACGCATGCGTGTCGTGAGAGGAAAGCGGAGGCAATGTGTCGAGTGAGAGGGGATCTTCCACATTGAATATAGTGTGAGGCAAGCTTAGGAAACTGTTCATAGTGCTTGATACCGTTCTATCAGACAACTGCTGTGTTGTTGAGAAGTCTCTTCCGTGCGGATAATCCGTGTGGGTTGATTGGTGCTCCGTGTAGTATTCACTATCCACTAACTTAGCCGTAGACCTGACAAATGACGGCGGCACAAAACAGGACGTTGACGAAGACCCTTCGCTAGGACAGGCGCTTATTGATGATAACAGACTAACATCATTTGAAACGTCAGCGCTTTCCAAGACGTCAGCGCCTTCCGCCTTCTGATTTTCACCAGCCTCTTGTGAAACCTTCGCGCGGTCCGTGTCGGCTACTGATTTCTTTTTACGCGTAGGCTTCTTTGCTCCTTTAACATTGTTTTTAGTTCTGTTTTCTTTAGCCAGTGTACTCTGCAGCTTTTTCTCTTGCTTTTCGTGCTCCTTGCATGGAAGGTGTTTCCTAAGACACACCTTTTGATTAAATGTTCTGTGACAGATGTCGCATTTAAATGGTTTACTGTCTGAATGAATTATCATGTGCTGTTTAAAGTGGTCTGGACGCTTGAAACCTTTTCCACAGACCTGTAGAAAAACAAACAAAAGCCTAAACAAACAATCTTTATCTACTCTGGGGAGGTGTCAAAAAAGGCAAACCAGGGGTCAATTAAATAAACTGATTTGTACAAGTGTACTGAATTTACAAGTGTTGCAATTGTTTCTGAGTGTTAAGACAAAAGCTACATTTATAAATAAAAATTATAAAAGTGAAACAACATTAAACGCAGAAACAGGCTCCAAAGTAATGATAAGCAAAACAATTGAGAGAAATAAAGTAACCACAGGTATGAAAGTATCCCAACACGGCTGGCTGGTGTTTATCCCGGTTTCGTAAAGCACCTAAACAGCTAGAGCATTACTCCCTCCCCTCTTGTTCTAGGCTATCGTAAGGTTCCCATGAGCAGTATATTAGCGTATAACCTCAAAAATCTACACCTGCAAGGAGAGAAAAGATGCAGAGCAAATTTTCAAGTTTAAGGAAACAAAGTTGATGGTATACAACCAAGGCTGGTGCCGCCTACACTTGGGGGCCGGTCGATTCGCTCGGACTAGCCAATGTAAATACACCCGATGTCAGTAAAACAGATGGATTGCGATAAATAAAACAAGGGCTTTCCCTTGGTAACACCCTGTCATTTCCCCTACTTTCTACGAAGCTGGCTACGTATAACGCATTAGCTTATTAATTCACTTTAAAACACAACTGATTGTATATTCCTGGCTGTTAAAATATGACGCGCCGAGGTTTAAACTATTTTTGTTAACTATACCTCTCTTAAAGAAAGTTAACACTGATTATTACTATTGAAAAGAAAAAAAACGTTTTACCATTAGCTTGTTTTAATCCGTAGAGTATCCAGGGGCGAGGTTAAGCCCAGTCAAACTCTTGATTTATTAAAGGGGCTAGGACACACTCTATCTTTTATACTACTACAACGTATCTTCCCATCAATTGAATTCCAAAAATTACTTAATTAATTACTGTTTTGTTAATTAAGACTATATTTCGGGATTGAAACTGCTTCCTGTCGTCTGTTGCTACAGATGGACACGGATTAAAACATGGATTGAAAAAATTGAGCCAACCTCTTCAAGTTACCTAGAAAAATGATTAGTGATTATGATTAGTGCGTCCTAAAGAAATTTGTTTCACATCATCATAATTTTACAGGAGCATTTTGTGAATGGGTCAAAGGACCTCAAAGCCTTTCGTAAGTAACTTCAGCACAGAATCCTCGTTACCCAGTGTTCTCACCAGGCCGCGGTCTTGCGGGATTCCCGCAAGAAAAAACTGAAATGGCGCATTAAAACCAAGAAGATGCGCCCGTTAGGGCGCAGGGGCAAGCTACGAGTCAAACGGACTTAAGTAGTTTTAATGGTCACCCTAACACTAAAGCATTCTGTTTGTTTGAATAAATAAAAAAACATGATATCAAATGAGTCAAAGTCTTTAATTTTGTTGCCTTTACTTTCATTGGTCCCCGGGGGGGGCACTTGGGTATTTTTTGGGTGGGTATGTGCCGCCCGGGACTCCAAATTGGCACCCCGTTCTAGAAAAAATTTCCCCTAAAATTGATACCCCGTTCTAGAAATAGGCCAATTTTTTATACCCCGTTCTAGAATTCGCCCTAAAACTAACACCCCGTTCTAGAAATGGGCCAATTTTTTATACTCCGTTCTAGGGTGCAACAAGAGTACAACGGTTTGCTTCTTAACGCACTGAACCGTATTTTAAAAGCAATCTGTCCTTGAATGCTTTCAAATGGCTACTTACAAAAGTGGAGAGCTTTCGTGCGTTCGAAATATTATACCCCGTTCTAGAAACCGCGTCTGAAATGGATACCCCGTTCTAAACCAGGAGCTTCAAAATCACGACCCCTTTGGGCGGCACATACCCGTATAGGTAATGTATGGGAGTACCCCCCCCCGGGCATTGGTCCCACGCACGTCCCACTACATCGTAAACTCCTCCTCCGAATCGTAAACACCTCTTCCGCCATATTGGATCAGGTAGGTACTTCATGTAACAGACAATTTGGAGTGCGGGCTCAGGTTCTTCGTACCGCGTGTTTTTTGTAACTTTGTCCCCCTAATGTTCTTACAGGGCCCCTATTTCTCAGAAGAGGGGGCCCTGGGACTCCCCAAGGCAAAATCCTGGTGAGAACACTGGTTACCACCATAGCCCCTTTAACACCAGCTTAGTAAAAACAGTCTGAAGTAAGGTTTTATGTAACTGACGGCAAGTGCAATCGCCGTCGAGCGAATAGACAAGTGAATGAGGAGAAGAGTAAATGGAACTAAATAAGGCTTTAAGTTCCAAAGTTTTCTAAATCGAAAATTTCTGAAGATAGATTTAGTAATTACCTCACAGACAAAAGGTTTGTCTTTTGAATGCGAAAGAGAATGCATCTTGAGGCCGTAGGACTTGGTGAACATCTTGCCACAGATTTGACACTTGTGTGGACGAATGCCCGTGTGCTTGGCGCTGTGATTTTTGAGTCCGGTCGAGTTGATAAAGGAAGCATCGCAATGTTGGCACTTATGCGGTCTTTCGCCAGTATGCCGCATCCGGTGCTCTTTCAAGGTACCTAACACGTGAGAAAATAAAAATAAAATAGATTAAAATATTACACCCGCGAAGATACAAAAAGTTACCTTAACTAGCCTGGCCTGATCAACGTGATCCTTTTCGTAAAATCTTTAGAAATTTTTTCCTGGGCTCAGTTGTTCTAAAGGTGGATAAACAGGATAACGCTATCCACCGGATAACGCAATTGGTTCCACTAATATGTGGGTTGAGTTTGTTGTTAGTTCTCTCGTTTGCTCCGATATGTTTTTCTGCAGCTACTCCGGTTTTCCCCTCTCCCCGGCAGAAACCAACATTTCGAAATTCCAATTCGACCAGGAATCAGGTAGACGAAGAACCTTTGAGTGGATATGCTACCTTTAAATCGTTATATATTATTTATTTATTTATAATACTTATCCTATGGGTAGTGATTTATTCAGCGGATAGCACTATCCAACATTTGAATGTTGCTGAAAGTCGCTTCTTGATCATAATAATTTCTCCTCGGGCCTCAGTCGTTCAAACGTTGAATAGCGCTATTCGCCGGATAAATCACTATCCAGCAAATACGTATTGGGGAAACCAGAGAGTCAAAAGGACGTGCATAACGCCTTGGAAACTTATTTGAGTGTCTTTTTCGCCCAAGGGTAACTAGACCTGTTATGCAGGCTCGCTCCAGAGGCCACTTTTCAATCGGCCGATGGACTTGGTCGTGTGTTGTGCGTATTTTTTCGAAAACGGAGGAAAAAATCTTCTTTTTCAAAAAAAAAATATATATATATATATATATCCGCATACGTGTGGGCGGGTCCTTAGCCTCCCACGCAGGGATGAAAGATGAGCTCCCCTAACGAGCTCCCCCTCCCACTCAGCCATAAGTAAAAACTGACGAAAGTGATTTGACAAACGTCGTTTGAAGCTTATTCTCAGTTTAAGTAGAACTAAATGTAAGGTACAGAGTGCAGTGTATTAAAAGAACTCACGTTGATGGGAGAACCGTTTATCGCAGAAGTCACACTTGAATTCTTTGACTCCAGTATGCGTCACGTTATGTTTCTTCAGGTAGGATTTCTCTTTAAACGCCGCATTACATATCGAACATTTGTGAGGCCGTTCACTGGAGTGAAGGCGCTTGTGTTTCTTAAGGAAGCTGGACGTCAGACAGATCTTTCCACACTCTTCACACTGGTGACACTTTCGACAGTCTGTGGTAAGATTCACAAAACGCAAAGTTTCATTAACCCTGATTAACTCTTCCACTCCTAAAGTAAATGGTAGAGTGCGGTATAAAGGTGGTTCTAATTTTTTAATCTGTGGACGAAATCCTGCGGTGTGACCATTTAAATAAAACCTCTCCAGCGGTACTTCCTAATGGCTCTCTCCTCCGCAGAGGCTCCCGCTGGGTATCACTAAAAAATAGCAATAACCGGAAAAATAGAAAGCGCGCAGGGGACGATGGGAAGAGGGAAAAATTTGAAATCTTTTGCCTAATTTTTACTTTGGCTACTTCTCGGAGTTGATCGGGCAGGGCAGGCAGGGCAAACGAAAATGGCAAGAAAACGAACTAAACTTTGAACCACCCTATGACCTAAACACTCCCGTCATTCTCAAACTGATACCTCCAGCTCTGTGTGAGAGAAAATGTTTTCTGCTTTATTTGTAGCCTGGCCAGCAGAAAATCACACATTTTTCTTTTTACCTGACTTCTCATCAAGATGGTTTCTTAAATCTTGCCACTGGTTAAATTTTATTCCACAACCACGGCAGCTACAGCAGAACTTAGGCTTGTCCATATTACTATCTGTAAACAAAGGCATGATGGTGTTTTGACACAAATGTACAATAAAAATGGCATACTATAATAATTATAATTATAGCATAATTATGATAATGATAATTATTATCATAATTAATATCATACAAAAACACAAAACTGTGCCAAACTCAAGGCTGTGCTTTAAGAATAAGTAAAGGGAGTCCACTGCTCAGTACATGTGAGGTTGCCCAGTAAAAAAAATTGGATCAACTTACCTTCTAGGTTTCTGGGAAACTGCCCACCTACCCCTTCCTTCCCTAAGTCAACATTAACACTTACTTCTCACTTAGGGCAAAATGTTGACTTAGGGGAGGGGTAAGTAGGTAGTTTCCCAGAAATTTAAATTGATCCAAAAATTTAATGAAGAATCTCATTTCCTAGTGGCCTGAGAGCAACAGTAAGGTGCACTGGTGCCAGGCAGTACTGGCGGTTATGATGTAGGTACTTTGGCGGCATATGAGAACCAGGCTTAAGAGTAGATACAGTGAGCTAAAAGATCTCTCTCAGCAATGCCAGCATATGAACCTCCCAAAGAAATGCTATTTAGCACAGATAAATCCATTTAAAACAAATGCCACTACCTTTGTTGGTACATTCAGCAGTGTGATTAGTTAGCTCATCCACTGTCTTGAAAATCAGACCACAGTTTGAACATGCCTGTACACACAGGCCATCAATGTCTCTAATGCCTGAGCCTGTGTTTAGCACATTGTCCACATCTATGTTCAGTTCACTTTCAGAGTTTTCGTCATTTTTCTTCAAAAGAAAGTGTGAGAGAGATAATTCACTATTAATTTTTTTGATAATTTTTGCTACTTAGAGTTAATATTTTGCAAATGAAAAATTTCTTGGGAGGAAACAGGACAAGAGCCTGTCGTTTTGATAAAGCTTACCCAAAAGCTTAAGAAAAACAAAAAAATATAGGACTAGATTGGTTAACCCTAGAAACCCTTACAGCAGGTATTATTACACCATAAAATATAACTGCTTGAAGTAATCCCCCTGTTTTCCACTGCTCATAACATTGTGCTGCCTGAAGAGATGTAAGAAAGAGTGGTTTTGGTGTCCAAGAGTTTTTAATCATGATGATAATAACTTCTCTGGTTAAAAGTTGTTGGGCTTGAAACTGCCCCAGTTCCTCAATGTAAAATGATCATTACTTTTAAACAAAAAATTGCCCCTTTGTCATCTTTTTGCAATGAAACGAGCATGGTGAGCACCTTCTGTAGTGGTTGTAGTTACTTGTTATTTTTACGGTGAAAAATTCTGGATAACACAAGTTGCATTATTTTTATATAAATGATAACAGTGTAAAAGCTTCTCCTACCTTTTTAGTATGGTTCCATGTAGTTTGCTCATTCTTTGTTTTGCTTTTGCTTTTTTGGTGTGGTTTTAAGTCTTCATCACTATCTGAAATGTCCTCTGGAACATAAGATGAGTCCGACATTGCTTCATCTTGATCACTGGAAGAGTCATCACATAGATCACTTGTTGATACTTCATCTGCTTCAGCTGATGATTCTTCTTCATTTTCACTGTTATCTACCACAGCACATTCTGGCAATGTAATGATAAGACAATGAAATTTCAACTCTAATTTCCTGGAGTAAAAACTCCCCTTCCAAAAGTAACATGTAGAGTAAATACTAACTCATAAATCCAAAAGGTAATAAATAGATTTAGCCAGAGCTAAAAGTGAAGTTCCCGTTTATGCATTTTAAATTTACTGCAGACAATGGACTTGAAACTACTGAAAAGACCACAAATCTATAGTTAACTTTATGGGAAACCATATGACTGAAAAACATAAACTTGAGCCCGGGATCAATAAAAAGCTAATAACTGGTCAGCAGAAAACTTCAAAAAAACACGTGAACTCGATGAGTTAGCACCTGAGCCCATGATGCGGTCTTGTGACACTGGTCAGTGGATACCCTGTTTTGACACTGGTCAATTGACCATAATATGGATGTCTATTATCAGGTTAACCACAGGTTACAGGCTTCCACACTAGCTAGAAAATTTGACATTAGACTTTGGTTTGCCTGTGGTGCACACAGACAGGTGAAGGAGTGTATGGTCAAGCCATTACCAAAATTTCTCGGATGGATGGATTACCAAATTTTCTTAGGTATGGAGCTCCACTCGCGCGAGAAGCGTACACGTGGAGCTCTGCTATCAAATTACCCAGCCCGAGAAAACAGCTGATGGTTTGCAATGCCACCACTGGTTTCCACTTGAAATGATGTCTAGAAAGCAAATGCAGAAATTCCACACTGATAATGCTGCATCACTAAACCCACATCTGGGTAGTCCTTCTAGCCAGATGAAGTAAATTTTGGAATTTCTGCACTTGTTCCTCAGACATCATTTCAAGGAAAAATGGGGGTAGTATCGGAAATTGTTGGTTGTTATTTAGTGTTATCAGTTTAAAATTTCCCTGATTCTCCTTCCAATTTGCAATCTTCCCCAACCTTTCTTCACAACTTCAATTTTCTCTGAATCAAAATAAAATTCCCTGACTTTTAACATTTTATTTTTTCCTTCACATTTCTTGACCTGTGGCAACCATGTTGGCGGTTAACTAAGGCAGGTTGTTCAAGGTTTGTGTCGGCTCAAACAGGAGGTGGGGGAACAATTTTAAGTCCTGGCTGTTCCCTTACCTAAATCATGGGATTCTTTGATGTGTTGAGTGACATCTTCACACATCACAGAGCAGAAAGGGCATGCAGCTTTATCAACATCTGCCATGACAGGGGCGTGGTTCACGAATGCATCTATGTCAATAGCCAAGTCATTCTCTGACCCACTGTCACTGGGTTTGTTTACTTTCTTTGCTTTATTTAGCACTTTTAACTTGCCACTCTTCCTTTTTGTTTGTTTCTTGGTCTTGTTTTTTAAACTTTTTGACTCTGGTTTCTGTTGTTCTTTGAGGGTTTGCTTCTTGCGTGGATTCCTTTTTCCTGTTCTGATGCAAGAATAAGCTCTTGGTAAACTTGCAGTACCACCTGAGTCAGTCTTCCATGCCACTTCTTTCATGAGGTTGCTGGAATTTACCCGTTCATTTTCAACATTTTCAACATCAATTTCATCATCTGAAAACTCATCAGAATCTGATCTTGATGAAGTTTCTTTGTAGACCTTCTTAACATCTTTTCCTTTCCTTTGTTTCCTGGCACAAAGATCACAAAGACAAAAGCAAGGTGATTTCTTAGAAATATTATCTGATTTAAGGTTAATAAGGCCCTTTGCAGCTAGTCATTTACAAGGTACACAAACTGCCAGGCTGGAGAGCAAGGGATGCACTAGGACAAGACAAACAAAAGGCATACATCATTAATTTTAACCCTTTAAGTACTAACAGTGACCAACAACAATTTTCTCCTAATAATATCCATACATTGTCAAGAGATGAAGTTATGAGAATTAATCAAATGATCACCAGAGAGAAAATGCCATGATCTTTTATCAAATTCTCTCAACTAATTCTTAAAGGAAATGTATGGAGATCAGTTTGGAGAATTTGTATATGGATATGGTAATTTCCTTTGTCTGTCTCCTCCCAGTGCTTCCCTTGCTCTCCAATATGGTATATTTGTACCACGTGAATGACTAGCTGCAAAGGGCCTATTCCAGGGAGATCCTTCTGGTTTTAAGAAAGGACTTGAGTAAAAACATTCACAAGGTTGTAAATATGTGTCACAACTCACTTACATTTGCAATTATTATTCTTCAAAATCTGCTATACAACTTGGTCCAAAATGGGCGTAAGTGGCCACTTTGCATGTGATCAAAAGTTCTAAAATTGCAGAATGTTTGGCAGCATCCAGGCTTTTTTTGCAATTAAGGCCAATTTCAATCCAAAAGAATAGGATAAAAAAAAATTTAGATTTTTAAGAAGAATGCCAGCTATTGCACTTTTAAACAGGAACTCACATGTAACGTACTGCTAAGGCATGTACAAACATTGATTTCACTATTTCCTGTAAAACACAAAAATCCCTGTTCTGTAGGGTACAATTGAAAGTCATACCTTTTTACATTGGAGACTTCAGAACTCACATCTTCGTCCTCGTCCTAACAATAATTAAAGGAATTGAAGGGTTGACTTAGAGGAGACACATTTAGAGATCAACTTCAAGGTTAAACAGCCTACTTCTTTTTCTTAATTTCTTAATTCTTATATTCTTTTATTCTTTTAAATTTATTTTACTGTCCCCACTTAGTGGTTATACACCGCTATTACAGTTTTGACACTTTAATAAAGGTATCATCATCATCATCATCATCAAAAGTTTACTGTCGATTTTAAGCATGCTTATCTCCCTCAACAATTGCAAGTCTTGTGTCCCCACGGTTGGGAATTTGTCCCATTTTCACCCAATTTATCTTAAAATTTTACACAAAGCTTTCCAAAATGGCCTTGCCACAGCCTTTTCTTTGCAATACAGCGCTTGCCTCTACATCTACTTCTGTATGTTTTCCACTGCCTAGTTTTCTATAAGGGTGATATTATTCGGTGAACTGCCAATAAGGAGTGGGGCAAAAAGGAAAATTGGCAGGAGAATCAAGCTGAGCACGGCCTGGGGGAGACAAAAAGGTGAGGGAGCCTATAGAATTTGTTTTGATGCCACCCATCCATGTTACCAGATTCTGATATCATGATCTGATTGGTCAGATAGCTAACTGTTGACACGTGAGCTATGAATACCCATGAAAAATACCCACATGTGCGGGAATGTTATTGAAGCCGATCCTTTCAACCCCTAACCCCGAGACTACCTCGTCTCGGCTCCCCTGAAAGTTGGGGCACTAGTGCCAAATGTTTTTGAGTACCATTGTGTTTTCACGTTGGTAATTGCGAGTGCCACGCCCAAAAGTTGCCAGCATGGTACCAAAAATTTGGGGTGATGTGCCAATATTTTTGCATGTGTAAATGGGGTTTAAGTTACTATTGTGAGAAATCAATAAACAAACCCTTTATGAGGGCAGCATGTTTCTAAATCGGAAATATTTTGTATAAATATCAAAAAAAAATTATTGGATTCAGCATTCGGAAGCATCTGTCTATTTCAGTTTCTTTATATCATACTCAGCCTCATCCAATAGATACTCAATGTCGAAAAATTAATCGAGGTACGAATGTCTTAAATCAACAGAGGAGAAAGTAGAACTCCACTCGGTTTGGGATTAATACCCAAGCTAATTCTTATACCAAACGAAGGCGCATTATTAAAATAACACAACGCAGAGTTCCATAACACAATGCAAGTTTGATAATCTATTGTAGTTCACATGGTTACTAACCGGTACAGGGCTTTTTCTCTCGCACTGTTCGGAGAGCTTCTCGATTATTGAGTGAAGCTTCAACCTAAAGGATTTGATAAAAGGTTCAATACAAGTTGATCACAGTATTTATTCATGATTTATCGCCAGAAAAACGAACTTACCCGCGTCGCTTAGTCGCCATATTTATGTGACTTTAAGTGCTTTCAATGCATACGTCAAGTGCATCGCTTGGAGTGTACCTAGTCCCAAGTCTTCCTCCTCTTATCGGCCGAAGCGAATGCAGCAGCCTGGGTACAATATTTTTCCAACATGGCGCCAGATGTGTGAAGAAGAGCTCCACTTAAAGGAAGTGTTGATCATGGAGAACCACAAGGCCAAACTGAAGCATCTTTTAGAAGATGCACTGGTATGGTTATTTTTATCTTATTTTATTTCTTAATTTCTTGTTCCCATTTGAGTTACAGTAACACGGTGTGGGGAAGCGTTCCAGGAAGTTTCGGTTTTTGATTCCCTTATTGAGTTATTCTCACAACATTACAGAGCTGCTGGACAATCTGGATCTCTTTGTATTCACTATTGAAACTGTTAACGCAAGCCGCAGTAGCAATCCAGACGGCGGCGAATGCAGTTTGAAATAGAGTTGATGCTCTTCAACACAAAAAATAATATTGTATTCTTATAATCTAGCTAGTTCAATTACTTATTGCTATGTGGCTGGATAGTTCTCAGCATCATAATCGATCATCTTAATCTCCCTCTCTTTTTTTAGGGAATTGAAGCTATTGAGACTGCATTCTGTGGGTATGTATGATTCGTTTATTATTTACTATATTCAACATCCCTTTGAAAAAGTTAGTTAAGACAATTTACTGCTAGCTATCCGGCGAATTAAAAAAAGCACCAAAAACATTGTTTTTGGCACTGCACTGGCTTAAATTGGGAAAACTGTCGGTCAACTGCTGGTAATTCGTCAGCTGGCAGTTGGCCATTTGTCGGCCGACTGTTGGCTGCTTATCGGCCATTTGTCCACCAACTTATTTCCCTTCGTTCTCACTACTGACCCTTTTTGGCTTCACCAGGTTTTTGCGATGACGTATTTCTAGTCATTATAATGTCACAAGGAGAACATGTTCAAGGAACATGGAGGAGGGGTGAATGTGCTATAAGACACAAAAGGAACTGGAAATGTTTTTGCTTCTAACACGTAAAGCACCTAAATGACCAAATCAAGGGTGAAGAAATCATGAAACACTTTAACAGTTGAAGCATTTTGTCTTTAGGATGATTGTTCACAATGACGGTGATGACGATAAAGATGTCAAGGAGCTTTTTCAACAAGTATTTAAACCATTCTGGGCTGGTGTCCCTGTGGTAAGAGTATTCATTAACATCAAAATAATGTAAATATATCAATGTACCATGTTTTTGTGCAAAGAATTGTTGATTTTACCCGCCGGAGGGGGGGGGTACTCCCATACATTACCTATACGGGTATGTGCCGCCCAAAGGGGTTGTGATTTTGAAGCTCCTGATTTAGAACAGGGTATCCATTTCAGAGGCGTTTTCTAGAATGGGGTATGATATTTCGAACCCATGAAAGCTCCACTTTTGTAAGCTGCCATTTGAAAGTATTCAAGGACAGATTGCTTTTAAAAATACGGTTCAATGCGTTAACAAGCAAACCGTTGTACTCTTGTTGCACCCTAGAACGGAGTATAAAAAATTGGCCCATTTCTAGAACGGGGTACCAGTTTTAGGGCGAATTCTAGAACGGGGTATAAAAAATTGGCACATTTCTAGAACGGGGTATCAATTTTAGGGGAAATTTTTTCTAGAACAGGGTGCCAATTTGGAGTCCCGGGTGGCACATACCCACCCAAAAAATACCCAAGTGCCCCCCCCTGGGATTTTACCTCACAATCCAGATTAGCTTTATCTTGGTGTAGAGTCCACTTTAAATATCAAGAATAGTAAGAAACGTAGGTCTATAACAGGAAAATGTTTTGAAGCAAGAGATTATTAACCTACAGTAGTAATACTTTTTGTTTAAACTCACAAAACTGCTACCCAGTGAGCTCTGTTGGAGGAGCGCTGGTTTGCTGAGCAGGAGGTCATGACTTCAAACCCCAGTAGGATTATCAACCAGCATCATAGTCTCACTAGGTAACTTGAGGGCCTTTAGCCTCGCCCTGTGACCCTAGCCTGAAAAAAACAGCTGATATTTTGTGATGTCACCAACGGTTTCCCTGTAAAATGATGTCTGCAGAATAAGTGTAGAAATTCCATTCTGATCAGTTTAAAATTTGCTTCAACTAATTAGAAGCAGTACCCAGTTCAGAGTAATGACACATCATCAGTATTGAATTTCTGCACTTGTTCCTCTGATGTCACTTTGTGGGGGAGATGTTGGTGACATCACAAAGTTAATGCTGGGTGTTTTTTCAGGCTAGTGTTACCCTCTTTTATTGTTATTATTATTTGTATTAGTATTAGCAGTAGTATTGTCAGAAAATTCTACTAATTCTTAATATGTAACTGAAGGTACATGAAGGGCTGAATTGAAATGACGTAAATCAATCTAACATACTCTCTTCTTGCTGCTGTTGGTCCTTTTTTATTGAGTCATAGAAGGCTCATTCTCTTAACTGAAGCTTTTTGGTCTCTTAAATGGAAATTATTCCTTCCATGATGACTAGTTTTCTTTGCAATGGATGTTATTCACTGATTGTGAATTTTGTCTTTTGCTACTGTAGGATGCTAGAGAGCAACTACTTCTTGATTTTGTTGCATTCATCTACAATGAAAATAATCCCAGGAGAATTGACCTGGCTTTTGGTTTACTTGGAAGTTTAGTCGAAACCTCATTGCTTCCTTCCAGGTAGTAACAACATCAGATTTTTTAACATATTAGTCATGGAGCAGCTTTAAGTACTAAAATGAAAATTCTGTGTAGATCTTCCTTAATGTCTTAATTTTTTCGTTTTTATAGAGAAATAGAGTAGGAAGAAGTTGTGAAAACCAATCCAAATTCTTTTGGGGAGATCCATTCCATATTTTTCAAATACAGTAGATGCTTTCACCACATGAACATGTTCTTTCAGGATTTTTTTTTTCAGGAGTTTTTGCAGTCTGTTTAAATAGAAAGTATTATTTCACTGGAGGATTTAATCTTTATCCACTCATCTGATACCAATCAGTTAACATATTCAATTTATACAAATGTATTGCATAAGGTTAATCTTCTGAGCCATTTTGCTGTAGTTTGCAAAAAAATTTAAAAAATAATAATAATAATACTTACTGGGACATCATCACACTTACATGTTTAGGGCAAGACTGAATGAATTTCCACTTTGTGGTTAGGTTGGTGTGTGATGCGATTCTTAAAACACCTCATTTGAGTTTTCACAAAGAGGTGATGTGGAACAAGTCTTTTCAGCTTCTTTTGAAGATCGTTGGTGGAGTTGATTACAAGGTGAGGAAAAGTTAAAGTCCTGTTTTGTTTAGTTACTGCATTTATTGATTTATTTCCAAACTGCCTTTGTTTGCCTTTGTTCTGAAAAGGACTTAACAAATACATCTACACTTCATAAGTTGGCAGCTTATTAATAGTACTAGAGTTATATTGTAGCAGATGCATATTTTTCTTGGATCCAAACATGAATTTCTCTGAAATTAGAATAATTTTTATTTTGTGCCGCAGAGTTGTCGTGACATTCTCAGTTTGGTGTTCCAAAGATTTCATACCATTCCAGCTTCTTCTGATGCTGCATACACAGACCGTATACAGGCCTGTGTCAAGGTACCCTAAGTTAATAAATTTTGAATGCTTTGTAAGCTTCTTGGTAAATTCAGCATTTAACTTGCTTCCAAATTCCAGTTTGACCTTTATTAAATGGACACTTATAAAACAAGTTTCTCAGAGCTTCTAACTGTTTTGTGGGTATGAAAATTAAGGAAAGTTTTACAATGTGTAGTTCCAGAAAATATCCAGACCCCCACCACGGAGGGAATTTCAGTTAGGACCCCTCCACCTCCCTGGATTTTCCATTTTTGCAGGGGACTGATGGCCCCCCCACCCCTCCGGAATTTCCACAAGTATGACAAAGACCCCCCAGCCCCTCTGGAAAAGTTCATTTTCACAAAGAAAGACTATTACCGTAGAAGAATGAGGCCATTTATGGCTAGTACGCAATGGTTTCCATCAGGAGCTTGTATGCTTCTGTTTCCATTTATTTGAGTGATCTCGCAACATTAAAACACACTACACCACCACCAAGTAACCTAATCTCCCAGGGGGGGCACTTGGGTATTTTTGGGGTGGGTATGTGCCGCCTGGGACTCCAAATTGGCACCCCGTTCTAAAAAAAATTTCCCCTAAAATTGATACCCCGTTCTAGAATTCGCCCTAAAACTGATACCCCATTCTAGAAATGGGCCAATTTTTTATACTCCGTTCTAGGGTGCAAAGAGTATAACAGTTTGCATGTTAACGCATTGAACCGTATTTTTAAAAGCAATTTGTCCTTGAATAATTTCAATTGGCTGCTTACAAAACTGGAGCTTTCGTGCGTTCGAAATATTATACCCCGTTCTAGAAAACGCCTCTGAAATGGGTACCCCATTCTAAATCAGGAGCTTCAAAATCATGACCCCGTTGGGCGGCACATACCCGTATAGGTAATGTATGGGAGTACCCCCCCCCCCCGGTCTAATCTGCAATTTTTGCTCATCCCTTACTTTAAAAGAAACAGATATAGTCAATAAGTCAGTTATATTTGTGAATTTACCTTAATCATGGTAGCTTACGATTTGTTATTTGTCTTCATGGGCGTAATGCTGATAGAATTAACGCCATTTCGTGCGGAAATGCAGAACAAGTCAAACTTTCAACCACAAAATTAAGGCAGAACAAACAGAAGAATAAAAGCTCTGAATTCTGAAATGATAACAATGAATACCCCCTGCATCCTGAAGGGAAAAGTTCAATTTACTGTTTTTTTATCGACTCATGCTACGTGATGCGGGATGGCCGTAATGTTTGGTGAAATCGACACCATATGAGCAAGAATTCGATCAGGAACATGCCACACCTTCAACCACAAAATTAAGGGAAAATGAAAAGGAGAATAAAAACTCTACATTCTAAAATGGTTACAATGTATAGCTTGTGCTTCATGAAGCAAAATTGCTACTCTACTGTTCTTCAATTGATCGACTGACACAACATGATGTGTTGCACGTGTTGATGTCTTGAGGGAGACTGATAACGAGTAATGGCAGCCAAATATACGAGCATGAGATAAAACGAGTTGTAGTCGGTCTAATTCCTTTGAAATTGCATCCAGAACGCTTTTGGAAGAAAGGAAACTTGGTTAAGATCAAAAGGAACAATCTTAAATGATATATTTAAGTTATTTATGTCCTAAAAATGATCTACCAGGTCGGTAAGAAGCAATTTTCGAACTCAGGTCGAAAACGAAATGATATTGCCTCCCTGGAAAGTGATTTTATTGTCCAACCCCGCTCCTCCAACCCCCCTCCCCTCTGGAATTTCCTGGGCCTCTGACCTAGCCTGCGAGCAAGCTCTCCTATTTGGGCGAGCAAAGCGAGCCGCGCGAGAACTCGCGAGCGAGCGGCGGAGCCGCGAGGGGCCGGCGAAAGGAGAGCTTGCAACCATCCCTTTCAAATTTTCATTTGTACTTCGCCTAGACGAAGGGAAATACCATTGGCTGAAAAATGATGTTCCGGAAATCAAAGTTGATTGATAACAGGCCAAGCTGGCACCCGCTTCGTCTGTGTGTCAAATTTGGTTGTCAGGGGGATCAGATTGGTACCGAGAACTTGTTTCAGCCCTCAATGCAGACGGGCTCGTTTGATGTAATTCTCGCAAAGAGAATATTGCGTGCCAAGGATAAGTCGGATCGAGTTTGTAGTTCTTGTGGAAGGACAATGAAAATCCTTCATCAGTTGTATTCATTTGTGTCAAGCCCCTTGTTTAGTTCTGAAAACCGGGAGAGTGAAAGTGAAGAGTGACTAAAGCGCTGTCTTCCAACATCAGTTTCTTCGCACGATTGAATTCTGCTGGGTAGAAAAATTCAGAAACATGTACTTGACAGTGTAGCTGTGTAGCTTGACCGTAAAGAAGGAAAAGAGAAAGAGTTGGAAGCAACTGGAGTAAACCTTAAGAGAACCAAGTGCAGGAAATCGCTTTTCTCCAGTTCCAGACGGACAAATATATGATGTTTTTGTTGGTGATTGCGATGGGGAGTAGTCCTCTACACTGCAGTATGGACGACTTTTCAAAAGTAAACGAAACGAGAATCAAAGTAGTGAGTTCTTATCCGAGCGGACACATTGAAGTTCGATGTCCCCGTAAAAAAAAACATATCAGTGATTAAAAACATTTCCTTGATGCTGTTGCGAAAGCGATTTATAAATAAATAATTCTATGCGCCCTCGGCTGTCTAAACTTACTTGACAGGCGGCACGTTTGCGGTGACAGTTTTCACGCTTTGCGGAGTCCCGGGGTTTCCGGGGTGGAAATGAAAATTTCAAAGGGATGGTTGCAAGCTCTCCTTTCCTCGGCCCCTCGCTCGCACGTTCTCGCGAGGCTCGCTTCGCTTGCCCAAATAGGAGAGCTTGCTCGCAGGCTACCTCTGACCCCCCCCACCCCCCTGGAATTTCCAATTCCCTCCGTGGTGGGAGTCTGGATATTTTCTGGAACCACACAATACAATAAATATTGCAAAACACAGTTAATGGAATGAGACACTATTGGCATGGTGGGACATCTCTACGTGATGTACTCTAGACCTGTCACTGTATCATTGTTGTGTTCTGATCAACAGTTAAATGTACATCGCAGTAATCTATTTGTCACCTCTTTCTGGAGGCAAATTAGTTTGCCTTCTCTGAATGGCTAAACCAGTGAATGCTTCTTTAATTGTTATGTCTTCTTTGATGTGATATACTTTTAGTACAATCCTAGGTGTGCTGCTGCTGCTGCAGCACATTGTTGTGTTGTGTTGTTAGCCTAGGCTTCAGCTTGTAGAAGTGCCAGGGAAGTGAGGCTTTAAAAAGATCATGCAATGGAAGTCAACAGTTATGCCACTCTCCAAGCAGTGTTCCCCCAATTAATGCCAAATGTGTGTAGTTGTCCAGTTTCTTTAGTTGCTCTACATTTTCTTTATTGCTCAGGCATTTAGTTACTTGCAACAGAACACTTGCATGAAATATTTACAAAGTGCTCTCACTTTCTTGTTCATTTCCTCTCTTTTTGTTTGCAGATTGTGCGCTATATTCTAGACCGAAATGCTTGTCTTTTACCTGCCTACTTTGTTGTTAATGAGGTATGAGGCATTATAAAATATTATGAGATTAATATCCTCTATAATTTGTTCAGTCAAGAATAGTTGATGCAGATATACACAGTCATATGAACATTTTTTCCCTTTAAGCTCCAATAACCACAAACAAATTCTTCAAACTGATCTCCATACATTTCTTGGAGGAATTTGTGGAGAGAATTTGATAAAAGATCAGAGCATCTTCTCTTAAGTTATCATTCTGTTAATTCTCCTAACCTTTTCTTTAGGAGAAAATTGATGTAGGTCACTTGTGGGACTTAAAGGGTTGTTCTAGTACAAGTTGATTTACACTTGTTATGTTTCTTTTCTCTTTGTAGATTTACAAGAATTTTCCTAAAGGAAAAGTCAAACCTCACTGGGTATGTGCTTAAGTTTCAACACGTTCTTATGCCGGTAATCAGTATGATTGTGTTCTAGTTTACCTTTATTCCAGCTAACAAAGTACTTGTTTTTCCCTGCCACAACATTAATTTAGTCTTTTGGTAATTTGTTTGATAGGCAATTGCAAAACTACTTTCAGATTTTACAGAATCATTCAGACCACTTGCAAACATTGTGTCTGTAACAGGTAGGTTGTAATAATTAATATTATTAATAGGTAAAAAAAAATATATCACTGTCCATGGCCTCCTTATAAGCACTGCAACAATGGCATCGCTATTTGCACATCTCAAGGATTATGTTTTTGTATATATAACTACGTGTATATAGTGTTCAAAATTTGCTTAAAATGATTAAACTGTGCCATTACCTTTTCATTTATTTAGAAATTCATTAATATTTTTGATGTTCATTTAAATGTACACTTAACCACTTATCTCACCACAGGCCGACCATCTCTTCTTCCTGTGATTGGACATCCTGGTTCTTCCATTTCTGTGTGGAAATTGGACCCTAACTCTCTCAGTTTCCCTCTGAAAGGACTACTGCCATATGACAAAGTATGCCTAACAGTTTTACTGATCACATTAAAGTTTAGTTTTCTGTAAGAGTTCATTCAAAACCAAACTTTCAAATGATGACATTTTTTGACTGTTACTTCTGTCTCTGCCAAAATGTACAAGCAACAGCAGCAAATACATGTCTGTGTTCACAGGCTACCCCAAAAATATATGGTGGTCTCTCACTAAACACAATCCTGAGCAGTAGTATGGAAACTTCGGTAAATTTTGCAGACACTTTGGTGTTCCGTTAAGGAGTTTCAATTGCATTAATAATTATCTGCTCAATTATTCAAATATGGCATTGGGTGAAGGCTCAGGAATTATGCTTCACTGGCATTGAAGTTTATGATGCAGGGATGTCACTAAGATTTCAAGTTGCTGCGTAAATACAACAAGTAGGTGGGGAAATAGAACAGCTAGGGATTTCTTTTGGTTCTATTTTTCTTCTACTTTCCAATGAAAGTAGCCAGGGGCCACATTCATTGTAGGCGGGGGAAATTCCTGGCCCCAGCCTCTTATTGAGAGCCCTCATAATGGTCACATATGAGATCCAGAAATGCCATGCAGCTGTACATATAAGAAGGTTCTTGACTATAATGATTTGACTTTAACAATAATTGTTATTATTTGTATGAATACATGGTGACCTAGTTTTTTCCTGATTGAGCAGGATCTTGTGGAACCTCAGACTAAACTGTTGCAGTACGTGATTGCTCAGCCCTATTCCCGTGATGTGATCTGTACCATGTTGGGACTTAATAAGCAGGTTTGGTTTTTTGAATCATTATCTTCAATCTATGAAGTGGAAAAAAAACTTTTTGATCGGTTGGAAAGCTAAATCAAACACTGTGAATAGTATTTTGGTTTAAAAGAGTTACCGGTAACTAACATCTTGAGGGAACACATTTTTTGTGTTTAATCTACTTTTGCTGCAAAAAGTAACGTACTTTGCAGTTAAGTGCCTATCACTGACCAGGTCAAGTGTCTGACAAATTGTATGTCTTTTTCTTCCCAGCAAAAGCAGCGATGTCCAGCTATAGAGGAACTCTTGGTTGACTTGATAGTTCTAGCAATGGAAAGATCAGAAGAGAATGAAGCCAGCATGATGGAAACTGGATGCCAGCTGTGGCATCACTTGTCTAGCCACCTAATTTTCTTTGTGCTTTTTCAGTTTGCCAGCTTTCCACACATGGTCATGTCCCTTTATACAAAGGTACGAAATAATAAGTCTGTGGATTACAGGATAGCATGCTTAAACCTACGTACTAGAAACAACAATTTCAAATGCTGCCTTATGTGGCCTAAACAGGAATGTGCCATCCAATAGAGTGTTGTTTTGGGGTACTTGAGTCTTAAACAAGGTATAGGTTTGTTGTGATTCAATTTTATCCTTGGTTTAAATTTCATTTTCCTTAGTTTGTTTCAAACTCATTATCATACATTACCATACCCAAAAACAAAGGAAAATGAAATTTAAACAAAAGATAAAATTAAACCACAACTCATACAAAATATTTCACTTATTTAAACTCTTGAATGGAGGTCTTTCTGGACCACACCAGAAACCTTGAACAGGGTGTGAACATTATATTTTTGTAGTTTGTGGTCTACATGTGTGGTATCAACATTTTTTTAAAAAATCTAATTAATTTATAATGTCAGAATTCAGCAACTACAAATTTCTGAATGTAAAACAAAATGAATTCAAACCATGAATAAAGATCTGCTGTGTTAAGCAGGGTCAGTGTTTGGAAGTCTCGGCAGCACACCCCTGCCCAGACTTCCCGTGAGTGGTGCCCCCCTGGAGAGCTACAGCAAGAAAACACTACACTGCACCTACTTGATATGTTAAATGGAAATTAAAGACCTTTAGGTTATGGAAAAGTTCTAGAAGTCACTTATCACCTTGCACGTTAAACCCTCTGCACTGCTTACTCTCTTAGACATCATTGAGACCAGCACTAAGTGGTCCTAAGTATATGTTGTAGAAAAATGTTTGCCTTATGGAGGGTCAAAGAAAGTCTCTAAAGAATGACAGGCCAACTTAAAGTGGCCTTTTGGGGAGACGTCTCGTAAAGGGTTTTGTCAAGAGAAAGATTATTGGTGGCATTTTAAGGACTACTTTTAATGCTAATAATCATGAATTAATAATGCTGATTGTTACATAATGTGTCCCTTTTTTGTTTTTTTTTTTTCAGCTTAGTGGGAGAAATCTCAAGAAAGGAAGGGACCATCTAATGTGGGTTTTACTGCAGTTCATCTCTGGAAGCATCCAGAAAAATCCTGTAAGTTTAATGGACTACTGACAGCGGCTTCTTATATTTTTGTTTTTCCTATTCACCACCTGCTATCAAACTGTTGGTCTGGCATTACCTTATCTTCTGGGTTAGGATTTATGTGATACGGTGCTAACAATAGAGAGATTTAGAATCACATTATGGCAAACAGCAAATTTTAGTTTGTATCATATATATGACCAAGTATCTCTATTTGTGAGCTGAAGTTACAGTGTCGGTATTCTCATCAGCATTTGGTGATTTTTGTTCTGAAAACTAGTTTCGTAGTTTGGTGTTTTTAATGATGACAATGTCAATATTTTAGTAATCAATAAATGAATCAGTCAGACCTTTTACCTGGGTTTAACACTGTGTTGTATTCTTTGTCTTGTACTTTTAGCTGAGCGATTTCAAGCCAGTAATGAAGCTCTTTGATTTACTTTATCCAGAAAAGCAGGTTGGCTTAGTTGTATAAACAATGAAATTTTAGTTGCATAGACAATGAAATCTATGACTGACCTTTTTGTTTCTGTTTCAGCCACTGCCGGTGCCAGACATATCTGTTGCTGATTCTGTTCATTCACTGGCCATGTCCTGCATCTGGGTCCACTTAGCAAAGAAGGTGACACTCAAAATAATCAGTGATAACGCAACCCAATATTATCCCTTTTTTAGGTACAACAGCGTTAAGACAGAAACGCAGGTTTGGTTTGAAAATTGAACTGATTTCCCTGATATGCAAGCAGTGTCAAAATCGTGAATTCTTTTGTATCAGTGAAGTAGTTCTGCCCAGTCTCACTTTCTTTTGTTGCACTCAGCATTAGATCTTTTGTTAAAATAGACAATGTGCATTGTAAGTCTAACCTGTGATCAGGCGTTCTTTTTTTGGTGAAGGGGGGGGGGGGGAGCATGGTAGTCTGTGGAATGATAAAGGGGAAAAAACAGCAAAAATTTAAAAATCGTCACTCCCCCCTTTAAGTTCTCGTCTAAGACAATGAATTGTCTGAGGTGCTGCATGTAGCTTTTAAGATACACTAACTGCAGACTGAATTATATACATGTCTTCAGGGGCTCTTAAATTACCTCAATAAGAAATCAGGACTATTTGTTGACTTCTCGAACCTTACCAGTATTTAACTTCTCTATCAAGGCTCAGTCCGAGAATGTGATCTGGAGACCAGCTGTCCCTCACACACTAAAGGATCAAATAGAGTGAGTTCAGCTATCAGTAAGAGTTGCCATTATCTGCTTCTTGTTGCTGCATGTTGCTTAGCTCAAACAGTGTGGTTCATTTTTATCCTTGGTCAACTTTCATTTTCATTTGTAGTTTTTTACTCAGTAACATACCTTACGATGCACAAAAACTAACTGAGGTAAAATTTAACCAGAGATGAAATAAACCACAGAAAACCTGTATATGTTGTATCACGCCTTACCCATTGGCTGAACATTATTTTTTACAAACATTTTTTTGAATGCACGTAAGGTTTCAACACGTTGTTTACCCTGGCTTGATTAGGTTTTCTGATGGACTGGACAGATGAACAGTTTACAATTGTGCCATTGAGTAGTAAATGTAAAGGAGTTTTATGTGATTTTAGATTCGTTAGCTTATGTTTTTCGTCTAACATTTCAGGTTCATACAACTGTGCTCAAGAACAGCAACTGGTGCTTTCTCGATGTCCAATTTTAAGATTCCCCTTCTCTGTAATGCCTGTAAGTTTAACAACAATTTCACGAATTTTTAGTCTTTTCAGCCTTCGGTCGTTTCAGCTTGCCATAAGTCCGTCAGCGCAGGGAAATGTAAATTTGGAAATTAGGTAATCTGAATAAATGTTAGCTCGCACTATAACGTCAATTTTTGTCTACCACTTTTTTATATATTGCCTTCTGCTTTGGTTAAACCAAATGGCACCGAACGTCGTACAAAAATAATAAATAAAATGAATAAATAACTGGTTGTGCGAGTATTCCTCGTCGTCCGCAAAATGTTTCTACCGACCGAAGGTTCCAAATATGCTAATTGTTTTTTTTTTTTCACCACTTACCGTGTGTCAATTCAATAATTCAGTTGTTTTGTTTGCTCCTCATAACAACAGACAGCACAAACCCCGACTGTTTTACTGTGCCAATGGCTGTATTGGTAGAGATGTGTTATGGAAACAACAAAGCCACCACACAATTACCTGGTCCCTCAAACACCCTTGCTGCTGCACCAACAGTGCCCTGTCCAATGAGTCTACTCGACTCGCTGACCGTACATGCAAAGATGAGGTCAGTCTCACTGTGAATTTACGGTTAGAACAATGTAGAGGAATTTTAATTAGGATAATTCACTTGTTGCTGTAGTTTTAGACTACCCTGTTCAAGGCTACTGAAAGAAATTTCTTTCGTTTTTCATGTAACAGCCCTGATTGCGTCAGGTCGCAAAGAGTACTTTTACAGTTTAAAAAGTGACAATAAAGGATAGTATTGTGTTAGGTATACAGCCCAAAAACCAGTTCGACTGACTATCTTTCCGAAATAAGACTACGGAATTATCTCTTGAGCGAATATTAGGCTACGAGGAGTCTCTCATTTTCCCCATGGAGAGCAGAGCGAGGGAAATACGTGGGAGTACGTGAAAATAGCCGCTCGCGGGGAATGAGATACTGTAATAATTTTTAGTAATAATCAGGCCTTTAGCCGTTGTATTCTTGTACCGGCGAAATTCGCTCAATATCAGTTTACCCAGTTACGTCTCAGCTGTGTGGATTTCTTGCGAACTTCACGGTCAAATTATTTCGTTGTCGCATGCGTGACCATGTGACTCAAGTATTAAAGTGGTAATCCTGTGTGCGAACTCTGTGTTTTCTTTTTAGCCTTATTCACAGTATTGTCAATCGTATCATCAAACTGGGTAATTCTCAGTCACCCATTGCTCTGGCTCCAGCCCTGGTAGAAACATACAGTCGCCTGCTTGTCTATATGGAGATCGAGTCACTTGGAATCAAAGGATTCATAAGTAAGGCTCATAAATAAAGTTCTCTTTTTTGGCCCTTTTTTACTCCTTTTGTAGTTGGATGCCCGTAATATTTTGCGTTGATAGTTATGCCATCAAAGCAAAAGCTCTCTGAACCCTTTAAAAACTCTAATATCAAAGTCACTTCCCGTTTCTTGAACCCTTTCATTTACCAAGGTCAAACAAAAGAAATCTGCATAAGCTAAGCAAAGTACAGCTGTGCTTCAGAGCTTAAATTGTCATTTTCTCTTATTAAAGTTTGATATATTTCCAATGGTGCCAATTTACTAAACGTTTTGAAAAATTACTAAAAAAGTTGGAAGAGTTTGAAAACTGAAGAACTGCAGAATTGTCGGCGCCATTCATTTTGGCTCGGTAGTTAGACAATTTTGCTCGAGCGTGAGGATTTTCGACCAAAAGATTGTGCGAAAAACAAAAAGACAGTAACGTGAACGGCTAACTAGTCTATATATGTCATCCTTGGCCATGTTTCCACTTATATTAAACGCAGTCCCACTAAATAAAACGAAAAGCTCCTCATGTGATTGACCGCGAAAGATCCCTAATAATATATATAGCCTGGGAGAAGAGCCGACATTTCGTGACGTCACCACTGGTTTCCACTGTAAATGACGTCTGAGAAACGAGTTCAGAAATCCCATCCGATGACGTGTCACTACGCAGATCTGGGTAGTGCTTCTGATTAGTCATGCCACGAGAAAAAATTTGCTTCAACCAATCAGAAGCACCACCTAGACCTGCGTGTCGACCTGCGTAGTGACACGTCTTCTGTGTGGAATTTCTGCGCCCGTTTCTCAGACGTCATTCCGCGGCAAAACCAGTGGCGGGGTCTCGAAATGTCGGCTGTTTCACTGCTTTTTTGTCTGGTTACTAATGATACTTACAGAGATAGTAAGGGTTTATTAATATTTTGTTTTTCTTTCAGGTACTTTACTTCCCAATGTATTTAAGAGTCACGCTTGGGGAATTCTTCACACGTTGCTAGAGATGTTCAGTTACCGTCTGCATCACATACAGCCTCATTACAGAGTCACGTTACTCTCTCATCTACACTCACTTGCTGCAGTGCCGCATACTAATCAGAACCAGCTTCATCTCTGGTAATTCTCATCTCATCTCATTTTATCATGCACACTGTTATGGTTGTACCGTTTTATTTAGCAGCAGAAGCGGTTTTTTCTCCTGGAACAATAAACTTTGGCTGTTTTTATTTTGAACCAGAGAAAGAGTCTGTCATCAAACAAAGTTAAATTTTCCGTCCATGATAAAGAGCTTATGCGAAACAAATCAGGGAGGACATTTACCTTGTTAACACCCCCTTTGGTAAATTATTTTGCCATGAATAAGTGCGTTGCGGAAAATGCTAAGGATTTCGTAATTTTTCGCATTCTCAGTGTGAGATACGGTATAATAATAATGATGGTGATGATGATGATGATGATAATTTTGTTACAGGCGCTTAATGCTTTACCCAGCTGTTTGTCATAATTCTAAGGACAAGATAGGAACTACGTCACAACATCTTATTGTCTAATGTGCGTTCAATTTATGTTATTAATGGATAAAATTGTCGTTTGATCAACAGCGTTGAAAGCACTGCTCTCAGACTCATCACTGGATTGGGAAGCTCTGAAGTACAGCCGCAGCTGTCGCGTTTTAATACTGAACCGAAACAGGTACTCATTAATTGAGGTTACTCCGGTTTAACGATATATGTATATTTATTTGGACACAAATGGCATTGAATGTTTTAATGCAGCGCTAGCCAGAGGCGGTTGTGAAAACGTTTGTGAGAGTGATGCCTGGGGTTGTGAAGACGTTTGTGAGCGTGATGCCTGGGGTTTCATCTCAGTGTGTAACATTGGAATTTAAAGGGGAAGTACATAGGTTGAAAAAATAACATGTAACATACTCAGAAACAAACAAACAAAATTCCGATAAATTCTGTCAAGGCTCTGCTACCTCTGAAACGTGAAAAATTAGTAGCTGAATGGCTTTAGCTAACTTTCGCTTAATTTCCACGAGCAAGGAAAACATTTTCATAGCTTTCTTTAAATTCATTGAACTTGCTAATATGGTTCTCCATAAAATTTATTTCCAAGCTTCTGTCTGCTGAGTCTGAGGAGCTGAACCGAGCCCTTGTGCTCACCATCGCACGTGCTATGCATATCACGAGTAAGTAGTATTTTTACTTTACAGGAATTCCACGTGATTTTCGAGTGTACACTATGCTAAAATTTGGTTTCACTTCATAAGATTCTAGACCATGGAAAATTGTTGTCTTTTTGTCTAGTTCCCCTTTGGCTTCTATAAAAATCGCCGTCTTTGAGCTGACCTTAACACCATTATAGTATGTATTTAATCGAGCCTCAACACCATTGTATTGGGCTTGCGCCAAACGCGAAAAAACATTTCATGTCCCATGCAGCCGTAATTTGGGTCGTCGCTCAACGGTCCCACAACAATTGCTTCATATTGGCGAAAAGTGTGTTAAGTGTAGATTCACTCCTGCCTGAATGAAAAAGAATCGCGAAATTTTTTCAGTACTTACAAAGTGTTCTTTAACAAAGCAAATTACTTCACAGATTCTGAATCAACTGTCAGCTGGTATGAAGGGATCATGGGATCGCTGATCGCTAACACTCCTCACAGGTATACGTGCAATTCGACCCTATTCCTCCTACAGTTTGCGTACAGATTTCAGATTAAGCTACCTTTTCTTACTCTTACCATATACCGCTTGTTCTTTCTGGTACGATTAGTCGAGGTCCAATCTTAGAGATCTGTAAAAGAGTAATGACCTGGATCACACGATGTCGTAATCAGTCTTCTACTTGTGCGATGGAATGATCACTTAACTAAGATGCACAGATTCTCTTTTTCTATAGTTCTCACATTACCTTGTTTTCAACTGGGGTCGATAAAGACGAACCACCGCCAGGGCCAAATTATAAAAGTCGTTTCCTGGTACATTAACAAGGCATTTAGGCATTTTGGTTTGCTTTGTTAACACCTCCCCTTATTTGTCCTTGTTTAGTTGGGCCAGCCACACCCTGGAATGTTTTCCTGAGCCGCTAAAACAGTTTTATCCTCCAAACTCTCTTCGTCAAGAGACGAAACAAGTGTTAAAACAACGAGTTGAGGAAGAGTATAGGAGATGGAAATGTAAGTACTTATATTATAACATGGATTCACTTATAGCACGACTTGATATCGTAGGGCGGTTACCAAAACATTACTGGCCGGCCGAACGGTCCGTTTTGGAAATGAAATAGTAGCCCTTTCGCAAAATGTTCCCTAAAACCCACCACTGTCGAGCATATAATTTAGGAATAGACTGATCTGTCTGTATAGTCCTGATTGATAGCGGAATTCTCTTTTCGACGACTGTACTAGCCAGGCAGGCCAGTTCTGACGAATGGCCTTAGTATACTATTTTGGATACTCTTCTTACAGCGAAATGGTCCACTTTAGGTAAAAAGAGGTATCATGTTTTGTGTTGTGCAGATTTCTTTGGCTTAAACGAGGCCTAAGTTTGCGTATAGTCATCACTATTATTCATTCCAGATATTTCTACTTTGCGTTTCTTATTGGTTTAAATCTCCCAGCTTCAGCGTAAAACACCCTACTCGATATGTTTCCTCGTTGCCTCACTCCTAAGTTGAATTTTAAGGTATAGAAAAGACCCTATTAATTGTTAATGACCTTAGTCATCATTTAACAACCCAGAACGGGGCAGTCAATCGCAAATTTTTAAATAAATACCTGCTACCTAATTTTAGTCAACGCTTTGTTTGTTTGTTTTTCTTTATTAGCAATGACGTCAGAAAATGAACTCTTTGATCATTTTGCGGGTCCATCATCGACAAATGTTTTCATATGGTGGGTTTACCTCCTTTAAAGTCTTTTTATTGCAAGCAGTGATTTGAGAAGAAATAAGAAGGCGTGCAACTGTAGAAATGCCAGTAATAGTGTTTCACTTGATGAGCCTCTTTTGATTATTTCTTTGTTTGTCACCCACCGCCTAACCCTTTGGCCTTGCTATCGCGCATGTCTCTTTATGTATGGAACCGGGTTTGCAGTGGCGGATGCAGGGGAGGGGCCCGGGGAGGCCCGGGTCCCCTCCTTAATTTTAGACCAAAATGAGGCCCGAAGGGCCGAAAAAATTTTTTTTTGAGGCGGGCCCCCCTTATATCGGGGTCTGGATGACCGCCCCCCCTACTTATGGGACCGCCACTGGTTTGTAACGTAAAATTTGCTGCGGCGCCTGTGTACACGAGCAAATGAATTTGTCCCACGTATAAACGTTTACTCCTGTGGACGGGATTTTATTTAAGAAAATGCTTCCATTTTTTGTATCCAATCACATGCAAATGACTACGTTTTGCGTTGCAGTATTTTATGGAAGATGTTACTTGAGTCAGGTCGCCTTAATCCTGGTTGTCACAGGTGAGGCAGTAACCGAGTTGTTTAGTCATGCGCAGAACGCATGAATCTAACCCCTTTAGCAGGCTTCTGCGTTGGTAAACACACAGGGATCCGACGCGATTTGTTTGTGTAACCGCAAAGAGATCATCGGTAAACCTATAGAAAATGTTTGGAATCTACCTAAGTTTTGAGTGCGACGTATTGAGAACTATATGCAAGGATCAATGGGGTCGCTTTGATCTTTCCCATATAAATCGGGAAATAAGATCGAGGCGACTCGGCTAGTAGGTTATCAGAAGGCAGAATCACCATATCATCAACATAATCGAAGAAAAGCATCCTAAATGCAGGGCTGAGGTTATGTTCCCAGGGTAGTCAAACTCCATAATACGACACAAAAGGGACATAAGTCCCAAGGGTCCACATTACAAAGGTGTTCGGTAGGAACTGCATGTACACTTTGGGGAGAAGGAAATATATCCAGTCCAGTAATAGAAAGGTGTTCGTAAGGACGCAAAATATGGCACCTTCCAAACTTGGTCTTGTTTTTTACTTAAGAGGATTTTCTTTAATTCAGAGTTCTGGAGCGCTTGGGAGCACGTGCCTTATCCGCACACGTGAGAGTGTTTGCTGATTACCTAGTGCACGAGTTTTCTACATCTGTTGGAGGAAAGCATGTGAACAAGGTTTGGAAAGAACTTGTAATTCACTGTTTTGATGGGATACCTAAAGCAACACAACCAAACATTATGTAAGATCAGGTGGCATAAATTTTATTATAAGTAGGAAAGTATAAAAATTTTGTACGTTTTTTTGTTTGTGTTAGAACCGTTTTTAGTGTCAAACTAGGGACCTTCATATTCTCAAACAAGAACTTACTAATAGTGCGCGCGCGCGTGAACTTGCGTTATTTTGGCGGGAAAACGTGATAGTCGTCGTCAATCCAATCCGGGGTTTAGCGAGAATATCGGAAATGTCGGAATGTCGAGTGTCGGATGATACACAGGCAGCCCAAGCTCAATTTAGTAGACAAGAGACAATTATTAACATAAGAATATGTGTGAGGTGTTGTGTTACAAGGTCGTTCAATGGAAGGATTGTATGCGCAATCATCTGTGAGGTGTTGTGTCACAACGGTCGGTTCGAAGAGTATAAAGGTTTGTATGGGATCGCGACTGGTTTAATTTTTTTGAAAAAGAAATAAGGCTAATTTTTGAGTAAAAGTTAATACCTTCTTTCGATGTTGTATTCCTCATCGATTTACCGTCTCCATTGCTTCCACTGCTAACGAAAAGGACTTAGCAGTAGAATACGCGAAAAAAACTTTAAGTTAAATTTCGTCCTCGAATCTAAAGGTCAGTAATAATCCAAATCTGCCCTACTGGTCTTATAGATCGAAGTTTTCAGTTGTTTCTTAGTCGCTATTTATACACTGTTTTCTCCCTATCAAGCATTTTGATGTGCGCGTAAGAACAGGATAAATTGAAGAAGAGCTCCCCAAAAAATCTGTCGGCTGTCTATCGACTAACAGTCGGCCTACAGTCGGCCAACAGACGACCAACAGTCGGTCGACAAACGGGCAACAGTCGGCGGACAGTTTTCCAAAATTGAACTGTTGACCGACGGTCGGTCAACTGTCGGTGAACTTGGCGGTTATCATTTGGCAATCTGGTGGCAAATGTCAGCGCACGTTTTCGTAACATTGAAATTGCACCGTGGGGCGGGACTTGTGTGCGAAAACTGCAGACTGCAATCTTGCACACTGGCAGGATTAAAACGAGGTAAACGTTGTTTTGAAATGATTTCAAAACTATGCCTTTCCTAAACTTCAAGTCTTCTAAACGTCTTGGGATAGTTTTCAGAGCATTTCACAACAATGTTTCCCTTGCTTGCCGGCAAGTTTCCCTTCTCTGCAAGGTTACAGTCTGCATTTGTCGCATACCTCGTTATTTTCTCACTGTAAAAAGGATAAGATGGTTGTTTACCGATTGATTTTGCATGATAGTAAGCAAACACATTCAAAGCATTCTCAAGGGTATTACTATAAATCACTATTTGCCGGTGTGATAATGGAAGTGATGATACTGATGATTATGCCCTCTTTTCTTTACACAGTGTATCTCGCACCTAAATGACCTTATATGGAAATATAACGTTGTCACCTTGGACAGACTTGTACTTTGTTTGGTAAGTTAAAACTCAATTCTTTAACTCTTTAACTCCCAAGATCTGATTAGTAATTCTCCTTTCTAACTACTATACATTTTATCAAATGTTAGATAAGAGAATTTTGGGTTATATCAATATAACGTCCTCTGGCTGATAAATTTTCGTATTCTAACTTCCCGTCTGTTGGACAATTGGCTATTATAGGGAGCATTACACGCCAATAACTTCTGGAACCACACAAGAACGGCTGCATAGGAGTCTGTAGTGCAGAACACATTACCCTTCCATCTTCCGTTCATTTGATTGAAAATGGCCGTTCGTAACAGTGCGGGGACTGAGTGGTCGTTCGAACCAATGTGTTTTCATTGGGCGAGCGTACGCATGTCTTGACTTACGTCACATCGTGAAAAGTTTCCTTTTTATAAGAGTCCTCTTCATCTTGTCAAAGTAATAAATTTGGAATCTGTTCATTATCGAGTCAGCATGTGTGATCTATGTTTTTTATTGCCAGTGATTGTTTTGAAAATAACCGTACTAGGATTATTTAAACGTTCAGATATAATAAACATGGAGTGTTTAAAAACAAGTGTATGATTATTATACCCTTGGGGAAAAGAAACAAACTGAATGACACCAATCAGCTTTGATGACTATTTTTTGGCCTCATAGCCGCATAGAATGGACAGGTCAATTTCAAAGGTCAATTACGCCCTTAAAATAATCGTCTGTGCAGATTATGTGAATGATCTCTCCCATTAATACTTTAGATGTGGGAAGCTATAAAGATTAGCATTTTTGCTCCTTACTTCTGATAAACTGAACAAGATAACGTACAATCTGTTGTTGTGGTGTTTGATTTCTTTCAAAACGCGTTAGAGTGCGTGATTAGTGGAATCCTGACCAAGTAATTCAATATTTAAATTTTTCTAAGGATTTGAGGGTGCATAATTATTAGCATTCTTTCGATACTGGCGATTCTTTGTGATCAAACGCAAAGGTGAGCTGCCTTCTTTGTCAAGTTTTTCTTGCGAGTTCAGATTTCTGTTGTTGTGTTTGCTTTGGAGATGAGCATGCATAACACAAGATCCACTATCAGAGAGCGAACCAAGTTTATGCTCAACAATGATCGATTTAGTGATTTGAAGTTTGTTGTTCGTAAGGCGGATTGTGACTCTAGACGAACGCAAGTGATTCCAGCTCACAAGTTTGTCCTGGCGATTGGCAGTCCTGTGTTTGAAGCCATGTTTTACGGTGAACTGGCGGAGTCTAGAGACACCATTGAACTGCCGGATTGTGATTACGAGAGTATGTTGGAGTTGTTTCGTTTCATGTACTGCGATGAAGTGAACTTGACTGGAGATAATGTAATGGGTGTACTATATTTGTCGGAGAAGTACATTCTGCCCTCACTCGCTGACAAGTGCACGGAATATTTACAAGATCAACTAGATTCGTCTAATGTTTTCAGCATTTTGCCTTTAGCTCAGAAATATGAAGAGCAAAACCTGGTGGATCGGTGCTGGAAATTGGTCGATGAATGGGCGAAAGAGGTTGTCAAACCTGGTAACGGGTTTTTGACAATTGAGAGATCCTTACTTGAAGCAATAATCGTGAGAGACACTTTAAACATCAAGGAGGTCGAGTTGTTCTGTGCTGTTGATTTATGGGCAAGAAAAGAATGCGATCGACAAGGTTTGCCAGCAGATGGAGAAACTAAAAGAAGAATTCTTGGACAAAAAATCGTCAAAGCCATACGTTTCCCTACAATGGATCAAGTCGAGTTTGCAGTAGTGGCTTTAGAGAGTAAAATCTTAACGACTGAAGAAATCGTCAGCGTCATAAAACACATGAATTCGGTGTCATTACCTTGTCCCGTAGGATTCCCAGATCATAAAAGATCGGGTTATCTGGGCGAAATTCAGTATTGTTGTAGATTCGACACAGTGGCACACCACAGCTGGAGTTATGGTTCTTTAAGAGATTGTATAAACGTGTCTACAGACAAAGATATTTATTTGCATGGCCTGCGTCTTTTTGGCAGAGAGAACAACAGTTATTGGGTAGATTTAGAAATAAAAAACGCTGAAAATAGGTCAGTGTTATTGTCCAAGACTGGATGGTTTGCCTCCGGTCTTTTACCGATCAAGCTAGGCCACTTTTATGGGTTTGAAGTGTTGTTTGATGAGATAATCTGGTTAAAACGACACGTTACTTACTCCATAGAAGCTTTAATCACTGGTTCAGCCTCTTTTAGTGGAGCAAATGGTCACAAAGATGTAAAATGTTCAGGCGTAACTATAACCTTTATTAATAGTAAGTACTCTGGAAATGGAACCAGTATTCGACAAGGCCAGTTTCCAGAATTAGTGTTTAGCATCTAAACAGTATTGGCCCTTAAAGCTTCAAGGAAAAAGAAAATGTTGAAATTTTGGGCTTTTCGTTTAGAATGCTGATATCGCTTACCTTGTAACATGTTTTATGACCAACGTATTAAAATCTACATGTTAGTGAAGTTGAGGATAGTTTGTTGTCTTTTTGCGTTTTGGTTGTATTATCAGAAGTAGTCGCTGCTTCCTTTTTTTTCAGTAGTTCAACAGTCCTGTTTCGTTTAAAATATAAACAGAACTTAATTGGAGATTATTTGTATTTTAGTACTTGAGGAAACCTCTTTTTATTAAGGTAGCAGAAATCAATGCTTACAAGACGCGATTGGTTGAAGCGTTTAGCTTTTTTTTCCCCGTCACTTCAGCAATGATATATGGTTTTTGTTTGGTTCAGGCTGTTTTTGTCGCAAAAAGTTCGTTTGCTTAGGATCAAATGTCTTCTATGGTTATTTTTTTTCTGTTTCCAGGCATTGCGCAGCCATGAGGGAAATGAAGCTCAAGTTTGCTTCTTCATCATTCAGCTATTGTTACTGAAACCAAATGAATTCAGAACTCGTGTTAATGCTTTCATACGAGAGGTATGTTTTTTTGTACACGTGTGATGGTACTTGGAATTGTCTATTGCATTTTAAGCAATGTTTAACGACGAGAACAACAGCCCGGTGATTTAAACATGAACTGCGAGTTTATTGGCGGGATCAGAGTGGGGGTGGGGTTGAGAGAAAGGGGGGGTTGATGTTAAGCGTAGCGAGTGGGAAACCCGCGAGAACTCACGGAATGAAGAAGTTTCGCACGATAAATCTGACCTAAGTGAACAGCTTTAAAAACGTTTGCCGTAGATCTTTTCATTCTTAATACAGTCTTTAGAGTATATTGTCATCCGGGCCGGAAACAGGCGGAGATACAACTCAGCCATATGTACATCACATATGCAGAAGTTCATTCAATCTTGCTTTCCATTGTCATTCCTTTACGAATTTTTAACCGCGTTTCGTGTTTCAAACTTGATAAAACACTCCTGCTTGTGTACTAGAAAATATCTTTTGTAAACATTTCATACGTGTCTTGATTTTAACTATAGATTTTAAAAGGTAATGTTATTCATGTGTTTATTTTTCGTAGAACTCTCCTCAACACTGGCTTCAAAGCGACTGGCATCAAAAACACATGGCCTATCACACTGTAAGTTGCAAGTTGACCTCGCTTAATTCAGTTTTTATATATTTATTTATTCATTTTTAGTGCTTTTACAAAATGACGCGTGAAAAATTGAATCTGTAATAATGTTTAACCATGCTAATTTTTACGATTTGGCCCGAACTTCCTGTACCTCAATATTGACCACATGAGGTCCTTAGCTTGTTGGCTTAGCTTGTTCAGAGTTTTACCTTTCGGCAGTTGGTCGGTTTCACCACCCTCAGTTGTAATCAAACTGCCTCTTGTCATGTCTTGTAGACAAGTGGTATAATGTTTCTTGCTCGAATGTGTTTCTTTCAGAGCTATCCTGAGAGATTCTACTTTGAAGGGTTGCTGGAATTCGCTGGAGCATCTGTACCTACAGTACAATACTTGCCAATTTACTTTGGTAATGTGTGCTTGAGGTTTCTACCGGTAAGTGCCCAGGCGCTTCTTGGCTGTATGGGTTGGAGAAGGCTTTTTAGAAAACGCATTTTCTCCAAGAAATGTTATCGTGTTGTTTTATATACTGACCTATTATCCTTTCAGGTGTTTGATATCGTTATCCAACGTTTCCTGGAGCTTTCGCCGGTGTACAAATCGCTTGAAAGTCTTCTTGATCATCTAGGATGCTTGTATAAATTTCACGGTTTGTTGCTTCATTTTATCATTTGAACTTCGACAAAATAATTGCCTAAATAGTTTTCTATTTGACAGGACGTTTTTTGCTATTGCCGAAACTACGAGATGTGATGACTATTAACATGTTGCGTTTGAGAAATCTTTTGAGGCTTTGAAAGAGGTTTTTATACAAAGAAATTAAACCAGACAATCACAGTAGATACAAAACTTCATGAACCAATCAACGCGTAGCTGGCGCCAAAGCGCGGAAAGACGCGTGCGACAAAAAGTCACGATTGAACGATTGGTTTTGATTCAAAGGAGGTCAGGAGGGTGCTGGAAATTCAAACTGAAAGTTTTACCGGAGGGTTAATTGAATGAAAAGCACCTTGTGTTACCCCAATGACTTCAATTTTTAAAAGTTATTTCACGTCTCATCAGGTGAAAAAGCCAGATTTTTTGGCGAAATTAAAATGAGAAATTCAACATGTTCTTTCACAACCACTCTAATCTTTTGCTTCGCTTTTCTCGGCCAGGCTCGGGATACCAAGCTTACCCATTTTAGTTGCACTGTGAATTGTCTAATAAAGTATTTCTTTGTTTTAAAGATCGTCCTGTAACATTCTTGTACAATACACTGCACTACTATGAGCACTGTCTCCGAGACAAACCTGCTCTGAAGAAAAAACTGGTCGGAGCTATTATCGGTAAGTTTGCTTGTAAACGGAAAACATGAAATCATAACTTTCTCAACCAAAATAATCTGTGTGCTGGGAATAGTCTCTCTGATCTTCAGATGAGCTTTAACAGTTGAAAATAAACCAAACTAATAACAAAATGTATATTAACAAGTTGTGGTTGACTCCATATCGAGTCCCGGTTTCAAAATGATTTTCTTTCAGGTTCTCCCATGTTTAACTCACTGCTTCAGTAATTCATACGTTTGTCTCTCAATTCCATAAATCCGTTTGCAGCGTATTTCATCAACCACATTTTAAAATTTTCAGATGTGAGATACTAAAAGCTGGCAGTGCCAGATCAATTTGCTGATTAAGAGTAAGACCATCTTGTACATTCTCACGGCTACTTATACTGAACTACATGCCAGGCTGGACTGTGAGTTTTGTTCGGCTTAGGGATGTAAATAAGGAGCTGAGCCACGGCGACGACGACAACGACAGTATCAAAAAACAATTCTGGTTTTAGGAGCAAAACAACAACTCTGTGCGTGCATCACGCTTTGTACATTTCTTTGACGTCCTCTACTGCACCACTACGACGTTTTGAAACCTCCTAAGGCTAATGCGATGTTTTATGGAGGACGTCAACATACGACGACGAATTTTCATTTCTCTTGTTGAACAGGGATAAATTCCGTAAGAATTCAACTCCAGGAAAAATCGCCCACATTTGACAAAACTGACCTGGTCAAAATAGACGCGATATGGTTTGAAAGGACACCAATTCAATTTTTTGGCGACGTTTTCATTGTCGTCGTCGTTGTCGTTGCTTAAGCTCATTAATAGAGAGTTTTAGATCCGAGTTTACCGCGAACCTCTAACCGCGGTTTGCGGTTACGCGTTTGCGGTTCGACGTTCAAACATAATTCGATTTAGATTGGCGGTGGATTAAATTACGGGCGCCATTTTGAATCAGCGGCCATGAATGGCACTTGTTTTGAAGATCCAATAGGATTTATAAAATTTAGCATTTTGCCCGAATTTTTGCCTTAGTTAATGGATAAAGACTTGCTCCACAAGATTTTTGTATCATTACGTGGGATGAAACAAGAATTATACGCTAAAAGCTTTCAGGTAAATGACATACGTGAAAACCTACCTCCCCACGTTGAAAACGCACGTCGTAAACCTCAAACGTGACGCGAAAGACTTGTCACGTGACCTCCAGCGGTTAGAGGTTCCCGGTAAACTCGGATCTAAAACTCACTATTGTCTTATTACTCGCAACAGGTGCACGGAGAGATGTTCTTCCTTCAGGCTGGTGAGCAATAGCTTTTTCTGTGATTAGTTATCAGCTACTCGAAGGTCGGACCTTTTGTGTTGGCACTCTTAGAGGGAGGGCTATCCTGTCTAATAGCACTGAATAGTAGTTGCTTTTGATGACTTTGATGGATTGAAATCCCCTTTGCGAAGACCAGCAAAGAGATAGACAAGGTAGTGGTAGCGAGAGTAAGGGAAACAACGGTGAAAAAATCTTCGAATTGACGCAAAGTCTCCTCATTACTGCTGACCAAAGATCTAAGGAAAGTTAAAGTTAAAGGACTTAAGACATTTATAGTCGCAAGTTTGGCAAACAGGCCCATATGTTTTCTTGTAAGGCCCTGTACACTTGCATCTTGATGTTTTTGAAAACGGAGTTTTTTTCTCCTTTTTCGAAAAAATACGCACCACACGTAGCGTATTCGAATTGTTTTTGCTCGTCACCCGAAAACGCTGAAACAATGGAGATACGATAGCATGCCTTACAGAGGACGAGATGTATGATGTTATGACATATCCTGTTTGATGAGGCAAAGGAGCTCACGGAAGCCAATAAGACTTATGAATGACCACCTTTAAAAATATATGACTAAATTATGAAATAAAATACTAGCATCGGCAAAACAATTTAACTAAACACATACAATTTCTTATAACATAGAAAATAATCATTAAAGAGGATAAAAATAGATAAGGCTAAATGCGCAAATGCAAAGTCGATAAGCCGGCGTTTTCAAAAATCTCCACGTTGGGGACCGTTTTTGAAAACCTGCCTTTTTGGAACCCGAAAACCCCTTTTTACGTGTGGACGAAAAGCTAAGGCCCTGTCTACACTAATGCGTTTTTAAAAGAACGCGTTTTCGTTGTCATCGAAAACGCATGGTCGATTCGAGTCCACGCTACCTTTTTGATGCGTTTTCGACTGTTCACACTAAAACGTTCGAAACAATAGAATAATGATTGTACGTTGTGACGTAAGTTGAACTCTATTCGCGTGCACACGCCAGCGATATTTTCGGTCATCGTTTTCATTTTGATGTGTTTTCGACCTTTCACACTAATACGATATGAATGCGTTTTCGTTTTGATCCACTTTCAAGAGCGTTTTCAAATCGATGCGTTTTCATTGAAAAAGCGCAGATTGGAAACGCTCAGGTTATTAGTGTGAACGGAAAGCCTAAACGCATCGAAATGTATGCGTTTTCAAACGAAAACGCATCAGTGTGGACAGGGCCTAAAACGGAAAAACTCTCCGTTTTCAAAAATATCCGGATACGTGTGGACGGGGTCTTAGAGAAGATGAAGTCTCATCCGCTCTTGTTTCATTCCTCATGAGGAATAAGCTGAATACCAAAATACTCTTAGCTACAGAGTATTTTTCTCTTCAGAAAATAAGAACCCCCAATTGCCTAAATTTGTGCTAGTAACGATTTATGTAAGAACCTGTTTAGGCTAACTTGAGAAAATGCAGGTTCTTACTAGCGGGTTTTTACTGTATTACAAGTCAGACGTGAACTTGTTGATATACACTTGTTTAATCAACAGGTGTCTTTCCGAGGGATACTTAGAATATCTTTCCAGGACTGACGATACATCGTGGACCCCGGATCTTGCTTATTACTGCTCCTTGATTGGTAGACTTGTGGATAGTATCCTTTGTTTCGTTTGCTTGTTAAACAGTCATGACAGGAAGGAATAAAGATTATTCATCTCTTGGTTAGAGTATGTTTAGATGCACTCAGCCTCTGCTTCTTTGTGGGTGCTAACTGCAAGCCTCTAATGTCAACTGTACTGTGTGAATTGTCTTGTAATTCCTCTGGCCAACCAGTGAATCTTTGTTGACGTCATTGTTTACATTATTGCTGATTGGCATATGAGTTAACCCGTATAAGGCATCTCCGTATGCACAAATTAATTTGTGCAATTTTCGGCTCGTTGCAAGCAATAACAAGACGCTGTGGGAGCGTATATTTGGACGTCGTTTTACTACGGGTAGTGAAGTTTTTTATGTGTATTAGAGATGTGTGAGTAGTGTAATAGCGTTGTATATTTTAAGGGTTGTTTGAGATGCGTGAAGTGGAAGATAAACTCCTTGACACTGCAAAGCGATTGCTGGAAAAAGCCCGCCTCCATTCCCGGCTTGTGATTGGCGGTTCAACGAGTTTGCAAACCCTGCTGCACATGCGCTATATGCAACGTGGGTGGAGCTAATGGCCCTACCTGTCAAAGGACCAGAAGTGGGGAATAAACTGTTTGACGTCATATTTAAAGGAAGCTTCGTCACTGACAACGCTAACATTCGAACAAACATCTTAGAATGGATCAATGCTGTGGGATTAGTTTTGTCGTCACTTCCGGTAAATCTCTATTTCTTATCCACTTCATGTTTCATGTTGTTGAGCCGGTCAGGGAGGCTTATACAGTTAATTGACTGCTACAAGGCCTTGAAAAAGCTTTCTCAAAGAGGCTATGTCAGGCTATTTGCTACCTACTTTAAAAGCTTGTATTTTCATCAACTGAATTCCAAAAGTAATGGTCTAGTTTTGTTATTAAGACAATATTTAGGCATTGAAACTGTTTTCTGTCGTCTGTTGAAACAGATGGTAAAAGTAAACATGGATTCACGTGAAAAATGGAAAAGTTGGGCTAACGATTTGAAGTTTTAATTCTATGTCTGCAAAAATGACTACTGGAAAAAATTATGATGGTTAATAGTGCTTCCTGATGAAATTTGTCTGATATCTTCTCCATAACTGCACAGGAGCATTTTGTGTATGAGGTAAAGGCAGTAAGTAATGACTTTAGCACAGAACTGTCATAAAACAGCAATATTCTGGTAGCATAGCCTCTTTAAATTTCCTGCTGAAGAGACCAATACCTCTCTTTTTGTTTATCAGAAACCTTACTGGAGCACGGTGTATGAAAAAATCTGCGAGGCTCTCACAAAGGATCTCACCGTGCGGGAAGTATCTACGGCCCCCGTCATGCTCGAGGATTTGGGTAAAGGCGCCACTTTTCCCTACTCGTTTTTAGATTTTTCCACCAATGTGGCCATGCATTCAGAGACCAATGCTGATTATATACTGGCAGTCACTCATGCGCTGTGGCATCATGCAAGTATCGGCCAGCTGAGTCAGGTCCCAGAGTAAGTATATTGTCATCGATCCATGGAGAATTCACCTTCTTCTAATTTATCTGTTGATACCCGCTTTATGTGTTAAGTCTATCCTATTTTCCTGATCTTTCTTATGTATTTAGTGATGGAAATAAGAGAGTCAGCATGAGAGGCATTTGTGTTGAATTGAATTTGAGAAAACCAAGTTAATAACCAGTTTGTAACCCAGAGCACAAGTCGAGAAACACAACTTTTGAATAATTCAGGGGCACCCAACGAGGTTATTGTTCAAAACCACTTAACATAGCATTGTTGAACGTATTTTAGTATTTAAACGGTAGATATAGGCATATTTTTATCCCCTAAAAACTTTTCATCTGTTCGGATTTCCTAGCTGAAAGTCTAGTGATCCGAAAATTGTAGGGATCAAAACTCACTTTTTCGAAAATTTCAGCCAGGAAAAGGCTCCCGAAAATTCTAGGGGGCCTTTTTTAGGGTAAATATCCGTTTAAAATTGGTAATTATACCATTTTGTAGATGTTCGAAAATCCTAGGAGGGGCAGGCAAGCAAGAAATTTTACAACAAATGTTCCGAAAATTCTAGTTCTCAAATCGTCTTCCGAACAGATATTTTCCCGAAAATTGCCGTTGGGTGCCCCTGATAATTTGAATAAATAAGTAAGACCCGTTTTGGCTAAACTTATAGTTCAACCTCAACTAGCGTTTTCCCTCGAATCGAAGCTCTCAAACTGCTTTGTGACGTTCTGTGTTTTTGTTTTCGTTTTTGAAACAGTCGGCTTAATGAAAAGAAGTGTCTCGTGAACCTTCACGACGCGAAAAATGTCGATAACTGTCCAAGTTAAGATAGAAGTACTTTTCAGTTGCTACTGTGGTGCTCATTTCTTGATAACTTGCAGATTTCCGTCTGCGTATAAATTAGTGCGGTGTGCAAAACAGCTTGCGTGAAGTGGAAAAAAGTTTATGAAATCCCCTTTATGAAAGATCTCGCTGAACCGTTATTCAAAAACATTATGAAATAGAATCCAGGGAAAGGGAGAACCTTGATTGAAATGTGTTGCCATCATTACCTCTTGTTGTTTCTTTTCTCATTTTTACCGGCAACATAATAATAATAGTAATAATAATGATGATGATGATGATAACGATGATGATAATGATGATGATGATAATAATGATGATGATAATAATAATAATAATAATAATAATAATAATAATAATAATAGGGGGTAAACACATAACGGCAAAGATGACAAATCATTGGCCCTCTACAAATACAAAACTAATGTACAATTACTTCGTGTTTGAAGGTTTGTTCGTGAACGTGTATCACCACTTGTCACAAATGAAGCTCAATTTCTTTACGTGTGTCATCTTGTCGGACCTTTTCTGCAGCGGTTTCTACAAGAACGACCAAGGTGTCTTCAAGAGGTATTCACCCAATTTTCCACTTTTTAGCAGCGAGGGTTTTCTTTTACGTTGCACATCTTGTAAGAATTTGTCTGCTGAAAAACTCTTTTCACAGTCCCTAATTATTTGCTTTGCAGTGCGATGACAGGCACGGGAAGTTAAGGGTCGCGGTGAAAAAGGAAAGGACTTCCCCGATTGTTTTTGTTTTTTTGTCTCGATTTTCTTTTCGGAAGCGGGTGATCTAGTCTGCTAATCTGCTTACAGCTGATTCGAAAGTGGATGAAATTGGAAAGCGTCTAGCGTAGTGGTATCTTCACTGTTGCTTGACGGAGCGTTTTAACGGAACGGAAAAGGAAACCTGAACATAGGTCAGCGGTTTTCTCTGTATGATCGAGCCAGCCCAGGCGTAAGATCTTAGATTCAGATTCCTTGATGATATCCCAGACTTAAGGACGTCTTGGGGTCGTCGCGTACGCTTTACTTTTTTAAGTGACAACCTTTCTCGAATCAGATGTATACATAACCTTAATGCCAGTCGCCTCAAGAAGTGGAGTGACGAAGAATGACGTAGGAAAGACCCTGGGAACGAGGTTGCTGTGAAGCTGATTCGGTGAAGGTTACTTTGGGAGAGACAAAAGTAGGCACGGATGGACAATCTTGAAGAAGATTTCGTCTTCGTTTGCTTGTTCTCCATAAAACGTGAAATTAGAAAAAAGTGAATTCACGCCGTAGTCGTGCGGTATCGGCAAAGACTGAAATGTTCGACGCTCTCGCCGTCGTGACACCTTAAAGGTTATGTTACAAGGGACGTTTTTAGCGTATCACAGCGTTGCCACGTTCCATTATTTCGTTCCAATGCTGTTGCCTTAAAAATCGTCGTTGTAAATCGTCTTAAGTAACATCGCGTTTAAACTCTAGTATTTCTCCCAGCACCTTCTTCTACCCCTGGTTTCAAAGGATGACACGGAGGAACATTCTCTTGACTTAGGAAACAACAACGTCCAAATCCGGAGCCCCCAAAACACTTTCCACCATTTTCTCTCCGTAGTAACGAGCGAGTGGTAAATTAAAGGGGCTGTTTGTCATGGCTGTGTAATTTATTTTGTTAATAATGTCAATTTTTAATACGCGTCCTAAGTAGCCATGGAACCGGTTGAGAAATTACTTGTGAATGACAATATCTGAGCTTCGTGTCAAACAAATATGTGGCATTGTACCAAACGTTAGGAATAACAAAAGTGAACTTTGAATACTTACTAGGCTAACAAATTTTCAAAAACCACAATTGCAATCCGTTTCAATCTTCTTCATGCTCTGTCTGTCGGCGCGTCCTTCTGTATTTGCTAAGTTAGTTAAACCTTCTTTTATTGTTTAAAGCAGTTATTTCTCATGTTTTTCTTAGTTTGGTAGAAGTTCTCGCTGTTTGTATTTTGATAAATTTCGTGACTCAGCTGCTTTAATGGTGGAGTAGTGACATAGTGTTAATTAAGGGTCCTTTTTCATGTTTACAGATTGTTATTGAACTGTATCGTCTGCTAGAAAAAATCAACAGAGAGGTGCAGTTTCTACATCACACCGATACAATTTGTGACTTCTTGTATCCTTTCTCACTCATTTGTAGTTTAACTCTAAAAGTCGTAAATTACTCTGTTCATTATTGTGTTACGTTTGCCGGAGCAGATTATTTGTTAAGGTTCTTTAGCTTACGTCAGATACCACATCAAGTACATGTTCATAGGAGATATCGTTAAAGACGAAGTCCTAAAGATCATTCCTCAGTTACGGCAGTCATTGCAGATCCGTCTTCGGTTCATGACCCAGAGTGTAAAGCGAGATGAAAACTCATAACTCATGAATGAAGCTTAGTGCCAGTCCTCACTTTCATTGGCTTGAACGCTGGAGGCTTGGTGAAGACCAAAAAAAGAGACCCAACCGTCACCAGCGTAACCAGCGTAGTGCTCTCGACCAGGGATGAGAATAACGCTTTGTGACTACTACTACTACAAGGCCTTGACAGGAGAAATTGAGTCACTTCTTGCCGTCCGTGATACAAGTAACTTATTCAAATGTGTCCAAGTAGGACTTGCTACTACCAAAAAAAGTTTTGGTAGAATGGGCACGAGCTTTCGCTTCTAGGAACTCCGGGATTGTTTGAGCACCCAAAGTTAGTTTTGACTGCCAATAAACGATCACAACTCATACTGGCTGCCATATGATCAAGAAATCTCAATCCCGAAAGTCTCCGCAGAAATCCTGGATTGGCGTTTATTTGGAACTCGGTTAGCGTGTGTCAGAAGGTGTTAGAAAGGGGGTCATTTTCGACTGCTCTCACAATTTATGTTAGACGACATACATATGTAGATGACCTTTTTTAGGTGTTCAACCTCTAAATATTAACTGAAAACTACATTAGATGTAGACCAAATGATCTCTTCAAGACTGTTCAGAACTCCTGTTGGAACAAGATATCAAAGGTCTCTAAAGCTCTCACATCTTGGGGAACAAATTATCATAAAGCATTTATTTCAACGTGCTTTTAATTTATTAAACATTTTAATTTGGTAGACAATGAGTGGTCCCTCATTTTTTCGCGTGAATATTACCACCCTGGCCCGTAAGAATTAGGTGGCACGCAGCGGGAGGTCTATTTATAAGCATACAACTTGTCAATTAGTATGGGATATGACTAGCTGATAAAAATACTGGTGTGTAATGAACATTCTGAGTAGGAAAAGTGCACTTAGTAATGGGGTAATCAAAGTATACCTTTGTGCTCTCGCTCTGTCCCTTCTTTCAGATCATAGAAGTATAACTTTTTCTTTCTGGTCATAGCCTAGCTTATATCTGGCATAGAAATTAATAGAAAATGTTGCTGGAGTTTCTTCACTCCCTTAACGGTCCTCAACTTACTTCACCACCATTAATGTGATTGGTGTTATTTAGCATTAAAAAGGTAGTAACATACTAGGAATGTGTGTATTAGTCAGCTATTACTTTGTCAAAATGAAGGAAACCATTTTTGATACAGAAACAGTAGAAAAGAAGAATGTGAAACATGTATTCATGTCAAACATGTATACATAAACAACAAGTAGTACTGAGTTTCTAGGTATGTTTCTTCAAGCAACAAATTTTTTTACAAGGTATTGGACTGTGTTGTTTTTAGATTCTTCATATGAATAAATTGGTGCATAACCAAGTTCTTTTTTAGCTTTGTTCCAACTGATTGTCATGCCCTTGCACACACAATAAATAGAGGATCTTGTAAACGGAACAGAAATCTTTCCAAATGGCCGTAAAATCCATACTACCAATTCCAAAATAAATGCAAAGAAGACGATGATGGAGTAGGGAATGGAAATATTCAAAAGAGTGCAGCCGGTAGCTGCTAGGTAAGGTTCTAAAAAGTCAAAAAAGTTCTTGTTGGGGGTGTGGTCTCCAATGCAGAATGCCTTGCCAGCAATCACATTTGGTTTTGAATGCATTACCTCTATTGCAAGCACATGGGCCCAGGCTGCATTACCAACATAACATGGGTTAAAAATGGCATCTCTATTCCCCATTCTTGGTAAATAACCTAACTGACTCTTTGCAGAATTAATTACATTGGGAATAAAAACTGTATCTCTCTCTCCATACATTACAAGCATCCGTAATGAACATGTTACAAGCCTGCCATCGTTAGCAAGCTTACTTCCGTTTGCACTCAGGACTCTTTTCTCCGCTTGCATCTTGGTGAATGCATATTGGCCGAAAAGGTAATCAGAGACTTTATCACCAGGTGCTGGTGTTGATTCGTTTAAATTGCAGTTTTCTGACCAACCCAATAGAACATCTGCAGTACTTGAGTAGACCAGTTTAGCAACATTGCATTCTATACAGGCCTTGATTATGTTCTCAGTGCCTTTCACGTTAACAGCCCACATTGCTGTCTCCGAGGTGGGACTGACTTCTATTAAGGCCACTGTATGAATAACAACAGTTGCGCCTTTGCAGACGGCTTTGACCTAAAAACGGAGAAAGAGTAATTTCACATCATTGGTCATTCAGGGGTTTCAATAAGTTTTTTAATAAGCAGTTGCCAATGGTAAAATAGGCGGCAGTAACAACCTTTTCGATTTCTAGTTGTTATAGCCATCACAATACTGACGCTGGTGACTAAAAGTACGTGTACATTTAACCTACATGTAGTCACCTGTGTAAGTATTCTGACTTATTCTAGGATAACTAGAAAATATAGTCATTAATTCTATGTATTTCTTCATTGTTGTTCATTTCTTTCTTTCTCTCTCTCTCTCTCTCTTTCTGTCTTCATTTTACTTATTTATTTCTAGAAATCTTAGATCTTTCAAATACAATAAACTGAACAGACATTACAAGCGGTGGGAAACTGCCGCTAACCGGCTTTTATTGAAACCTCTAGTCCTAGTTCTGCTTCTACTTACAATCATTCCCTTCAATCTCCCTCAAAGCTCTCATACCAAGAAGGGGATGAATGGAAAATAAATAAATAAAATACTTCAACTAAAAAAAAGCTTCAAAATCATTGCTGATAAGAACAAAACTTCCCAGTGAGGTGCATTTCCTTAGTAGAGGCCCTGCCGGGGGGGGGTACCATGTCGCCCGTCTGAAGTTTAAAACGTCTTGTGTCAGTGTTTATAAAATTAATGCTTGTTGCTTATCGTCGGCTTTGCCATCACTGTCGCAATTTGGCCGAGGGAGGCTGTCTCTTGTCGCGATTTCATTTTACGCGCTGTCACTACTCTTTGGGCCATGTCGCTTGTCGGAATTTACCCTGGCAGGGCCTCTTAGTAAGTTGGCCTATATGGGCATGTGCCACTGAATAGGGTATGCTTTTCAGGGTCTTGAGTCCTAAACAGGGTATACAATTTCACTATCTGGACAGGGTGTCTTTTTGGACCAGAAGCCTTAAAAAGAGCATGAAGGTTGGCAATGACTGGTCGACAAGTGTGGTACCAACTATTTTTTTTTCTACAAAATCCAAAAATTTATTGTTGGGTGATAACCCAGGTCAATTAAAACTTCAATTTGTTATGCATAAATTGAAGTTTCATACAACTGTGATAAAATCACCATAAAAGATAGCAACTGAAGTACACTCTCTCGAGCTCCAAGCAAGGACAGACATTTTTGGGATCAAACAATGCTCAAAGCTTGTAATATTTATAGAAGTGTCCTCCTCATAGGGTCAAAGCGGCAGGGACTGACATTAGGTGTCCCTTTCGGAAAGGTCTCTATCCATCCCCCTTGGGAGAACATTCTTGGAGGGTTGTGGCTGTGTCGGCACCTTTGATGTTTGCAATATTTCTGAGGGGTATGAGAAAAATTGGGCTATTTTTGAGGCGGGGGAATGTCACGGAACTTTTCATCCTTTTTTTTTCTTTAAGGGTACAGTCAACTAACCTCTTCCGTAGGGGGTTGTGGCTGTTAAATGCCCCATGGCCCCCCTCCCCACAACCTAATCTCCGCAGCCAGAGGAGTTGGTCTCAGTCATCGAGAAAATGATCAACAAAAAAGTAGCACTGTATGCATATACCTGCCAACTCTCACGCCTTAGGCGTGAGTCTCACGCCTGCAGGTTGAAAACTTCGATCTCACGCCGGCTCACGCTTGTGGGCCAATTTCTCACGCCTGATTGAAAAATGTGAGTTGTTGCCGTCTTGCTTGACACAATTTCCAAAAATATGTTAACTCAGACCCATGTAAGGAACGAAAACCATGTGTAAAATGAGTAAATGTCAATACCTTCCTCGCGATCTCTGATTTTGTGGATAAGCGTTTTCTCGATAACTTCGCCTTCGGCAGACTTCGGACGTCTTCGGAAGACTTCGGAAATGATCGTGTCGTCTCCAAAAATCCCAGCACTCCCAGGATAAAAATCTCACGCTTATATCTCAAAAAGAGTTGGCAGGTATATATGCATTCAATACAATTTGCACACACACAACTACAAACTAGTTTTGTAACCTACCTCTTCATAATTGCGAACATCCCCTTGGCTGTATCTAAGCATGACTTTGCCACACGGATCATAACTCTGAAGAAAGCAAGGTGGCTTTTGAGGGCAGATATCAAATCCTCTTATCTCCACTATATTCTGACCCTTTGTATTTAGTAGCTCCACCACCTTAGTGCCTAAAAATCCCGCGGCACCAGTTACTACCACAATCTCGTCTCCGGCTGTAGCTCGAGGTGCCATCACTGATAATCGAAACTAAAGCCTAAAGGCGCGGTTACAAATTGAAAAACAAAGGTAATTTTATGTACTCTTACATGACGCCCTTGCAACTTGTTTCTGCAAACAGCTAGAGAAACTGGCTTTCTAATTTGAAATGCAGCAGAGTAATATACGAACATCCGTTTTACTGTACAGGCATCTACTAAAGTGCATTAGACAGCTGCCAAGTGAGACTCAAGGCCATTACAAGCATCACGTTAGGCAGGTTGGTCTCAGCAAATCCAACCATCTTCACCCTAACTAAACTAAAGCTATTAAACTGTGCCGTGGCAGTGGGTAGGCTTGTGTCCAGCCCCAAGATATATTTGCGCCGATTGATATGATTAAAGATAATAATTCTACACGTCTTTTTTGTAACCAGGGGTGTGGATTTTTAATTAAGTTAGATCGTAAAGTAATAAAACCTCCCTAGGCTTCTAGGCCTAGCCTGTTGGCTCATGGCTAGTGTACGACGTTTCTTCTTTATTTTTCTCTCGCTCTCTTCCTTCGCGCCACACTCCACTATCCGAACGCCCGGAACAGGCTATCTAGGCCAGGCTTCTATTACAAACAGGGTACAGAATAAATAGTTTATGTGGTACATTCCTACCCACCATCTTTATTAGACGGATGTGTCATAGAGGTGATACCTACAGGTGTCGCATCCTAGGAAACCGAGGGGCAGATAGTGGGGGCGAGGGAAAGTCTTACTTTTCTTCGTTCCATATACATTTTTCTGCCCGTTTAGACTTTCCCTTGCCCCCACTATCTGCCCCTGGGTCTCCGAGGATGCAGGTGTCCGTGTCCTTAACCCTAATTCAAGGAAACTGTCGGTGATGGGAGTACAGTGGGTTAGCAGAGGTACCATAAAGAGGTTCAACTGAAAAGAAATCGTTTCGCTGGTTTTGTCTTTAATATCTGTAGGGTTATGCAAGTCACTGCGATGAGACTGATCCTGTAAGAATACAGCAAATTATAAACAGAGCAGTGCAAGATGCTGAGTGGCTGGTCAAAAAGGTCAGTAGGTTATCTGGCAACCAGTGAGTAAAGGTATACTGTGCACATTTTGTAATGCCTGCCACTCCCAATCAGTAAGCATTAGACGTGGTCGTCCTTTGCAGATGGACGTGGAAATATCTTTTCTGGGTGGAGAAAACAATTTTTTTCCCTTTACTCATCCGTCACACTGCAGACCAGGGAGAGGCCATTTTTCTTTTTATTAAGACAGGAACTTTATAGCCAAATTGTTGGAAAGTTCACACAATGAACAAGAGAGTCCCTGTGCGCTTAACTGAACCAGTTCCAGAAACATTCACTGATTTGGTACGAGTAGGTGCCCAGGGGGATTCCAATTCGTTTTGTTAACTTTCCCTGCAATGGTTTTGCTCTTGAACATTCTGCCCCGATAAGCCACCTTTTGATCACTGAAGTTGGCCTGTGCTAGGATGTTAGTAACATAGGGTTCTGGCTACTTCATTTCTAAATGGGTAAACAATATTTCACTGCTTAGCTCAGACAAAGGATTTCATTTAAGAGTGCAGATACAAGCATGCTATAGTATAATAATTATGTACTTTCTTAGCGCTTTTAGCCTTAAAAGATCAATGTTAAGGGGATTATTATTCCATTTTGTTGTTAAAAATTAGTCAAAATCATATTGCATCTGGAAGTTCAATGAGGTGAAATAGAGTCAATCTAAATCATTATGTGGCTACAATAGTATGCGCACTCTGATTGGCTGTTTTCTTGTAATGACCAGGCATTAATTTCTTGTAATGACCGGACATTACTAGCCACATGTCAAAGGCATATACAATCTGTGTTAACTTGATAGTGGACATCCTCATGGACATCATGTTATGGTCAACTGATGGCTGTCAAAAAGGGTATCTGCTGACCAGTGCCACATGACTATATTGCAGGCTCATTTGACAACTCATTGAGGTGACATGTTTTTTAAAAGTTATCCGTTGACCAGTTGTTGGTTTAACTGATCCCAGGATCAGATCCATAATGAAAAGGTCATATCATAAATAAATTATTAACCTCGACTGTTTGGTCATTACAGGGAAATCTCTGAGACCACAGTCAGAGATTTCCCGGTAATGACCGCACTCTTGGTAAATAAGTGGTATACAAATTTTAGCAAAGACACTTTCAATGTATCAAGATTCAGTCTGGAGAATATTGGGGCTTTAAGGGTAAATGGCATGCAAGGAAAACTAGAATACTGACAGGGTAACAACCTGTACATTGTACTTCTGTGCTGTATTACAGACACGTTAGTCATAATGTCTAGTATTATTTCTTTGCATTCACAGTACAAGAAGTAATAGCAAGCAAACCCCAGCAAGTTGATGGGACCAATGTAAATAAAAGCCAAGAGGCTTGAAGGCACGAACAAAAGCATGAGGAGCAAGCTTCAGAATCCTGAATTTAAACTTAACTTTTAGAAACAAAATATTGAAATAAGCCTTAAAGAAACTGTTGATGTCAACCAAAGGGTTTTCATCAGTGTGAGAACTTGACTTGTTAAAAATTATTGCTGCCTCGCATTTTAGCGTTAAATAACATAACTATGTATTGTAGTTGCTAAACTTATATCACTTAACGTATAGCAGGTTCTCACACAGATAAGCCCAACCACAGGTGTATGGTAGTGGTAGTATGTCTGCAGTCTTTTTGACATTTACAGAATAAAAAGGTCCTCAAGTAAAATGAAGTGGTCAAAGAAAGCTTATACATCATATTTGGTGAAGCCATAATTAGCCTGTTCCAGGCCGTACATAATATAATTTAAAATAACTTCAAGACATGTAATTAGCAATATTAGTAGAAAGATAAAAATGTTGGCCTGTGAATCCATCCAAACCCATTTAACTGTGACTTTTTCCATAAATACATTAGCATTTACCGGCTAGGTATATTTGATGACTGTTGTTTACATTAGGTAGGTAGATGTGTACATTACCTGATTAAATTTTATTCTCGAGCAGTTAAAAAATATTAATTTATTTTATTTTTCTAAATGACAATTACATTACTGTTTACATAAAAATAATAAATTATTATTGCTAAGAATTATCTTTTATTAACAAATCAAATCAAACAAATTTATTAACAAATCAAACCTGTATACAATCAATATTATTTTGGGTGAGGTCAGTTACCTTTCAATTCTGAGACCCAACAACAAAGTCAACAAATTTCAACTAAATTAAACTGTGTTTCAAAGAGAATTCCTCATGGGCCACACACATTTTTACTCAATAAAGCAGATTTCTGTAAAGTACATGTACTAGAATACACCTAATACAGGTTTTCATAATAACACGAGTTTCAGTTATAATAATAATTATTCATTATTTTTTTGGTATATGATTTTTTTTTTTGGGGGGGGGGGGGTATTATTAGTTATAACAGAACCATTACCATACCCCATTTTTCCTATTAAAAATCCAACACCTAAGTAAAGGTACCTCTCTATTTCCTCTTGGAGAGAAAAAAGACAATAATATTATTAATATTATGGTGACCGCCCCTGGGTCAAGGCTACAAAGGCAGAAAATTCAAATTTACCCAAGATCAGCACAAACCCAAATCTTTGTGTTCAAAGGGGAAACAGAACTGACTCTGAATTCAAGTTTTGTTTCATACACAAGAATCTTGCAACATGTTTTTCCCACATAAACATCAACATTAAACAGCCTTTAAAAACTGTGTAGAGGAGTTGATTTTAACTTGGTCATACAAACCTATCAAAAAGCCTTTAAATAGCTGCTGTTGTTACAACTTTTACCTTACTTAAATAACTTTGTTTTAACAAATGCTTTACACCTTTACCCAAAAATGGGCATATGATAATTATATGCCTACAATAAAAACATTAAAAGACCGTCATGTCTCAAAATAATTGACACTTTTTCTTTGTACCCATTAATAACAAAGTTCACTGAAGTTGCAGTTGTATAATAATTGCAAATATTTTTTTCGACTTTCTCAAAGCCCGTTTCCAGTTTCTGCTAGTTGGGTGGTGAATTGGAAAACAGACCTTGCAATTTCCGTTGCTCGCATTCGCTCGCTTTGCGAGTGTCCCATGCACTTTCAGCACTCACACAGTCGACTTTTGGCAAGTCTAATATTTTTTTTCACTTAAGGCTTCAATCAAGGTTACGAAATAATAACATAAAAACATGAAGTGGGAAAACATACTATGGACCCTATTCTGCAATGCCTTGTCCTTTTTTTGTATTTATCAACCTTGCATGCATAATTTATTTTTCCATGCAAGATCCAGTTTTCTATGATTTGACAACACAGGGTGAATGTGACCTCACCCATACATAAACAGAGGAGCCACCATTAAGGGGATAACCTTGGTCCAGGACATTTGAGTGTTGCAAAAATAGGCACGCCTCAATGGACATTACTAATACCAACATTATATGAGCCATATTGGTCAGTAACATTTGTGTCCCTTGAATGGTGGTGTCCCAAAAGAAAGGTTTCACTGCATTGTTATCTTTTTTCTTAAGGCTACAGCTTTAGAACATTATTTTACCTTAAATAAATATCTCATTTTTTCTAATAAAATAAATCTTTACACCCACAAGCACTTTAAAGTTTGTAAGGGGAAATCATGTTTACTTTACTGCAACCTCTGCCTTGCATGCAAGTCGTATACTTGACTCCTGCAAAACATATATCAGCATTTATTAGTATATAATGCAAGACTTTAAAATTACCATATATGGTGAAAACTGTACCAAGCACTAATGGGATCCTCACAGTTGTCTGCTTAAAATACATGTTTGTTTTGAAAAGTTAAGGGCTAAAGGCTGTTCGTGTCCACTTTAGCACAGGGTATCAGCTTCCAACTTTTCAGTAAACTGAATTTAAAAACTTTAGCATTCAAGGTGTTTGATCTAGAGGCATCACTTACCCAAGCATCCAACACAGAAGTAACTGAGTACATTTCAGGCATGCGCTGAAGTCGCGAAGAGAGCTGCCTCTGAACTTTCTGAAGAAATGGATTGGCATCTAGAAAGAGAAGCATGATTAAAGATCAATAATATTTCGATTATTTTTAGGCAGTTTCATGTCAAGAGTATTGTAAGGTACTGGCCAAAACTGCAGTGTTCATTGTGTCACCAGAATGAGGCAAGTGTATAGGGAACGTTCCTCGCTGTGCAAACTAGTATAATTGGGGGATTCAGATCCAATAAGAAACATACTATAATTAGAAGTCTTGCACTCTGGACTGGAATATGGGTAGTTGGATGGAACACTGATTTCTATCGGTGGAACTGCTGGCAGATTCAGATCATCTGCAATATAAATAACAATAAATTTAAAATAGAGTTGCAAACACAAATGTCAGCCAACAGGTAAATTAGTCTACTATAAGAAGTACTTTCATTGAAACCACTTTGAATTCTGCATCACAACAAAATTTCTACCTTCACTATCAGATCACATAAACTTGATAGTTTGGCTATTAAGCAGACATTAAGGCATGTGGTGTATAAAATACGATGGAGCCTCCATGCCCAACCACCTCTCCCAAGCAACAACCTCCCACCCATAAGTGACCACCTATCCAAAACACCAAATTTTCCAAGGGAAGGATTTATAGTGGGAACCTCTTGTAAATGACCACCTCTTGTAAGCGACTGTGACCACAACCAATTTTAAGGAGGACGGATTTTTCAATGTCTTTAACCTCTTCTACGCAACCACCTGATACAATGGTCTGATCTTTGTGTTCAGTGTATGTACTACACTACTCAGAGTATGTGAGAAGCATTTTTAAAAACAATGTGGATTTACATTACTGTATATTGTAACATAAAAATTGCATGCAATACATTCCCTCCAAATTAGATGTGCTGGGACTTCTCCTAATAAAAGACCTCTAGCAGTTTGACTCTCGTAAGTGACCACCTTCCATAAGCTACCACTAACTCTTTGCATTTTGGGTGGTCATTTATGGGGAGTCTCTAAACAAAGTACCCAAGTCTTGCCACACTCAAATGAAATTTAATAATGAAACTGAGTTCTACGGTAACTTGTGAGTTTGTGGATCTTGAGCTTCACTAAGTGCTCACAAACTCATTAACTGTCTTAAAGAAGGGTCTGTAAGACCACTGTATAGCTTACTTATTGAGCACTGAAGCAATGTGTTGCTTTGTACAACTCCTGTGCTAATACCAGGCTTCACTTGAAATCGGCTGCACAGTCGAGCCAGCTCGCCTTGCAGTACATGTGGTACATTACACTTCTTTGCATTGCTATCTGCCAGTTTGATCTTCTTAGCAGGTGGGGGTAAAGGGCTGAAAAAAAGGCAATCCAAGAGTAGCTTGTTACTATAAAATTCTCCATTGTTATACAAAGTACAAAATCAAATAATTATTTTTCTTGTACACGCTTTAAACCTGAAATTTCAAGAAGACTTCCCTTATAAAGATTGATCAACAAAACACAGAGCCAAGATTCTGAAAAGATATACCACTGTTTGACAGTCCATGCATGTAATACTACATTATGTAGTACTTGAAAAACCCCTTCCTTGCATTTTTATCAATGATTGTATTAACTTAAAACGTTTACAAATTCAGTAAAAGTCAATTTTGGTTTAGCTCGGGCTTCAAGTTACCAAGCGCCTGATTTACCGGTAAACTTACTGCTGTAATTCATTAGAGTAGGAATATTTTATTCTTAAACCTGAAGGAAGGGCTAGCAACCAGTTCAATTAACAGCTATGAGCTAACAGACATGTCAGCAAAACGACAAACACCACATTTTTCTGGTTTCCCTTAACCCTTTAAGCCCCAATAGTGACCAACATCAATTTTCTCCTGATAATATCCGTATATTGTCAAGAGATACGGTTATGAGAATTGACAAAATGATTACCAAAGAGAAAATGCCCTGATCTTTGAACAAATTCTTTCAACTCATTCGTTAACAAAATGTATGGAGATCAGTTTGGAGAATTTGTTTGTGAATATTGGGACTTCAAGGGTTAACAAAAGCAACACTACCAAGTAGATTTTGTTAACATAACATCACATAGCAGGTAGGTTATAAAAAGGCATTGTTATGTGCCTGCAAACTACATAGTAGCAAGCTGGCAATAGCTGAAAATAGACTGATGTTGTGTTTTATACCACTTAATAACTATTAACTTGCTGACATACGTTATAGGGGGTCCTTCCATAGCTTGCAGGAGTGGTGAGAATGTCCTTTGTAATGTATGGCTCAGCATAGGGGACTTCGCATGTCTTGAAACAGCATCATATAATGGCTTGCAGATGGCTTGGGTAAGCACTACCGTAGATGCTGTAGTTGTTGTTGAGGCTGTTGGACCTGGCTTGGTGGTCACATTGGAAACATCACCACCTGATGGTGTTGGAGGTGCTGGTGGTGTGGGGACGGATGGCTGTCAAAATGAGTACATGGCTAGATCTAAGTATTTATAAGACAAATGACCCACAACCACTAATACTTCCCTTCTCTGTGCAATTCAGAAAATTGCAAGTTTACCAATAAGTTACACAATCATCTGTCACAAACCTTCACCATAAGGTTGTAAGTGTAGGATGGGAGCCTTATTTAACAGAATTTGAGACCCCTTATCCATGTACCAAGCAAACAACCCATTGACATGCCCTAATGGCAGTGCAGCCAAAAGACCCATATGCCCCAATTTCCTTGTCACCCATCTCACTGAAACCATAGTATCTGCCAACTTTTTCTGAGTCACATGCATGAGACTTTTCTGAAAACATCCCAGCAACTTAGAAGATTTCTGATGATTTTAGTCAGACTTACAAATGTTATCGAAAATTTCTGAGGATGTTCCAATGACTTTGGAGAATTTTCGAAAGTATTTGAAAAGCAACAATTTTAACATGCTGTGATACAGTCCAACTTAAGGTGTCTTTTTGGAATACTTACAGGGAAACTGTAATCATGTGTTAAAGAGCAATTCATCCGGATTTGTGAGTAGATGTGAGAAGTTTACCTTGATAACTGAGATTGATGCCTTTAGTCTGCAAGCATGAGACTCATGCATAATGCAAGAGAGTTGACAGGCATACCATAGGGTTGAGTGGTAATACTAGTTACCCACCCGCGGTGTGAGTGTTGTGAGGTTTGTGCTGCAGGCAGGGTTTGTACACTTCTTCCCACATAAAATTCAAGGGCTTTCAAGGACCACATTTTAAAATCTCAAGGACCTTAACACACATTCCAAATAAACTATGAATATATTTTGATAATAATCAGCTTTTGCTCTTTGGGGCAACCATTTTGAAAATTCGTATGTGAGTCCATACCTGACTTTCGTTTCCTCAATGCAGATTTTATTCTGCTGGCTTCAAACCAGTATTTGCAAATTTTTTTGGAGGTTTAAAAAATGTTCCTCAATTAAATTCAAGGACTTTCAAAGACCAAAATGAATGCAGAAGAATTTCAAGTCTTTCAAACCCTTGAAAAAGGAGAAGGACTCTAAAATTCAAGGGATTTCAAGGGTTTTCAAGACACATACGAACCCTGTGCAGGGAGCACCAGAATACTAATGCACTCTTGCTTCTTGTTATTCATTAGGGCAAATTACACGTAACCATCATATATATATCTTTTCATTTTTATTAAGTGAACTATGACCATACACTTGTACATCAGGGTTGAAAGAAACAAGGGATCTAATAGCTGCAATCCAAAAAGAGCTCAATTTTGTAAAAAAAAAACCTTAAATATTTTGTAATATCCATTCACGCAACACTTACAGGTTTTAAAGTGATGAGCTTTTTCAGCACATTTCCACTGTTTTCCAATGCTTGCAATGAAAGCCTATAATAATTATTTTTGAGATAAATAGATTTAATTGCTCATAATATCAACTAACACCTTCTATTTCTGGATATCACAAACACTGAAAAATTACTAAAAGCTAAAATGTATAACAGCAGCTTCAAATCTTTAGGTTGTGGTATGCACATGTTTAGCCATTTTAGACTCAAGAAAGTCTGTGAAATGATTTGCAATAATAATCTCAAAACAACTAAACATAAACAAAAAGCTGAAATATTGTTGACAAATTGCTGTATTGGAACAAATGACTAGTCCATTACTTTGCTGGTTTCACTGTGCAACTTTTGGCTCTTTGCACGCAGTTCTGCTTAAAAACTGCACAACTGTTGGGCAGCCAAAACATATTGAGGCAAACAGTTTTCGTACAGGAAATTACGTAACCATTAATTAAAGACCATGTGGTACAATTAGACAAAGACCATCTGGTATAATGGACTTAAAATAACAGAGGAATGTAAGTGCCATGTTTTTATAAATAGAGAAATTTGTGTGACTTACAAAGTGAACAAGTCAAATAATATACCCTAACAAGGAAACATTAAAACTGTCTGCAAAGATTTGCCTTTCCAACTGTGGACTGGCAGGGAGTGAGATCAATAATTATTGTGAGCAACACTCACATACCGTTTAGATTGGTTTGTTAGGATATCATGCAGATGCTTCAGTTTGTACAATTCTCTGCTGGAGTGTTCTTAAACAACAAAGTAATAAAAATAATTTTCATATTAATTAAATTGGGATTAAATGAGACTTTTAACACCATAGAAACACCATTTAATACATCAAGAGAAACTTATGACAATAAATAGAAAATATTTTTTTCTTATTAACCCATTCGCTCCTGGAGATTTTGCCGAAAAACGCATTTTGAAGCTAGTCGAGTGGTTTTCTGGTCACTGTCATGCTAGCAAGAGCTAAAACTTACCACAAACCGGTTTACAGGTCGTACACTTGGCGGCCTTCTGATCCAGATGCAAAATATCAGCTTGCGAAGTTCGGGCATGCGCAGAAAGCAAAATTTCGACATAGTTTTTGGGTTTAAAAGTGACACAGCAGTCTTGACTTTTACTTTTCGCTTTCTCTCCTCCTTTCTTTTTTCGCTTTTCTTGCCTCATTTTTTTTTCTCTTGCTGGGCATTTAGTAGGCTTCATTTTGGTGCGAAGAGTTTTTAGGAAAGCTTTTAGGATCTTAGGATTAGGTGAAAGGAAAGGTAGGTGGGTAATGGTACAAGATTTTCATGGAGATTTTCAGGTCCTTGTCACATGGTTTTTTGCTTCTTTCTCCGGTGTCCTTGACTGAATTGTGCTCATTCTGGTATGGTTTGAAAGATCTCTTCACTCTGCACAAGTTAGCGAAGAAAGTTGTCCTTGACCGTTAAAACTGATGACGTTACAAAGGGTAGAAAGGACCTGGATCCACACGGGCGGTTACGGGCGGTTACGGGCGGTTCAGGGGCGAATGGGTTAATCCAGATTTGTCGCTCACAAGTTGTTGTGGCAAGTAATGTTATGATGACTAGTACAATTGTCACTAAAGTGGTAGCATGTTCTGGGCAAAAAAGGAAGGCCCTCCCCCATGTCTTTGCCCAGTCCTCGACTTTCATTTTCTCGCACTCATATATTCTTTTTTTGTTCGTCCCAACTTATAGCATGCAAAAGATACTGATAAAAGTTAGTCATAATTTTATACAATGTGATTAATTTTTTCAACTGCAATCTGTAAGTGTTTTTCCTAGATAATAGGGTCTTCAAGATCCAACAACACGACGGCAACGAAAACGTAAAAAAAAACAATAGAATTAATAAGCAAAACAATAACTTTGCACTCGAGCATCACACTTTTTTGTACACTTGTTTGCCGTTTCTGTACTTCTACGATGTGAAAATGCCTAATTTTGCATTTTATGGAGAACATAAATGAGCAACCATGAAATTTTATTTTTTTTCTGAACTTGGATAATTATGGTCCCTTGGAATTCAACTTTGGGAGGGTTTACCTACATTTGACAAAGTAAGTGGGTAGGAATAATCACTTCAAAGACTGAAAGAACACAAATTCAGTTTTTAAGCCATGTTCTCATTGCCATCATCTTGTTGAATCGTAAATTCCCTGATGTAGAGATGGTTAGGTTGCTGTTTTAGATGGACATAGGAACAAGGTAGAGGGAAACATAATAATTATTAAGAAACATGGAAGACAAAAACATGATGAAATGACCTAAATTGTCATTTTTTTTCTATAGAACTGCTTCACCAGATCCCAAACAAAGTTGAAAATTTATTTTCCCACCCACATGTGTACCAGAGAGATCATGGCTGAGATTTTAAGAAAAATTTCAAGGATCCCACGGGCTGTGAACCTATAAAATTCAGGGGATTCTGCATACCATTAGCACAAAAACTTCATGTATCCAGGGTGCAAAGAAAGTCAGTTTTACAGCCTGCTATTCAGGCAAGCTTTAGCTAGTAAGTACTAGCCCACAAGTCATTTAACCAAAACCCTTTTTGATTAGCAGGATTGATTACAATCCTTCTACAATTTGAATTTCCCCAAAAACAGCACTTGCCTGTCAGGTAAGTTAAGAACAAAATCACTAGCCCAATAGCAAAATCCTCTAGCCCTGGGCTATCGGACACGACTTTCTTTGCACGCTGTGTATTATGATAAAAATCTCCTTATTGAGCAAAGCCTAGGCTCGATTCCGCCCTCTCCTGGGTCTGGTCTTTGATCCTCCCTGAACAGCGGCTAGTAATCGAGCCTAAGCACAGCCCTGAAAACCAACCTTTATCTCTGTTTTCCCTGTTCAACTTGTTCATCATCCTGGCCAGTGGCTGGACATAAGGTTGTAGTTCTTGTAACTGAAATTGAGAACGTCTTTAATTACTGGCAGACTTGACTGTAACCAAGGTCAGACTGCCTGCAGTCTTTGCTTCTCAAAAAAGTTCAAAAGCAAGTAAACTCTTGATTCCAGGCAGTGATCGTATGGAAAATAAGGGGCTGTAAACCATGTCAAAAGTGGCAGTAAGGGCGATATATACTCTTGATGGATCTCAGGATAGAAACCATTGCCCTTGAGAATCTTTCTTAACAATGTCACTCCACAACATTGATTATTCCAAATCCCTATCATACTGTTTGAACACTGTTTTAGGATAACAGTGCAACAATGACAACATTCAACTGCTCGAAAAAAACTTGGATTCCAGCTTGTCCTTTGGGTAAGCAGCTCTCAAATTTTTAATTGCCCGGGGCCACTTCTTGCTCCTCTTGATTAATGACTTTATTAGAGCTTGACTTGCCTAGACCCTTGCCCATTGGTTTAGTAAGTTTTAAAAGCTACTTGCTTAGCAAGAAAATCTATTCGTCCCGGACTGCAGGAAGGGACTTTTTTGAGCCCTGAACATTAACTTAATTTTAAGACACACCTTCTCCAAATACGCCTGTTCTTCAGCAGGATTGAGTGGGCTGGCTACAGGACCAACAGACCCTGGGTTCAGCATTGAAGCTGGTGACTGGACATTTGTGGTGCTTGGCGTGGGCACTGATGCAGGGGCTGCTGGTGAAGCTGCTACACCATGCTGTACAAGAAAATTGAAAATCTTTATCATAACAAAATAGCCAGAGAAATGCTATTGCAAAATGTTATTTACAGTTTTACAGGCAGAGGACAAGTAAGGTGAGGTACCGATAAATAAGAAAAACTGTGTACTAAGTAAAATCCAAGTTTGTAATTTAGTCTGACAGTCCCTAAGTTGTCATCATAGATTGTATTATTTTAAATAATTTTACAAAAAAGTTAGTACATTGTCACACACACAAAATATGTTGAGACACTGATTTTATTTAGGCACCCTTGCAACTCTGATTACAACTCCAACTTCAACTCTACCACTAGTGAACTAGTGTAACAACCATATGTGAATGCAACCTTAATGACATCTTACCTGAGGAGAAGGTGAAGGGTGCTGCATAGCAGGAGATGGAACAAATGGAGGTGCCGGTGATGGGGCAAAAGTGGGCTGGCTTGTGTGAGCCGTGTGCTGGGCAGTGGAAGGAGTTGGTGCCCGCATGGTAGAAGTGGATGACATTGTTGCTGCTGTAGGAGAAGGAATGTGTGGCATGCGTGGAACACCATGCTTGGGTTGTTGTGCTAAAAAAAAAATTACCGAGCATTATTTCTTTGATGTGCAATGCTTGCAGAAAACTCCTCCCCAAAGAATACAAACAAAAATGTTATTCATATTCAAAGAACACTACTTTGCCCAAAACCAAAACGCTGAATGTTTTTACCAGAAACAATGCAACTTTAGTTGGCAATTTGCATGCAAAAATCTTCAGATTGTGGCCAACGGAAACAAAATAACAACAACTCTTGTAACAACAGTCAGTAGGTAATGGATAAAGTAAGAAAAAAACTTTCAGTAGCTACCAATAGTCATACTAGTTTTGACAATTGACGTGTTTAATTTGCATAATCAGTTCAAACAGTAATATGGTATGGCTGACTGTGTTAAAGTATACAATTTAAAGATATCAGAAGACATGTAGAGTGTATCTAGAACTTAAACAAACCTTGATGAACTGTTTGCTGTTGAACAGGCATTGGAGATACCACTTGTCCAGCTGACACATTAACATGGGTCTGTGATTGACTCAATTGGTGATGTGCCATTTGACCCTGTGATCCAAAACCACGAGCAGCCTGCTGCTGACCAAGTAAGGTTTGAGCCTGCATTTGTTGTTGCAAGAGATGCTGACTAAGAAGCTGTTGTTGAGTCAGTCCCGACCGGTCAAAGACTTGACCTTGACCTTGAGCTTGCGATAAGCTGGCAGGCAGTTTGACAGCCTGTTGTAGGTGTTGCATTGGCAGCTGCTGTGGGGTGTTCTGGGTGCCTCCCATGGCACCAACTCCTTGTTGCTTGGTAATAGCAGTTGGAAATTGTGCTCTCATTCCAGGCTGTGGAGTCATGTTAACTCCTTGTGGTTGTTGCTGCCCTAGAGCAGTGGGCCCTATTATTGAAAGTAACTCATCACTTTTAATAGTTACCTTCCTTAAGTGCACAAATTAGCCCCCCTTCCCCACCCCCTTTAAATAACCACTGCCCTTTAGGTTAAAATATTAATTAAGCACTTCTTCTAATTAAGCCCCCCCCCTCCCACCCCCAACTATCTTTACTGAATATAATCTTCAATGAATAAAGTAGAACATATACCATCACTAGAGTAAGAGAATGACCCATTTGAGGACATCACACAGTCAAATGGTAAAGATGCAGCTCCTCTGGCAATAACCTGAGATCAGGCCCAATTTTAGCATTTCTCATACATTCTCTCTAATCGCTACCACTAAAATTGGGCCTGACACAAACTCTCTCACGTTTGTGCTCATTACGGCCAGATTTTGGCCATAAAGCTGATTGGCTGTTAGAACAATGCCACAAGATCTGATTGGCTGTCGGAAACGCCGGAAGTTGAAAGAGCTTATTCCTCGCGTGGTTGTTTTCGTGAATGATCCGGCGGCGGCGGAGAGAAGGATCGATTTTGCCGTTGGTTTTATTGTTTTACGGTCTTATGGTAGGAAAATGTGCCTTAATATGTGCCATGGAAATTCAGAAAATTCATATGGTTGTTCATATCTTCTTAGGATTTGCTTTATTTATGAAACTAATGTGAGTGTATAGTGGAGTTGAATCCCTCTGCAAGTTGTTGACCACTAACAAGGTGCCTTTTGATTTACCAACAAACGAGTGCAAATCATCTTAAAATCTTAAATCTTAAAACTGGTTTCATTTGAAAGTTTAGCCGGGAATGACTTCTCTGAATGGGGTAGGCAAGCGGAGGCTCACTGCGAAAGAAACCTCAATCGCCAACTGTGAAGTGTTAGACGAAAAATATCACATCGCTGTTTAAGGAATTTTTGTAGGCATTATTATAAAAGCTGGTGGCTTAAGGTAACAGACTGGTTGTTTGCCTTCGCTTTTTGTAAAAAACAAACCAGGAAAACTGGTGTCCTCACTCACTGGCTGTTTGCTTTTGTTTTTAAAGATTTATGTACTGAAAATCAGAGAAAATTGCCAAGGAAAATATTAAGGAAACAGAAAAAGAAATTTCACTATTTTAAATTCGAGTGCGCCTAGCCAGAATATTAAAACTAGTAGAAAATTGTGTCCCCGTCTTTTCGAAAACTTTTCACCCTCTACGCCAACAGAAATAACCTTCGAGATCCCCCTTAATCTCTCAAGAAGTTACTAGTAAATGTGATTGTGCTGACTGTTTTATTTTTAGCTGAAAAAATTAACAGATAAAAGCTTTTGTCTGCATTTTTCTCACGCGTGAAAAATTTGCATACTAGAAAACAAGCAACGGAAGTAATTTTGGTTGGCTTATTCGGCAAATGTCACTCAATCAAAAAAGTGGGCGGCAGACGTTTCGTAGAAGGTTTGTATCAGGCTGTCTTTTCGTTTCCCCTTGGCCGCCGGAATGTAATTTTCAAAGCGAAACGAAAATAGAGCCTGATCTCAGGTTACTCTGGCAATAGTGCTTGAGTACAGTGACAAAAGTTGGTTACACCAAGACGATCATTATACCGAGACAATCACACCCCTTACAAAATCTGCCAACCACTCTCCGTCAAAAATTAAATGAGCATCCCCAGGTGCTAATTTGAACATTACAGTAGCTTAAAAGTGTTTTAGATCAACATTTTAGAAATCTATCAAGAGGAAATTCATTTTGTAACATATCAAGAGATAAAAAATAAGAACCAGCTGGCAAGGTTATCAAAAAATTTTGAAGTAGACGGCTGAGTTGTCCAGTTGTTGACCAGTCCAGGGATATTTTATTTAAAAAAACTCCATCCATAAAGAAATGCCGGCGATTTTCGCTGGCAGCTGACTACTTTTGACAACCCTGAGCTGGTGAATTAGATACTGTTGAATACAATCACTGGCCATTATGATAATGGTTCATGCAGGAATGATAATATTCCAGGGGGGCCAGGGGGGTTGGACTCCAATATAAAAGGATGGGGATGCTTGTTGCTTAATTAGAATTGAACCCCAATGATGGTACAATGCACAACCCTAAGGGGAAGAAATTTTGAATTTCTATCCAGAACACCCTAATTCCCGACTGAACCTTTCTACCAGCACATGCTGCAAAGTTTAAAGCATACAAAAGAAATGTTTGAGTGTTGCTTACTTATACCTCGAATGTCTCGAATGTAAACCAAAAGACGTGCAACATATGACAGGTAGTCAACCTGAAAAGAAAATGAAAAATTTTGTTGAGTTAATACATCTTATGACAGTTACTTGTAGACACTGTGAATCAAACTTGTGAATCTTAGCTACTAAGACAGCCGGTGTTCCATTGCCACCAAGGGACTCAATGGAAACCTTTCTGAAATTTAACAAACTCACTGAACATCTCACTCAAAGTCCCGTTCAAAATCAGCACTGTTTATGAATAATAATTATTATTACCCCATTTCCTCCTGGGAATTTTGCCGAATAATTATGCCCTTTAAAGCTATTCAAGCCATTTTCTGGTTACTGTCTGGTTAAAATGAACCAAAACTGAAAGAAAATCTTTGTTATGTATCCAGCACTTCCTGGACTTCTTTTCCACATGCTAAATATCAGCTTCCAAAGCTTGAGCATGTGCAGAAAGCAAAGTTTTGAGATTAAAAGAGACAGCAGTCTCGACTTTTACTTTTCTCTCCTCCTCCTTACGTTTTCTTGCCCCGTTTTTTGTTTAGCTGGCCATTAAGTATGCTTCAATTTGAAAGAAAAAGTTCCTGGAAAAGCTTTTAGTATCCTAAGATTAGATGGAAGGAAGTGAAGGTGGGTAGTGGAACAAGATTTCTATTGGAATTTTCTGCTCAATTTTACATGGTTTTTAGTGTTTTTCACAACACCCTTACTCAACTGAATTGTGCTCATTTCAGTATGGTTTGCAAAATCTCTTTTCCACGTAAAAGTTAAGAATCACAGCTGCCATTAACCGTTAAAAGTGAATGCATCACAGGTGGTAGAAGGGATGTGGATCGGCAAAGGTGGTTACAAGCCGTTCAGGAGCAAATTAGTTAACTAAAGGTCAGAAGTGTAAACATACAGTGTAAAAGATGATAAGCCTAAAACTCCAGAAATTAAAGTATATATATATATAGCACATTCTTTAAATTGTTTCTTAAATTTGTGTCTGGGTATTTGGTGTGGTTGGAACCTTGGTAGACGACTTTTAATAAGCTCCCATTATTTTAAGAGGTTTCACAGGTATAATATCAGGTGTAAAATAAAGCATATAAACCGTACAAGAGAATCATACAATAAAGCTTGCATTGACCACTGTCATTCGCTTTTAATACACGTACAAATATATCGTAACCTCACTTTTCTCTCTCTAATGAAAGCCATTTTACATTATAGATGTCAGAACGAAAATCAGACAAGAACTAATGAGACTTTGGCGACGTTCGTGAAACGATCAGAATCAAAGTGTATTCAACAGGATTCAAAACAATATCACAAAATCAAGGCAATATTGCAAGTAATAAAGCGTTCCTTACATAATGAAACAATTAAAGAATGTGCACAAACCTTTGTTTCCGCCCTGAGATACACTTGATTCTCCATTTCACGGGGGTTTTTCATCATCAGCTTTGGATTTCCAGACGTTTGTAACGCTTTCTCTCTGAAACGGAAATACGAAGCTAAGCACGTTGAAGAAAAAAACACATTTAAAACACCTAAATAACAGTTTGTTGACAAAGCCAGACCATAAAGGAAACTCTCTGCTCTACGAAGGCAATTTGTCTCCTGCTTATGACCAAAACATACATTTGAGAGAGAACTTTCTGACGGAATGCCATGGAGCGCCAATCGTCAGCCGTATTCGACGCCATCTTGGTATGATGTTGAGTGCAAAATGGTTTCCAGACCTCTATGTCAAAATGGGTTTGAACCAATCAAAATGATCAAAATGTACTTTGAGGATGTTGAACGCGGTTTCCGGTTAGCTTGGCATAAAACCCCCACACTTTTCGAAAGTAATAATACTCGACCAGTATCTTGTTGATTTATTTGATTGTTTGGAAATTGACAACAAAGGTCTAATAGTTTGAATTCAAGAAAATGGAGAATGCGAATTCGTGATCTCTGTTGATATGGTCTCTCTCTGTCATTTTGTGCCGGTGCGAACTTTCTGAACTTTTAAAAAAACTCATATTAGAAGGCCACACAGGGGCTGTTTTCAAAACACCAAATGTTCGTGACCTAATACAAACATTTATATTACTTGTCTCGTAACCTTAAATTCTTAAATCTTGTTCGCGTTATCTAGCTGGAAAGGAAATCTAGGGATGAGACAAACGCAGATGAGACTACCGGTCATTTAATATTGACGTCATATTGAAAAACCTTGACAAGATCTAGGATGTGGATCATTTCGACTGTTTGTTTTTAAAAATGCTCGAAAATGCCATGAAGCATCTTGCGCCGGTGTGGGGAGGTTAATACTTGTAGTTACGTTTTGTAAGCCTGCGCCTAGTAAGCCCTTGACTTGATCAGGGAGTGTCCTTCCCCACCCACGCGAGTGGCAAAAGGGTTTAGTTACTATTATGAGTGCAGTGAGCCTATGAAGAAAATATTTACCGTAAGCGACTATTTTTTAATGACTCCTCTGATGTTTTTCTTCATCGTGAATAACATTCCACGTAACAATGCAAAGAATTTGTTGGAGACCGCCAAGGTTTGAAGCATCTACGCTCTACTTCCTGGTGCCTTGTTATGAACGGAACATTTTCACCTATGCGGAAACAAGAACAGTAAAAATACTAATCCCTAGCCCGTGAGACAACTTGCAGCCCATTCGTCACTCGAAAAAAATCCCTAGTGCCAAAAAAGCCTACTCCCCTCTAGTCTAACCATCTTGTTTGTAGAGCGACACACACGGCTTCGCTGGGGTAACTCGACGAATTTTCAGGGAAGGGGCGGTCTTGGATTAAACTTGTTTCTGTGGGCACAGCATAGGCAGAATTTTTTCTGAGGTACGCAACCTTTTCCAAATCCACCCTCCCAAATTTTCTCAACGCAGGAGAACTGATTAAATTTGCGTTTCTCGTCAGCTTAGTGAGGTAATTTGCATGCAGCAGTCAAGAGCTTTTTCTGTTTACATGTCTAATTTTTGAAAATTAGACTACAAAGCAGAGTTTAGTACCTAGGAGCATAAGTAATCACGATGATGTGGAGTGATGATCATAAAGTTGATGGTAGTGGTGGTGGTGGTGGTGCTGATGATGATGATGATGATTATGATGGTGATGGTGCTGGTGCTGGTGCTGGTGGTGATGATGATGACGAAAGTTGTCCATGAAACAGTCAAGCCCATGTCCGAAACGGAAGTGGGAGACCCTGTGCTGTATTAAATATTCAACCGTTGCTAGCGCTGCTCACAAAAAGTATTCACTAGTATTCGTGATCCCCATCTTCGAACCGACTAACAGTCTTGCAGCCTTTCTCTTCGAGATTGAGTATATCTCTACTTCCAATACTAGAGCTGGTGTTGAAACGCGCCCTCCCCAGTTAAGCAATTTACTCTATTTCTCTCCCCCAACCCATCCCTAACATTTTACGGGCCTTACAGTCTTAGTGCAATAGGTTAAATGAGGCCCGTGGATCAGGATAGGTTTAGTGAGTTACTTCCTTTCATAAGCTGTTAGCTGTCAGTTGTAGTTAACTTAATACAACATTACAACATAGTCTAGGTTTTATGGGGTCCCAGTGCAGTCGCCTTTTGGCCAGTACGGTTCCTGTTTAAGCTTAATTATAAATCTGATGACCCAACGGATCCTGGTAATTATCGTTCCATTTCCACACTCACCATTTTCAACCCCACTTAGTTTCGAAAAGTTTATGTATAAAAGCGTGAAAGGATTTATTGGTGAAAACCAGGTTTTCGGTTTTCGAGAGAAATGTTCCACGCAATTCTTGACATTCTTATTAACATACAGGACAATATGGATAACTAATTGTTCTCTTGTGGAATTTTCCTTGACTTCAAGAAAGCCTTTGACACAGTCGACCACTCAGTATTACTTTATAAACTGGATTATTACGGAATTAGAGGCATAGTCAATTCTTGGTTTGCTTCCTATTTATGCAAACCGTACCTTTCCTGCTAACAGTGGCCTCTTTCCGCTGAATACCAGGGAAAAGAGGCGTCTGCTAGCAGGGAAAACCGTACCCTGTAGTGTTTCAAGGAAAAGATCTATGGCAAGTGGTATCCCACAGAGCTCAGTTTTTGGCACATTGTTTTTTAGGATGTTTTATGTAAATGACATCTATAACGCCTCCGAGAAATTTCAGTAAAATTTTTTTTATTTGTCGGTCATAGACATTGTTACTTATAACTTATTCAAAGCGTTTTATAAATTGTTGTCACCGTCCGCCGCGATTAGCCTGTGCTATCTGCGGTTAGTGTCAATCACTACGATTGAGGTTTCTTCACCCTTTGTTTAGTAGTTAGCTATATTATGTTAATTTCAGTTTGAAAAGTACTAATTAAGTTATTATTGCTGTCGTAAAACAATTAGCAAGGGTCAGCAGCAGGTAGATGAGGCAGGTAGATGCTACAGTCCCTCGACCTTGAGGTAAGCTGGCAGGCATTTTGACCCCTTGTTGTAGGTGTTGCATTGGTAGCTGCTGTGGGGTGTTCTGGGTGCCTCACATGGCACCAACTCCTTGTTGCTTGGTAATAGTGGGTGGTGGAAATTGTGGTCTCATTCCAGGTTGTGGAGTCATGTTAACTGCTTGTGGTTGTTGCTGCCCGGGAGAAGTGGGCCCTATTATTGAAAGTAACTCGTCATTTTAATAGTTTCCTTAAATTCTCAAATTAGCACCCCCTTTGAATAAGCACTGCCCTTTAGGTTAAGCGCTACTTTCTAATACGCACCTCTTCCCATACCTACCATCCTTACTGAATATACACATCATAGTACAATTGCGGCATCTTCAATAAATAAAGCATAACGTACACAATCACTAGAGAATGACCACTTCAAAGATATCACACGATCAAATGGTAAAGAAGCAGCTCCACTGGCAATAAAGCTTGAGGACAGAACTTGGTGACCAAAGGATAATGAAAACCAGAAATATGTACGAAACACAATAACACACAAACCCACAAACTTGAGTCTGTACTGAAAATTACGTAATAGTTTTCCACCTTAATCTTGGCAAGAAATTACAAAAAGTCCGAGAACCGTATCTGTAAAAGTATAAAACTTTGCCTGTGGACGCAGAACCAACCTCACGTGCTATAAAGCACTTATAGCACGTAACAAACAGTGACAAAAAGTGCATCCCCTGAAGGAAGTCGCAATGAGCGTTTCGTAGGCTTAATACCTAAAGGAAACTAAACGAAAACAGACAACCAAAGAACAAGTAGAATGATTTCAACTATGCTAGCAAGGATGTTGGCATGCAGTCGTCAACACTGTATTATAGCCCTACATCCTTGAGCGAAGCTCCAAGTAAAGTTTTCGAGATTGGTAAACTTCAAAGGGATCTCCTTATTTGGTTGCTCACAGAAGTACAATAGGTCTATAAGCAAAGCTAGCCCGAGCCTGCGAACGCAGAAGTATTGCTGTTGTCGCTTCTCGCTTCCCTAAAACTGGACATTCATCTTGGTTTGCAGGTTACGGCAGGGCGCTCTGACCGTGTTGTTTGTTAACGGTAAGTAACAGGTGATTTTACGAATTGTGTTTCTTTGTTGCATAAGTTTTTGAGATCGTAAATGTGGATCAGGGAAGTGGGCAAGACAGTGTGACAGGCCCTGGTGAGGAATTAGACGAAATTATATAAAGGACAGAAGGTAAAAGCGATGGACAGGCTACGAACACAGGGATAATTTTCAATTGTTTCATGGCATACGATAAAACATTGGTGAAACATGGACTGGATTGATAAAACATGGATCAGTAAAACATGGACTGATAAAACATCGATTGATAAAACACGGATCGGTAAAACAAGGACTGATAAAACGTGGATTGATGAAACGTAGATTAGTAAAAAATGGATTAATATTAAAAATTTGGATTACAGGGCTTCAAGTGGCCTCAAGCAAAAATATAGGGCTTCATATAGGGCCGATTTTTACAAGATATAGGGCCAATATAGGGAAAATGGTTAAATAATAGCGAAAATACAGGGATTTTTTTAAAGCATAATATATCCAGTGCAAGTTTTGCAACTCTTCAGAAGGTAAGGAACATAGTAAATTGTAGTCCAACGCTGTGAACACTTATATAGAATAAGGTCACCAACTTTCAGCAAGCAAAAAAATGTACCCAGATTAACACACACACACACTGACCCTACAGAAGTACAGTGAAAATACTGTTATTGTGTTTTGCAACTGTTAGAATTTTTTATACGATCAACATTAATAATAATAACTTTATTTGTATAGCGGTATATACAAAAGCTCTATATCGCTTTACAATCAAAAAAAAGAAAATAACTAACTAACAATAGCACCAAAACAAAAAGTCAATTGAAAGCGAGTCTAAAAAGATAAGTTTTCAATCTAGATTTAAAAACATCAACTGATCCACTTAATTTTTAAAATGTCTAAGGGAATATCATTCCAGTGCTTTGGGGCAGCGACCGAAAAGGCCCTGTCCCCATAGCTCTTCAGGCGCACATTCGGTACTTCTAATAAATGTTTGCTAGCTGACCTAAGATTTCTTGTAGGGTTATATGGGACTATAAGTTGACTTAAATACGGAGGCGCCAGATTATTGAGAGCTTTAAAAGTTAACAGTAATACTTTAAAGGTAATTCGCTGCTTCACAGGTAACCAGTGTAGCTCCTTAAGGGCGGGGCGAATGTGCGCAGC